TGTTTCACAGGACTGACAATCCCCTCAAGGTACACATGTAGACACACTCACACACACACACACACACACACACACACACACACACACACACACACACACACACATACACACACACAGATTCCACTGGCTGTGTGTGATTAGCTTGGATTCGGAGAGCAGTGTGAGAGAGACTCAGGCTTAGCAGTAAGAGAAACATCGGTAGACTTGGACACAGCAGAAGAACAATAAAAGTATCCCACTGGATGCTTCAAAAGATACACAAAACATGATAAAATACCCTCATGGATGCATTTTGTTGAGGAGAAAACATGATGTAGGGCTGCACTAAATTTGAGAAAACCACGCATCGTATAGAAGAAGAGGACACAATCACCAAGTGGTCTGAAAGCCAACATTTTGAACTGTCTAATTTGGCATTTTGGATGTCACCATCTTGTTTGTTTAGGTCTGGAAGAGACCATTTCTGCAAAAGAGGATGAATACGTGGGATGTTGGGTTAAGAGGCTCACATCGACTGGAGTGAAGACCTTGCTGAAAGCTAGTTTCACTCACCCGACAATCAAAGCAGCCAACTTCCCCGATTACATAATAATTTAAAGGTTTATAGATTTTAATTATGAGATGTATAAAAATCAAATCATGTCACAAATGAGTTCATTGGGAAGTAATTTAGCTTTGAAGTTCAATATTTTAACATGGGGCTGTATGGGGATTGGCTCTCTTTAGCTGCCAGCCTCTAGTGGTCATTTGAAGAACTGCAGTTTGTGGAAATTCATTTTACTGCCCAAGAGGTTGGGATAATGATAGTAGGCTTCGAAACGGTTAAAAAGTGAATACTGTGTGGGTTTTATTACAGAGGGGTGGTAGTCACACTTTCATCTGAGGCCCTTTATAAAACCATTTTAGTCTTGATTATTCGGTCATTTCCTGTTTTCAAAAGCTTCACATCAATGACTGGATTGTGACTCCATCCCAAAAAATCGATACAGCATAGTATTATTTATATTATATAGTATATTTTGTGTGGCGATATTATATCGTGTCATGGCGGCCAAGTACCAATTTAAATTTAATACATTTTTATGATTGAATGATATTCTTTTTTAATTTTTAACTGCTGACTGGGTTGTGCGATTCATTTTGAACAAGTTGCATTGTAAAGATTTCATGTTAAAGTTCGATTAGACTGAAATACCAACAGTTCAGATTGTGAGGTGCATGCAGCCTCATTACTGGGTTTGACTTTGATCACAGTGCCCGACAGGCTGTGAGCTTGACTCACATTGTGTAGAAATAAGATATTGTATCACAACTCTCAGCATATCGCAAAATGTTTAGAACGCAATAGAATCGTATCGTGTTAATATCGTATCATGGGGCCTCTGGTGACCACCGCCCCTACCTTTAGGGAGGTTTCATACCGTCATTGCAAAATTGGCACATTTTGGGCACTGCTTTGGTTTTTTCATTTGTGAGCACTCAGGGGCCCCCCTACTGGTTTGGGGCCCCAAGTAGTTGCCTTCTTTGTCTGTTGACAAGCAGCTCCTCTGGGTACACACTCAAACCAGTTGAGCTACCAGGACATCTCCTGGTTACCTGTAATAAACAGGGGAGTGCAGGCCGCTGCAAGAAAAATAATTGTAAATTGTAAATTGCTTAAAGAAATCATTTGTAAATTCTCTTACTATTATAGTACCTTCAGAGTGTCAGAGGGGAAGGTTGCAGTCAGTGATAAGCAGTTCAATAAAGTAACATTTGCATCATATCTTACGAGCTCATGTAAAGTCAGCCATAACTCAGGCTCTAAGAAACATAAAGGGATAGTATCATCATATGTTCACTTCATTCATTTCCAGCTGTTGTTAAAGAACGCCAGCTGTACCGTCTGACAGCACGGCCAACGTCACAGTTGGAGTGTCGGACACGTCTGTCACGTCCTGCATGTGTGTGTGTGTGTGTGTGTGTGTGTTTGCCCTGAAGAAACACTCCAGGAAGTGAAACAGGAAACCTCAGCGAGTGATTGGCTGGCTGAGACCCACACAGAAAAAAAAAACCTGCCCAGCTTCTCAACAGCACAGCGACGCTGAAAGCACACACGTCTTCTTTCTTTTCCTTCCTGTAGTCCGCCTCTGATGAGTACAGGTCTCAACATGTACTCATGAAGCTGCTCTCCTGACGCGGCCTAAATTATGAATTATATAAACCAAGTTCTTTTTTTTTAAGATGCATGTCTCAGGGGGGAAAAAAAAGAATGAAGGGGCTTCTTTGATTTTAACTTAGATAGAAATAGTTTTGACACACTTCCTGAGCCGAACAAGATAAATTCACACCCCTAAGACTTTCTGCAAACACAGTGAGAAGCCGATCCTCTGACACTGTTCTCTGTTTGGTAACTACGGAGGATTAATGTTTAACTGAGGAGGTGCTTGATTGTTGTTTGTGCTCCTGTTTGAAGGGAGGATAACTTCCCACTGAACTTTGAAAGACAAATTAACTCCTGTTGCACTGAGCGGAATCTTTTTCCACCCCTGTGCTCGTTCATCTAAGTAGTGTGTTTTTTCTGGGGACTGTTTGACCTTGTGTCGAGGTGGAAAAACTCACAGAGGCGCTGATAAAGAAACACCTGGTCTGCGCACCGTCGAACACACTGCTCGACCTTTATAAGCTTCTGAGAATGAAATGTGCATTCCTGTGAGAGCACATGAGCAACTACTAACATTTTGACTCGACTGACATGACAGTTTCAGGAACATTTTTGACAAAGATTTAAAGTAAAAAAAAAAAAGATCAAATGTTTGGGAAGTTTTCACAAAAAAATTAAATTAGCCGAACCACAATGCTCTAATGAGAACTACTCCTATACTAATAATGTTACCGGTAACTCTAATCTGCTGACACACACAAAAAGGTTATTGATCTGCACATTAGCGTAGTAAGCCTTTCAATAGCTGCTTTCACTTAAACTAAACCTTATTATAACCTTAAAAACGTCACGTCTAAATCCTCAAGCAGCTCCTCAGAGACGTGGAGAAAGGAATTAATGTCCTCATGTACAAAAATGTTGTTAAAAGGTGAAGTGTTGTCCCCTCATTTTTGTTTAATTTCTCAAAAAAACCTCTCTTCTCAAGAGGAATCCCCTCTTTCTATTAATGTCTTCACCTTCAAACATCAGCTTCACTTTGAAAACTGTTCTGACTTTACATTAAATATCTTTACTTCAGGTCCGGGGGATTTAAACTCAACACAGTCCTCACAGAGGCAGAACACACACACACACACACACACACACACACTCACACACACGTGTTTAAGTTCCTGGTTTTAGTTTGTGCGTCACACTGTAAATGTTAAAGATAATTACAGCTGACAAATAAATCACTTCTCATGCGTTTCAATCTGAGGTCTCTTGAATTAATGTGGGTAAAGTCAAAACTACAAACACTTTAAGAAGACGTGAATTTCAAGTTTAGATGGGAGCTAACCCTGTAAGATACTCAAGTCTGTCTGAGACACTCTTTGAGTCTTCTGTTTATTTTCAACTGGAGAGTGAACTCATGCAGAGAGCCGAGCCGAGGTTCAGTGAGTGGCTGTGTTTTGGAGAACAGAACACAAAAGTGTGGATGCTCTGATGCCCCCTTCTGGTCAAACGGTGTCATTTAAATTAAAAAAAAACTATTTTCTTATGCAATCAAAAGGCATAAAGTATAAGGCGGTATGATGATGATGGGCTCAGGAGATTCATGATTATTTCATAAATGAATAAGAGTTGTTTGATTAGGAGGTGGAAATACATCATACACAACAAATAAGAGAACTGATAGCATTTTTAAACTACAGGAGAGAAATCTTAGTTTAAAGGAGTACATTTTACCCTGCAAACTGTTAGAGAAACACTGAAAAAGAAAATCTCTGCACACATGAATGTTGGAGGAGTTTAAAACTGTAAGAAAGGCTCCCGCACACTGTCTCGCTTTGTGCTGAGATATTTATTAGATCGTACGATTTTTCTAACCTGAGTCTAACCGACCCGGTCACTGGTGCCAGGTCAGAATCAAAGAATCAAAAGCTCAAACCGACCGTGCTGAGGACAGTTCAATAAACACTTTGTCCAGAGCTCGGGAGAACATTCAATTAAGCTATATTACACAATCTGTGCAATCTCATCATATGAATTTTGATGTTATGTTGTTGATTTTACTGACCTGCTTTGCATGCAAAGATATTAGTTAGTGACAATGGAGCAATATGTATGGGTTAATGATTTACTGTGTATATTTACTTTAAAGGTCACATATCATTCTCCTTTTCAACCAGTTTAAATAAGTCTCAGAGCTCCTCAAAACATGTGTGTGAAGTTTCTTGTTCTAAATCCACTCTGATCCTGTATTTGATCATACCTATAAACCCCTCTATTTCAGCCCTGCTCAGAACAGGCTGTTTCTGTGTCTGTACCTTTAAATATGTAAATGAGTTGTGTCTGACCACGCCCCCTCTCTGGAAGGGCTTGAGTGTCTCGGGCTTTCTCGCTCCATGTCCTATTGTTTACGGTGAGAAGGCAGACTCAGAGGGCAGAACAAACACCTAGCTGTGGGAGTGTCACCTACCTGGGGGAGGGGCTACTGCCCTTTGTGATGTCATGAAGGGAAAATCTCCAAACGGCCTGTTTGAGCACACATTTTCTGAAAAGTGGAGCAGGTAAAAGACAGAGAGGATGGACTTTTCTCATAATTGGGGGGTTGGAGGACAGACTAGAGACACATATTAGAGCTAGAGAAACATGATTGTACAGCACCTTGTTTTTTAAATGTGCCTTATAAATTATAAAACTAAGTCAAGTGAAGCTAGTGTTTTTTTATTTTACATTAAGTCTCAAGAACACCTGAGACTCTTCAGCATCCAAATACCCCCCACAGGAAATGTTTTTCCTTTTACTCCCTCAAACCTTTCCAAGACCAACGGATTTAATTCAGTAAAAGAAAAGAGATGCAGAAGATTATGAATCATTTTTGAACATGATTGTTTTATCTAAATCATGAAGCATTAAAACAAATAATGACAACTGAAACAGTGAGAATAAATCAACTGTTTTGGAGACTCTTCTGCTGTCAGATCGACCTTCAAAACGAGTTCTTCCCTTCGTAGTTTTGGGCCGAGAAGGGGAAGCAATTCTCAAAAAGAAACAAAGCGTACTGTCATGTCATCCTTTATAACCTAGAATCATGCATCAAAAGTCAAATGCAGGAAGATGATGAAACTTTTGAATGCTTGCAGAAGTATTTCAGGTTTCAACAATAAGTGAAGTTTAAAAATCCATCCCTGACGTCTGTGAGGAAACACAAACACTCCTCAGCATCACTCAACAGCTCTTCAGCAGGGACGCCGCTGCTTTTGTGGACCAATGGCCAGTTCTTCCTCTTTAATGTCCTTTCATGTATTTAGAAAAAGCTGTAATGAACTCACCCTGATGTCTTAAAGTCGTTTCTGAAAAGTGACAAATGCAACAGAAAAAGCCGGGAAAGTTTACTGACACCTCTCTAATCATGTTCTTCAGCGTATCAGTCCAGTTTCCTGTTCTCTGTCCGCCCCCTCTGCTTCTCTTTTCTTCCTCTCCTCCTCCTCCTCCTGTCTTATCCTCTCCTGCTCTGTCTCCAGCTCCTGTTGCTCTCTGATGTCCGCCTCCTTCAGTTTCTCCTTCACGTCCTCAGGAATCTCCACCTGCATCAGGTTCTCCATCCCCTGCTCCGGCTCGTCTCCGATCAGCACCTGGACGAGCAGAGAAGTCGTCATATGTATCAGGTACACCACACTAAAAGACTGAGTCTATGAAGGCAGTTCTCAATGCAGGGCGGGTTCATCAAAGAGGTTAAAGTTCAGTTTACTCTACATTAACCATCTGTACACTTTGAACAGGTTATATGTTTTTTTTTTTTTTCTATTGATAAATGACAGAAATAAGTTAATCTGTTCGTCATGACAGCTTTAAAGGTTTGTTGCATGATTTTTTTTTTGTCTCTACCTGGACCAGTTTCTCGCAGGCGGCTCCGACGTGGGCGTCTTTCTCCCAGCGGTGAAACTCTCTGATGATGGGATAGACGTTCTTGTCTCTGAGGGTCGTCCTGCCGGCTTTGGTGGCTGTGAGCTGCACAACACAGACAAACAGCAAAGAGGTTAATGAGGGAGCGTGAGCGTAGGCGTGTGTGTTTCTGCTGTGTGTGTTTGTTGTGTCGTACCAGTATGAGTGTTTCCAGAAGCATCTTCCTGATGTCGGGGTCTTCTTCTCTCTTTTTGTCCTCTGGGAGGTACTGCAGGTCCACAGGCAGACCTGGACATGACATGAAATCATAGTATTAGGGTTGTGTAGCTGTGATTACTTTTCATGTTTTAAAAAAACCTGCCCTTGCTAGTAATATGTAAATATTCTCTAATGTGCAGGTGCATGAACAGTTTACAGGTAATGTTTATTTGCATGGGAGCTCCTGAGCTCTCATGTCTCGGACATTCTTCAGGATTGTACACACCCCCCCTCGCCCCCTCAGGAGGACTTGTCATGGCAGCTGAAGACAGGCTCTCAAGTAGACGGAGCTCCCCCAACCTTCAGCATTCATGCACGGCCTGGTCCGACCTCCACATCAGCGCACCCACCAGGCCATAGTCCGGGTGCAAATCCGACTCCTTTCTGGCTCTTTTCTTGCATGTCCTTCCCTACTCACTATCTATTTCCCTGATTTCTGACTCTATCCACTGTCCTGTATCTAAAATAAATGCAGAAAAAGCTCCAAAATGAACCTTAAAAAGTGGCAAAATGAAAAAGATTTTTCAGTCCCCCGATTCTTAGAAATTTGCAGATTTGGACAAAGCAGATATACATCATCATTATTAGCAGATTTTGAGATTACCTCACTGAGTGTGACATGTTCAGAGGAGTCAATAGATGAGGGGAGATCTGTAAATGTTAAAATCTATTTGTGTGAGGGGGAGCCCATTGAGATGAGATGGTTTTTCTCCAGCGCTTTATCCTTCTTCTAAAGTAGTGTGAGTGAGTAACTCTTAGCTGTGGAGACGCTGATGAGTTATTCATACTTAAGAGACAATCAGCAAAATGTTGTTCAATCATGAATCTGAGCAAACCAGTGCGTCTGTGTCTCAATACTTTCTGACTTGCACACCCACTCAGCCCCACAAGCTGAAGACATTCATCAACTCTGTCACAAATATGTAGGTTCATATTGGGAACTTGAATTACAGCTCTGTGGTTGTAACCTCCGCCCAGCAGTCACGTTGTAGTTTATATCAATCATTGTTTCACACAGAATGACAGAAGAGAGAGAGAGAGAGAGCGGGGTACGAACCCGGGCCGCCTGCTTAGAAGACTATAAACTCCGTCCGTGGAGTGTGCGCAATTAACCACTATGCCACAGGCACCCCCGATTACCAAATTCTTTTTGAAATTTAAAAAATCCTTCCTGATAACTCGATCATAAGAATGGGACTGAATCATAACAACCCCATAAATCCGACCGCCTTCAGCCACGGCTGTCAGCAATGAGAGGCATACAAAGATTATGAAACATCTTGATGGGAATGTTGTTTTGAGCCAACGCTATGTTGGAAAACAAACTAAAATATGTATGTGTTTGATTTAAATGAAGTGAAATGTCTGCTAGTGCACCAGCCTGACTCATGGAGTATTTCTGGACAAACAACAGAGCTCAGGCACACAGGAGGAAATGCTTCTTAGTGGATCTCTTCATGTCTACCAAACGTATGAATCCCTTCATTTACTACAATCTTGATCTTTTAGAAACAATCATTCACCTTCATTCTCTTCGTCTGTCAGCTCCTCTGGACCGGCCAGCGGCAGCAGGAGGAAGGGCAGGATGTCCACAGCCTCACTAAGTAACCACTCATGATGATCTGGAGAGAGTGAAGAGAGGTTGAAATCAGATGACTGCAGTTCAGTGAGGACATCCAGAGTGAAGCATCTCTGATTTAACTCAAATTATAATTATTTCAGCGAACCAAAGTAAGGAACTGGTTTCAACTCAATCAAATAATAACAGATAGAAAAGTTAAAAAAACAGCCTTGAAACTTAAAGTTATCTTAAAAGCTATAGGTACAGTTACATGACTTTGCTGTATTAGCTTGTTCTGGTGCAGCTGTTGAGGTTGCTAGGCGACCAGGGGCAGCACTAACAAACAAAAGGGTACGGCAGATACAGCTGGTGATGCAAACAGCAAATCCTTTGTAGACCACACCGTTTCATTTTAGTGTGGCCTGATTGGTCTCCTCAGGCTAGGAAGGCGGGGTCTTTCAACCGGATGCTCCCCCCCCCCGACATGTGACACAGAATGTGCTCACCGTGTTCAAAGCAACAGTTGCGCAGGGTGCCGATGACTCCGCCCCTCCTCACCACCGATGCCTGGAACTGAGTGAAGTGCAGCAACCTCTGGACTACACATCTGGAATACAGAGAGAAATACTGAACATAAAATCGGGAATATAAGACGCACAGAGATTTTAGTCTTTTAAGTTCTGCAAAGTCCACAACGTGCAGTTTCAGTGCTACTGTGTCGCTCTTTTAGTACCGTCTGTTTTCACTTTGTGGAGTTTGCACTCCTACTAGCTTCAGTACGGTCGCTGAGCTTTCAGCCTACTGTACAAGTTTTGAAGTACTGACCCACAGACCGCGAGTCTCTTTGCCAAACTTTGCTGGTCACTACTAAACTTTTATATAGAAGTCTTTCAAAGAGTTGAGCTCTTCACAAGGTCTATTTACTGAACAATATACCACCCTTTTCTTTAAATGAAAGATTATGACCTCATGACAAAGCAGTTCCTCAATACAAAGCAGCACACTTCAGTTTGTCAACCTTTGAAACAAAAGCACCAGATGTTACACTGATTGCAAGGAGAAACAGAGTGGGGACTTAAATATTTAACGGATGCAGTGTGGACAGCGAGCCTGCAATCGTGCGCGATGCTACATCCACCGTTAGGAGACGGTGTAATGAAGCTGATTCTGATTTTACATTTGTAGAAATCGACACATTTTTCCAAAAAAAAAAAAATGGTACGATATGACATTTTAACATAAAAACGAGGGTGCACAGATGTTCCCCTCTGTCTAGACATCAGTTATCAGTCACCTGTCTTTGTCCAGCAGGTAGTTTCTGGTCTCGGGCAGCTGGGTCAGGTTGGACAGCAGAGGACCCAGGTAGTGGAGTTTGGCCTTTTTATTGTAACCTTCAGTGCAGAAGATCTCGACCAGCTGAGCCAGACCGACTCCCTCCTGGAGAACCTGAAACAGCAAAGACACTCTTTATCTCCCAGAATCCTGCACTGGATTTAGAGAGGATTAGCGGACCTGTGAAGGATTTACTCTCTTCCCCTCTCCTGTTAAATGTCCAGACCCGTCACTCAGACCCACCTTGAACACAGTCTTGCAGGTCTTCTTGTGGCGGCTCAGGTTGGACAGGATGGTGCAGATCTGATCAGAGAACGGGTACTCTGGATCTTGTAGGTTTTTTAATAACACTGGAAGAATGTTGACATCTGCCACCAAAACCTGAATGAGACACAAACAAAAACACTTACTTCCTACTTGTTTGTCTTTATCAAAAATTCAACACATCTCTGTTAAGTTGTGTGTATTGTTCTATTTATGACAACAGCCTCTCACTATCAGTCGCTCAGAAGGCCCATGGGTGTTTATTTGGGATTGGATGTTCAATGAAGACCGATTACCTGATGCAGAGTCTCGTCAGCTGTCAGGTTGATGAAGACGTGGTAACAGTCCTTCACTATGGCGATGGAGGGTCTGACGTGAGAGCGAACAGGGCCCTTAGTAAGTCTGGTTTAGAGCGGAAGAAGCGGCAACCATCACTGAAAAAGAACAAACAGGAAAACAGTGAATACATTAGTTAACGTTTAAGATACTGACCAGGCTCAGAGCTTGAGGAGGAGGGGACATCCACCCGCGCCCACCCCCCGACAGATGTTCATGTGTTTATTTTCTGTTATGTCAAGCATGTGTTTCTTTAAAGGGATATTTTGGTATATTCAGTGTGTGCTGCAGGTGGAGGAACACGTATGTGGTGTGCTGAAGCGAAGTGGCTCGCTAGCGGACCAGATATGATGTGTTGAGAACATTCTCAATTCAGCGTACATTTACCCCGATGTTGATTTTTAACTCTGTTTTTCTGAAAATTAGCAAACAACCCTGTCTTTTCACCTGTAAAGCCTAGCTTCAGTGCAGGCGTGTACACCTGGCTGAGAGAATTTAGGTAAGGAGGCGCCGTTTTGATGCTGTATTGTAAGCGAGCAGCAGGGTTTTAAATATGATGGAGCAGTAACCGGAGCCAGTGGAGGGAGATGAACAGCGTAGTGACATGTGCTATTTTGGGTAGACTGGAGAGCAGAGAACTTAAACAAGGCCAAAAGCTGCCGTGTTACATTAAAAAGTTACAGTAGGCTACACGTTCTTCCTCAGTCTCCTACCTGTGTGCTGACAGGCCCAGGATGTACCCTGTGGCCTGTCCTTTGACATCAAGGCGCGTACCAGGCCCAGGAAGGAGAGCAGCTCCGCAGCCTCAGATTCACTCAACATTTTCTACAAGTGTCTGAAAAACAGCAAATAAAAGGAAAAAAAAAAAAAGTGGTTCAACGAGTGACCATGTTGGCAGCAGACTTTCAGGCAAATACATCTGTGGTTGTTATAGTTACAACAGATGTTGAAGACAGAGAGTGCCCCTAACAAATGTCTTTATGTGTTTTTCTTATATGTGAAAAAACTAAACAAAGAGGCATTGGTAGTAGGACACGTTCACTCTTTAACATCTCAGTGGATCACAAACTTCCTGACTGTCAGGTGAGACAGCAGGTGAGACAGCAGGTGAGACAGCAGGTGAGACAGCAGGTGAGACAGCAGGTGAGGCTGGGGAGGGTCACATCCAGCACTGGCACCCTGCAGGTATTTGTTGTTGTCACTGACAGCACAGTCTGTCAAAGTCAAATACCTTGTGAGCATCACTGGCCAAATCTGATTCTGATTAACCTCTGCTGTAACCACGACAACCACAGACACGCTCGGCTAGAAGTCACCAGTTAGCACGGTCACTTTTTACACCGTAACACTTGTGAAAAACTAAATTACTCACAGTGAGTTTAATACCAGCATTTGTAGACTTTGAAAAGCTTTATTCATACATGTTTTGATGTTGGAGATCTATGTAATCAGCTGACTAATATATAATAACATAGCAAGTCAAATGTTACATCTACTACTGTCGTCAGCACACAAGTTCATTTCCAGAAGTTTCGGATATAAACGATGTTAGCCAAAGCAGCTGAAGCTAAATTACATGAAGATATTTTACCTTATTTCCTCACATGAAGCAGACAGTCTTCAACAAGCTGTTATCATTATTCAGTATTGTTTTCTGCTGACGTTAGAAACACATGTGGACACTCACATGTGGACACTACAGCCCCAACGAAGTCCCGCCTTACTTCCGGTTTACTTCCGCGTTCGCGACTGTTTTCTTCTTCTGTCTTCGTCTTTTGCATCTTCAAGGCTCCATGTGAGCATTACTGCCCTCTAATGTCAGCTATAAAAGTAAAAGTCTTTATTTTGACAGCTGGATAACGAGATATTTAACGTACTTATCTCATTTTACAGTGATTGTTTTTGTCAATAACCAATTATAACAAAAAAAATAAGTCTCAGAGCTCCCCGAAACATGTGGGTGAGGTTTCTTGTTCTATATCAACCCTGATCCTGTATTTCATCATGTTTATAAACCCCTCTATTTCAGCCCTGCTCAGAACAGGCTGTTTATGTGTCTGTACCTTTAAATGTAAATGAGCTGTGTCTGACCACGCCCCCTCTCTGGAAGAGCTTGGTTGTACTCGGGCTTTCTCGCTCCATGTCCTAGGCTGTATCCGAATTGCCAAGTACATACTCAATCTTTCAGTAGGCAGTAGCTACTATCCGTGCTGTATACTGTTTAGTACTTACTATTCAGTATGCGCACACAGTAGGCAGATATTTGTTCCTACTTCTTCTGATTCATTCAGTAAGGAAGTGACGTCATTTACGTTTCCTGAACCGACCGCATTCACCCGTTATTTTTGTTGAGCTTTATTCAAGAAGAGTAATGCGCATATACAGTCAGGTGAACAAAAAACAATATTACAATGTAAATCAAGTAAAAGGCAGATTAAATAACTAAATAACATACAGTACATAAAGGAAAGTACAAATGAAAGACAGTAATATACAGAATATAAAATAAACCAATAAAGACGCATTTAAATAGTTAAATCATTACTTAAATAGAGGGGGGAAGGTTTTATAATAATGAAGACATTTGTTATATTTTCTGTTGTTAATTTAAGGTAGTGATTTCAGTCGGGACTTTAACTCTACATTAAAAATTGATTCAATTAATCCACGCTCGTTTGTTTTGATTTGGAGGCAGACGTGGTGAAGTGACGATTTACGTTTAATTTCGCACAGCATTGTGGGTGGTAAAATACAATTCATTTCCTGAAAGCACGCATCCGATCCATACTGCATAAACCCCGGAAGTTAGTATCCATACTGAAATGTTCAGTATACTGAGGTGGACCCAAAAAATGCATACTGAATGACCACAAGAGTTCAGTATACTGAAACTCCTACTGAATAGTACGTACTGCATACTGAATGGGGGAGGGGCTACTGCCCTTTGTGATGTCATGAAGAGAAAATCTCCAAACGGCCTGTTTGAGCACACATTTTCTGAAAAGTGGAGCAGAGAAAAGACGCAGAGGATGGACTTTTCTCATGACTGAGGGTTTGAAATGTAATACCAGACAAATTATTTGATGGGCACATTATTTTTTATATGTAGCTGATATAACATTACAATGTAAACTGCTCATGACCTTATTCTGGCACGTGGATAAAATTGAGGTTCAGCTGTGCTTCTGTTTACCTGCATCCACTGACTATCAGGTATCTTATTTCTCCCATGCAGGCCTAACAACACCGACATGAACAGACGCTCACTGGAATAAGCTTTGCATGCAAATCTCTTTTCAGGGTTAATAGCAAAAACCACAAAGTCTCATCGATGCACAAAAAGTTAGCCAAACATCTGCAGCTTATTTACTGTTCTTGAGAGTGTTGTCTTCTCATCCAACTCGGGGAGGTAACCTGCAAAGGAATGCTGCAATGTGCAAAAAGAGGCTTAAAGAAAAGGACTGCAAGTTGTTGAGAGTTGATTAACTATGACTTAAGAAATAAACAGGTCTGCAAGAATTTAATGAGAAAGGAAATGACACATCACATGTTTGAGTTTTAAAGTGTTTACAAGAAAACAGTGCAGCTTTAACCTTTCAAACTACTTTATTGATATATTGAAAAAAATAAGACACTAACAAAACATTCACAAAGTTTAGACCCATCAGCAACAGCTCTCCCTCGCTCCAAATGTTGCATTGAAATGCTGGTATTTCATTAAAGCTCAAGAATGTGTTGTCTGTACCAAAGCACTCACAGCTTTCACCTCCTGATTAAAAGGTACAGGTCAACATTTCACCGACTGAACAGTTCAGACAACAAAGGGCACTTTTTCTTTCAAAGAAGCAAGAGTGAGTCAAATGGTACAAAATGTTTTGTTTTCATGAATTTTGGTCAAATGCAGCAATTGAACATTTCACACAAACTGAAAACTAAACATAGCTGTGGAAAAGGCCTGAGCCTGTGTTTATGATTGCGTCAACAGTCTTCAGACATTCATTTCAGAGAAGTGTTCAAACATGCAGCTCTGAGGCTGCCGGGTTAAAACTCCGCCTCGGGCTCTTCCATGAATGAAAGGAGGTCAGACACAGAAGGCTGCCGACTGAAGAACGTTTCTGATCCCCCCCCCGCTTCCAGCACTGAAACGTTTAATTTTTCATTGAACAGCAAACACTTAACTCGTCAACAGCACTTTAATACATGTTTTAAAAAGAAAATTCAGCATCTTAATTCAGAAACATATCACCAACATATGTGTAGTTTTGAAAAGAGTGAGGAGGAGAAAAAAGGAGGACTGGAGACGCCTCAGTCCGGATTGTAAACAGATAAAATATTCATAAAGTCGTCCAGGTGGAGTCCAGTCCATGTCACCTGCCTGAAGCCAGAGATTCACTTCCAGAATTTACAACTCCATGTCAGAGAAGGAGAGCTTTCAATGAAATGTTTGACTGAGAGTTTCTTGTAAATTTTGGTTGTCATGGTAACGGAGCACTACTTGTATTATCTCGCACTGAGTGTAGCATCAAAGTCTGGATCTCTGCAGACCGAGGAAGGTATCAGAAGGCACTGTGGAGTTTGACTGACAGGTAATCAGCTGGCAGTCTCTTTCTGTTGGCTCAGGGCGGGGCAAGTCCATCATCATCATCATCAATCATCAATCATCATCATCATCATCACCATCACCCTCCTCCTTCACTCGGCTTTGTCTTTCCTCTTGGATGTAAACGGGACTTTGCTGGCTACCGTCGATCCCACCGAGGAGACGCCGCCGGCCACAGCAGACACCCCGCCCTTCACCAGCCCCACCCCCATCGAGGGCACCGTGGTTACAGCCGACTTGCCGATCTCCAGGCTCTTGCCGCCCACCCAGACGACTCCGCCCACCGCGGCACCCACGACTCCCTTTGTGACGTTGAAGAGGCCGCCAGTCACTCGCCACATCATGCCGGGAGCAGGCACCTCGTGATCCTTCCCAGGATCTAAAAACAAATCAAATATCGTTTTGAGTTTTAAAATGTTTTCCTGAACAATGTCTCAAATAAAAAGACCAAAAATCATGAATTACAAGCAAAGTTCAACGCACAAACCGTTCAGAATTCAGTAGCTCTTACATTAAGAATTTAGAAGAATATAAAAAAATAAAACTAAACACAATAGAAAATAATATAATAGATGTTTAAAGCTATTTACAAAGATATATTAAAAGGTCACACATTGTGTAAAATCCACTTCACCATGTTTTTCTAACTCTAACATGTGTCTCTAGTCTGTCTATAAACCCCCAATGATGAGAAAATCCATCCTCTCCATCTTTTACCTGCTCCACTTTTCAGAAAATGTGTGCTCAAACAGGCCGTTTGGAGATTTTCCCTTCATGACATCACAAAGGGCAGTAACCCCTCCCCCAGGTGGGTGACACTCCCACAGCTAGGTGTTTGTTCTAACCTCTGAGTCTGCCTTCTCACCGTAAACAATAGGACATGGAGCAAGAAAGCCAGAGACACCAAGCCCTTCCAGAGAGGGGCGTGGTTAGACACATCTCATTTACATATTTAAAGGTACAGACACAGAAACAGCCTGTTCTGAGCAGGGCTGAAATAGAGGGATTTATAGGCATGATCAAATAAAGGATCAGAATGGATTTAGAACAAGAAACTTCACAAACATGTCTTAGGTGATCTGAGACTCATTTAAATTTGATTAAAAGGAGGAGAATATGTGACCTTTAATAATATTGAAATATTCCCTGCATAAGTAAAAGAAGGAAATGAAGAGTCACCCTCATCTGTACCAAGTTTTGTGGCAGCATTTATAATATGTTAGAGTGATATTGGTGTGTCTTTTAATTGAGGCTTTGAAAGAAGCTCCTGATGGTCTGATTCAACCTGGTGAGTAAACTGTCATCATGGCCGACAGCTTTGCTGAAAACACATTTCTGCTTCATCCAATAACAGGAGTGATGTTTACAGAGAGCAGCAGCGGGGATTAAAGTCCTGCAAAGTGTCTCGGTGCAAGGACACAAATAGCAGTTTGCTGCTTTTACACAAACACAAAAAGTCCCTGATAAACGGTCTGCTTCTGAAATAGCAGCAAGCAACATGTGAGCACAGATTGCACCATATTCCCAGCTGATGTTTCAGCGTTTAGCCACAGCCAGGGAGCACGCTGCTTACCCTCTGTGGGCTCGATGGGGGCGGGTTCAGCCTCCTCCGTGGCCAGGCTGGTGCCGGGTTGGGGCCCACGTTAACACTGTTCACATCCTGCAAAACACAAGAAACACCCGGGGATGAGTTCCTCGTCTTACACAAAAACGTTATAATATAGAAGTCAGGCTGTTGTCATTTTGATCCCCGTCTCTTTCATCAGGTCCTCAGTTCAATAACAGCAACGTTCAGTCTGGATTTAGTCAGACAAAAGGTTAAAAGCATCATTTTCACAGAAAGGGCAAGGAGGCTCTTGTGAAATATGCTGGTTGCATTATGAGAACAAAGGCTTGACTCATACAGGAACGAACATCAAGACATCCACGCCTCGTCTGCACAGACTGGATTAGTTTTTATCTTCTGCAGAGCACAGAGCACATCCAAAACAAATGTTCCACATTCTTGTGGTCAAAGTTTTTTCTCTCTTGAAGGCTGCAATTTGGTGAGGAGGGCAAACGCATGAGTGTAATGTTGTGTTGTTTTCATGCTTAATTGCCAGAAGGGGGCGTGTCAGTGGGAGTGGCCTACAGTAGAATTAGCAGAATTTATGAAACCATGTTTGAGCTCTCGTGTCGGTGGAACCGTTACTACAAACGGCTGGTGTGTGTGCTCTCGCGGCTCGGCAGAATCATAGTGTGCGCGTTCAAACGATTATGATGATAAAAATTAGTTGAAACTGTTCTTATGTCAGCGGTCTCCCGTGTTTTTAAAAATCATTTAGATACTAAAATACAGAAGTCAGGCTGTTGTCATTTTGATCCCCGTCTCTTTCATCAGGTCCTCAGTTCAATAACAGCAACGTTCAGTCTGGATTTAGTCAGACAAAAGGTTAAAAGCATCATTTTCACAGAAAGGGCAAGGAGGCTCTTGTGAAATATGCTGGTTGCATTATGAGAAACAAAGGCTTGACTCATACTGGGACCGAACATCAAGACATCCACGCCTCGTCTGCACAGACTGGATTAGTTTTTATCTTCTGCAGAGCACATCCAAAACAAATGTTCCACATTCTTTGTGGTCAAAGTTTTTTTCTCTCCTGAAGGCTGCAATTTGGTGAGGAGGGCAAACGCATGAGTGTAATGTTGTGTTGTTTTCATGCCTAATTGCCAGAAGGGGGCGTGTCAAGTGGGAGTGGCCTACAGTAGAAATTAGCAGAATTTATGAAACCATGTTTGAGCTCTCGTGTCGGTGGAACCGTTACTACAACGGCTGGTGTGTAGTTTACCCGCTAACCGCAACAGCTTCCAGTGACGCAAAAAACGTCATTTTGCGTCACTGGAAGCTCCTTATCAGATTTAGAAATACAAAGATTTCCCATCTCAGGGGAAAATGAGGGCAGGATGCACGACCATTCAAAAATACTACCAGGTTTCTAATGATACAAAGCTTAATGCAAATGGAGGAAGTATCCCTTTAAGTCAATCTGTGATTCTAAAACTGCACAAAGCTGTGATTGTGATCGTAAATGTTTGTTAGTCTCTGTAAGTCCCAACATGCCCCAGTAACAGCTCTGTGATTGACTGGAGACCAAACAAAAAGAGAACTCTTTCACTGCCTTTTTTTCCCTTTCAAAATAAAGTGTTCTGTTCACCTGAATTACAGATATGAGTCTCTTGTCTCGTCAGCATGGCTCACGCCTCACACCCAGTGAAAACATGTTATTATCTGACACACTAGCCACACAGAGACGACGTACATTTTGAAAATTGGGGCCCTTTGGTTTCTGTAAACATTGTTTGTTTAACACAGGGTGTCTTGTTAGTTCAGTCAGTAAGGTTTGAGTGCATGCAGTATTTAATGAGACGACATTTCACCTGGGGTTCCCCCTCGTTCTTTTTCACCTTGAAGGAACTGATGATGCAAGATTACATTATCTGACTTTATGCTCGTTTTAATTTAATTTAATGTATTAAATCAAGGTTGTCCAAATGTTCGATATTTATATACGATTCCACAGGTTTTAAAACAATACAATCTCCATCATTTTAATGTCATGAAGCTTTATAAAACAGCAGATCTTCATACGCTGCCCTGAGAGAAACAGAGCACAGTCTAAATTGTACAAATACGCTGGCAGTGTTTCTGTGCTGAAATGTTCTCAACCTATTTGTGCAATTTAGACCGTTTGCCTGCGATTTTTGGTCATTAAAAAGAATAAATTATCCAATATGAGGTGGTTAGGACTTTTATGTGTGTTGCCTTAGTAACGACGGATATCGAAATCGTTTGATTTTTTACTAACATCATATCTAAGTTTGATATTCTGGTACATGACATAACACGCTCAACAGGTGTCTGCTTCACTGACAGGTAGTCTCGTCATCATGCTTCATTGTTGCCTTAACCTTTTTGACCTGTGACCCTTCAGATTAAAAGATCCCTCCCTCTCGCCACCATGACTGTGTGCTTTTCTAAATGACATGTAGGAGCTTCAAATAAGCGCATACTTCACATTCTTCGTGCAAAAATAGAAACGCCAATTTCCTACAGTATGAATCATCTTAAAGAGGACCATCACCCCACCCCCTGTTTTTTTTTTCTTCTTCCTGTGACCCACATACGAGGCCTGTATCTTGAGGTTAAAACCAGTCTTGCAAGGTCTTTATATATATGTGTTGCTCCAAGTGGATCTGTCCGCCAAACTTAAAGTCAAAATGTGCGTTTTTTTTTGTTTTTTTTTTAAAGGGGAACATTTTGACTCTCTTACAAAGCTTATACAAGACACAAAAATGCACTTTTAAGGAAGAGCTGATACAACTCGCACCCTCTGAAGAGGATACAAATACAAAAAATGATACACCATGATATCAAAACTCAACATAATCATGTAACCTCTCGCTTATATAAATGCACTCATAGCCTAGAGATTGCATGCCTTCATAATCCCGTCACTTTGAAGCTGTTTTAGAACCACATTTTCACTTATTTTACATTTAATGAGATGCTGCCTGGTCCTTACCTTCACCATTGTTCCAGTGTTTCTCCCGCAAACACACCTGGCACAGAAACTTCGAGACAGGAGCGGCTTCTTGTTTCAGCCTCCGAACCAAACTGTGCTGTAAAAATGAGTGAATTTCTCTCTCTGTCTCTGTTTGTGTGTAAAAGCTGCTGCTCGGAAGTGTCTTCGGTCTTTTTTCTTTATCGCATGAATGTGCTGCTGTCTAACTTCTGCTCTCTCTCTCTCTCTCACTTACAGCCACAGCTACGCACCTCTCTTTCTCTGCTGCTGGTTCTGCCGACGTGGCGCCCTGAACCACCACATACACACATATACATACACACATCCACGTAAACACACAGAAGTCTCGCTGCACACTCGACGACACACTCTGCTTCCGTTTCAGACCTTCAAAGTAAAAATGTGTTCCTAAAGATGAGGTGGACTACTTTTGGGGTGACAAGGAGGATGCCAAAGTGACGTTCAGGAGTCAAGAGTTAATACAAATTAAATAATTAAAAGAAAGGACACAATATTTATTTTTATATTCATGATTATTTTTTTGAATTAAAAGCATATTTATAAATGTTTTATTTTATAAATAATTCATGACTTTTGCTTGATCTTTCTTTTTTCTCTTGCTTTTTGCTCCTTTTATGCACAGAAATAATACAGGAGAAGTAAACATATGCCTTATTTTTATTTTATTTTATACATTTTCTTTTATCTAGCCTAAGTATAAGGACAACTGAAACGCAGACTCCTACATTTAAGACATTCAAAAATCTAACTAGACTAAACAAACAAAAAATTCAACAGTTTGCATGTAGAAGATATGCTGGAGGATTACATCAAAGGTTTGTCCTACCTAAAACTTTTTTATGGTAAACTCAATCCACAATTTCCAAATATATGTCAACCTTTTTTGGGCAGTAAATGAATTGCTGTGTGCCTCTTCCTGGAACCGGAGGGGCGATGGTTCAAGTCCCGATGGGGATCAAAGTATGAGAATTGGTCTGGTAGCTGGAGAAGAGGTCACTTCACAAGGGCTGCCAAGGGCTCTTTGAGCAAGGCACCAAACCCCAAAAACTGCTCTGGAGCGCTACCTGTGTAGAAGCCCAACTCTCCATTAAAGGAAGTCCACGAGTCCTGTTTGTGCATGTGTGTAATCCGGGCCTATGTGTCTGAGAAGCAAGGCTCTCAATAACAGTGTGTAAAACAGAATTTCCCCTTGTGTATGAATGAAGTGTGTAAACTGTAATGAGGCTCTGTGTCCTGATATGAGTTTTCCAGATTTCTGCTTCTGTTCCTGAGTAGGGAGAGGGGTTTTAAGTCATGACAGCAGATGGGTTTCCAGCTATAATAGTATTTATCCTGGATCATATTGAGTCTTTGCCTAATAATTTAAATTTTCTATTTTAATGTTTATTTTTTCCTCTGTCATGTTGCTTTTGTTGTCTTTTGTGAAGCACTTTCAATTGCCTTGTTGTTGAAATGTGCAATATAAATAATATATTGCCCTGGCTTGCCTATCAGGATCTTGTTATTCACCATCCAACCCACACATGTGACTGTTACATGTGTGACATTGATTGGTCACAGTCTGACAATGAAGTATGGGAAATACACAGAAAAACTTCATTTCAGAAATAAAGTGAAATCTCTTTTTGACTTTCATGTGTAAATATGTGGGATACAGGTGTCACTGTGATATAGAATACATAATCACTTATTTTAATCATACACTTTGGCTGACTTACTTACTCCGAACTAAATGTAAATGTGTATCAACTCAAGTGAATTTATTTCAGGCCTTTATTTTGAAAAGAGGAAATCAGCTGCGGGCTGTTGATGTGTCATTCTTGAGCTCAGGCTCCAGCTCCAGCTCCGGATCCTCAATCATGAGATACAACCAGGAGGACTGTGTGTTCTTCTGTGTGACGGTGACCTGACTGTGAATGCTGATAGTGTGATATATGTTCAAAGGGAGACTCAGACATATAGTTTACAAGCAGACAGGTATAGAGTGACATATAGACCGAAACCATAAAGTTAAAGATAGTCTGTAGATATCAGTCAAGGGTCATGCTCTGCACGGTGATGTTGGCAGCAACTTTCATTGACCTGAAATATATGTCACTTGCTGCACCACACATATGCCTCTAAATACCAGGGCCGGATTGACCTGCTGAAGGCCCAGAGTTGAACATGCTGCTGGGCCCCCTTTCGCAGCAGCACAACAAACAAAGTTACAGACATAAAACACAGAACAAATACAAACATAGGTCAACATATCCTGAGTCACAGAGCAGAAAAAAAATCGTTATTCAAAGCATCTATAACCTGAAGCATCTTCCTCCAACACCTTCAAACTCCTGCTGGTAGGTGAATACACTACAAGAGAATTTGAGGGAGAATTGCCTGGAAAACCTACGAGGGGCTTGTAGAGTGGTAAAATTCCCCAGACAGAATAGATACATCATAGCATTGAATGGATAATTTGAACACAACATCTATGAATCCATAGTGACATACACAACAAGAACAGTATAAATGAGAACAGAACAGCAGGCAGCAAGGCATCATCAAATATTAATCTATTGTACAAACAAAACAATTTACCTACACATCCAGACACAACAACAACCTCTTACAAGGCATGCATATGTAAGCAATAGTGCTGATAATAGTGCCAAAACACACAGATATGTAGCTTAGAGCATTTCGTAAGAACAAGAAAGAAAAAACAAATGATCAGTGATAAAATTAAAGTTAAATTGTCTTAATTTTAAATTCATAAATCAGGAAATGGAAGAATTACGTCTGACTATATTTTCAGTCTAACGGTTATATGGTTATAATCTTTAACTGAAAAGAAACTGGATTAATTTGTATATTTTGTGTACAAACTGTTTCAGGGGTCTTTTTTTTTTTTTTGTTCAGGCATATTATGGGTCGCGTTGTTTGGGGTCCTCACTGGATACTCGGCGCCAGTCTCTCCGAGTGAAACCGACGAAGTGAATAACGAGTCAAATTTAGTGCAATATTCTTTTAAATCAAACCGTTTGGGACATCTGGTTAGCCTTTCGTCCGGCAATGAATCTGGAACTGCTCGGTAAATAATGAAACACGTTTGTTTTTAATCTAAAAGGTCTCATTGTCGCTACTTCGTGATCGCTTTGCTCTTGTTGTGGTTAGCATTGTGCGTTAGCCTAGCATGCTAACACCAACAGCTACGTGTCAAATTCTTATTTTTTTTAGACAATTTTAACAGTTAAAATGTAAAGAAGTGGAATAAAAATAACTTTGATTTGCTCACTTTGCTTTGTGTCGAGCCGTAATGTAAACATTGGTTGTAAAAGTGTAGTATAGTACGTATTGTGGATATTAGCTTATATTAGCATCGACACTTTGTTTCATTGAATTAAAGATTTGTGAAAGAGAAAGTAAACAACATGATGAGGTGTTATAATAACTTTATGTGTTCATCTACTCCTAATGATGCTGACTCTAAACGTTATAATGATTCATTAAGTTATGAAATGAGCAGCTGCTACTAATGACAGGATGTACAGTGAGATATTATTATTATTGTTACTATTATTATTTTTTAGTTATTATTATTATTATTATTTTTTTTTAGTTATTATTATTATTTTTTAGTTATTATTATTGTTATTATAATTATTGTTGTTATTATTATTATTTATATTATTGTTATTATTATTTTTAGTTATTATTGTTATTATTATTATTATTATTTATATTATTGTTATTATTTTTTTAGTTATTATTGTTATTATTATTATTATTATTGTTATTATTGTTATTATTTTTAGTTATTATTATTGTTATTATTATTTTTAGTTATTATTATTATTACTATTTTCAGTATCTCTTAAATGTTGTACGTCGGGCTTTGAAGGTGGAAAAGCAATGCGATTGAATAGTTTTGTGTTTGAACAGGTAGCATAATATTGAACTTTTTGGGTTTCTGTGTATTGCTTTTTGAAAATATAGTTTATGTTACTTTAATTTAGTTTAAGTGCAAAGTTAGATCATAAGGATACTCGATTATGTCAAAATCCTAATCATAATTAATTTCATTAATATTGAGACTTCTGTTATTCAACACTCATTGATTCAACATCTGCATCACATGTATTTATCAAAGTCAACAGGTCGTAACTTATTTTAAGTGCTACACTTGTTTCTTTGTGATTTTTAAATATTTCCAGAAAACCACGTCAGGGCTTTTATTTCCATTTTGATACTAATGTTCTGACATAAGTATCACCTTAAATACTCATGTTTTAGTTTTCTCCACGATTCTCTTTGTTCTCTTTAATTGTCACCTTTGATAAGTTTTCTTTATAATTTATTTTCTAAATTTGGTGCTTCATGTGAGATAACCTTCTTTTGTTAATGATTGTTTAAATTCAACTATGGTATAAATGTCTCCATCTGTTAAAGTCTGTTTATTATATTTAATTTGCCTTCCTGAATTATTTACAATAGGACCATGTCACATTTCTTGAAATGTCTCTTCTTCCTCTTCCTCGTGAATTTAAGATGTTTTTAAAGGGTTCCTGTTCTGTAAATACTCCAGCATTTTTCTTTGTGTACATTTAAATGAATTGCAGACTTCATTCGTAAGTTAGTTAACGTTAGCTCTTTTTAAAATTCTACTTTTGTGTTGTGTTTCCTCACGTCTTTAGTGTTTAGTTTTTCTCATCACTGTCTCTTTTATTTTTTTATTTTCTAGAATCGTTTGGGCAGAACTATCCAGAGGTAAGCCACCATCTCTTAATGTTTACATTAACCCTAAAAGAAGTTTGATCCATATTGTGCACAAGAAATCATCCAAACACTGATCAACATAAAGTTTCATCATTTGATTCAGTCAAAATATGTGAAGCTCTTCCTGTATTTCTTTTAAAAACGTTTAGGCTGTGTTTCAATGCGGGTGTGTTTTTGTCCGTTTGTGTTTTTTAAGGAGGCAGATGGCACTCTGGACTGTATCAGCATGGCCCTCACCTGCACCTTCAACCGCTGGGGCACCCTGCTGGCTGTGGGCTGCAACGACGGCCGCATCGTCATCTGGGACTTCCTCACGCGAGGGATCGCCAAAATCATCAGTGCACACATCCATCCAGTCTGTTCTTTATGGTAAGACGCAACACACATCGTTCAGTGTGTGGTCATCACTGCTCTGTGAAAGTCTCATCTAATGCACTAATCCACTCAGACACCTCCTTCTTCTTCCTTCACCAGTTCCATCTTAGACTAAGTCCTCACTAACAAGTCTTAAAGCACAGCTTTTGTTTGAAAACTACACAGGCTGCCAGCTTTTTTGATTTCCGTTTTCATCAAAACACCTGAAGAGTCTCTTATGGTTTTTATGAAACAACAAAACTTTTACATCCAACATTAAGTAAGCATCAAGTTGGACACCACAGCTTCCTCTGCTGAATCTTGACGGGTTAAACCTCAGCTCGTGGGAATCACTGTTTAGTATTGCATTATATTTGGTTCAGTTTGATGGTGAGTTAAATGATGCTTTGTCACTGTGTGTGTGCACAGCTGGAGTCGAGACGGCCACAAGCTCGTGAGTGCTTCTACAGACAACATTGTCTCGCAGTGGGACGTCCTTACTGGAGACTGTGACCAGAGGTTTCGTTTCCCGTCACCCATCCTGAAACTTCAGTGTCACCCCAGAGACATGTGAGTTACTCGAGTTTCTTTCTGTACATGTTGTATGTGATCTGATCTCAGGTTACACTTTGCGTCAGAAACACAGCTCGGTGTTCGCCAGTTTGTTTTGATCATTGCTAAGACATTTTAACTTGTCATCTAAAAAACTCTCATATTTTAGGGACAAGGTGCTGGTGTGTCCCATGAAGTCAGCCCCGGTCCTGTTGACTCTCTCAGACTCCAAACACGTTGTCCTGCCCGTGGATGACGACTCAGACTTGAATGTGGTGGCGGCCTTCGACAGGCGGGGGGAGTACATCTACACTGGCAATGCCAAAGGAAAGGTCAGACTGAACCAACCATGCTCCTTTCATTCACGTCACTGCACCTCGAGAAAGCTATTTAATATTTATTTATAGGAAGGAAAAAACCTCTGTAGCTACTAATGTTGGATGTGTAACTCTCCCTTGGTTTACATTTTACAGTGAAACTGTTTTATGAATGGCACACAGATTGTTTATTTCATTCTGTCACCATAATGTCCCCTTCTGTTGGTTGTTGCAGATCCTTGTGTTGAAGACAAACACTCAGGAGCTGGTGGCCTCTTTCAGAGTTACAACTGGCACCAGCAACACCACCGCCATCAAGTCTATTGAATTTGCACGCAAGGGAAGGTAAGAGGCAACATGAAGATTAGTCGTGTCAGGCCTTTCAGTATGAACACAATCTAAACCACACAATACACACCTTTTAATTTAATTAAATATTTTATTGGAGGTACAGTTTTATTATGTTACTCAATGAAAACTGATGTCATGTCAATTGAAGAACAGATTCTTATTCCAGTGAAGCCCTTTGTGAGAGTTCTTCCTGATCTTTCTTTGCGCCTGTCTCTAACTCTTCACATTTATATCCTGTGTTCTGTGCAGTTGCTTCCTCATAAACACAGCGGACAGGATCATCAGGGTGTACGACGGCAGGGAGATACTGACCTGCGGCAGAGACGGGGAGCCTGAACCCATGCAGAAACTACAGGATCTTGTCAACAGGTATGTCAGCAGAGGGCGACATTTCACTCCAGTTGCAATTTTTTCTGTTTGATTTGACTTGTTAAGTTCTGCTGATGGGAATGTATTTCATGTGGTCTAATGGACAAGCAGTCTTAAACTTTGCTTCACACTTGGATAAAACTTTCTAAGCTATAAGGATTTGTTGAATGTCTGTGACTTGAATCAAAGTTTCTTGGACTTTCACTTTCAAAGCAGTTTCATTTTGTGTTGCCGCATCTCTCTCTCTCTCTGGTCTCAGTGTGTTTATTCTCTCTGTCTTTTGTTTTCTGTGTGCAGGACTCCGTGGAAGCGCTGCTGTTTCTCCGGGGACGGTGAGTACATCGTGGCCTGGCTCGGCTCGGCAACACGCCCTTTACATCTGGGAGAAGAGCATCGGCAACCTGGTGAAGATCCTGCACGGAACCAGAGGAGAGCTCCTGCTGGATGTCGCTGTAAGGATGTCATGATAGTCTGTCTCAGTAGAACAACATGCACAGATTAAAACATTGACAAAGCACTTCACCCGTTAATTTAACTGTTCACCTCTCTCCAGTGGCATCCTGTCCGTCCGATTATCGCCTCCATCTCCAGTGGAGTGGTCTCCATCTGGGCTCAGAACCAAGTGGTGAGTACAGGTTGACATTAAACAGTTTGTTACCTGGCAACGCATAGGATGAATTAATTTTGATCCAAAACTATGAAGATAAAAATAGGAAAAACGTAAACAGCAATTTACCTACAGCCGAAAAATTAAAAATGATCTAAAATATGTTTAGAATAATAAAGTCTGTCTTTTGTTTAAGTGGTCGAGCGACTTGTTGACTTTTTATTTTGTCTGCAGGAAAACTGGAGCGCCTTTGCCCCAGACTTTAAAGAGCTGGATGAAAATGTGGAGTACGAGGAGAGAGAGTCTGAATTCGACATCGAGGACGAAGACAAAAGTGAACCTGAGCAGACAGGTAGACACACACACACACACACACACACACACACACAACAATCTAACTAACAGGTGGTCTCGCTCACAGAGGGCCTGTAATTGTTGTCATTTTTGCTCTTTTTCTTGCCTTTATTTTTAGAGATAGGACAGTGGATAGAGTCAGAAATCAGAGAGATTGAGTGGGTAATGACATGCAGGAAAGGAGCCACATGTCGGCTTCGAACCTGGGCCGCTCGCTTGGAGGACTATGTACACGGAGCGCACGCACTAACCACTAGGCTACCAGCGCCCCCTCATTTGTTGGTTACACTGTAAACATAATTTCATTATAAGTTGATAACAGTGACAGTGGTATTTTTTTTTTAAATCTTTAATCCTAGCATGACTTTAAAGTTATTTGGCAAAAGTAAGTTGCAACTGAGTAAGAAGTGAAATCACACTGAGAAATAAGATCTGGTAAATATCAATAAAAACACTTGAAACACTGTCATGATGGTGAAACATCCAGAAACATTTCAGCTAAATGTTTGTTTACTCCTCATCAAATTTCATTCCCATGGCTGGAAATCCAAAGACTCACTTCATTTACGATTGTTCTTCATCTTTCAAATGTTTGTATTTTTTTTTCTAGCTGATTGTCAACAATGCAGTTTTGTTGTTTGCATACAATAACAATAATTTATCTTGTCTTATCTGACTCCATTATTATGATCAGTTTTATCTCTTCCTTTTATCTGTGTTGTTGCTTAAACAGCAGTCACCTGATTATTCTACACTTCACCTTCAACCACAGTTTCTAAATCATTTGCACATAAAGATAAGTAGAATAAGAAGCAGCAGTGCAGACTGAAGGTGATCCATCATCTGTTCTGCTGTCATTGGTTTCCCTGTCGTCTCTGGTTCTCTCTGGACGCCTCACACAACATCTCGCTCTCGTGTTTCAGGTGCAGACGCCGCGGAGGATGAAGAGGTGGATGTCACTACCGTGGATCCCATTGTGGCGTTTTGCAGCAGGTGAGAAACGACAGTACGGTTTATTTCATCACTGCAAACAAAGCTGCATGTCTGGTCTGACAAATGCTGTGTTTATTTGACTTGAATCTTCTACAGTCTGATAATCATGCCTGAATCTTTTTGAGTCTTTTTTTTTTTTTTACAGTAACTTTGAATACTTTACAAAGCAACACATCAGAGTACATACATGGGCTGTCATATAATCTTTCACATGGTCTGCAGTCTTTAAACAGTTTAAAGTATCCCTCAAACTAATCTCATATCTGAATAGGACTGAAGTTTTGATCAAGAAGCTTGATTCTGTTCATCCTTTTAAAGCCTGTGGGATCTCTGTTGCATCTTGTAGTGATGAGGAGCTGGAGGACTACAAAGCCCTGCTGTACCTTCCCATCGCCCCCGAGGTTGAAGATCCAGAGGAAAACCCCTTCGGCCCCCCACCTGACGCCTCAGCTCAGACTGCTACCCCAGAGGACTCGCTGGCCAGTGGCGACAAGAAGCAGCGACAGCCTTCGTCTGAAGGAGGCCCGGCCAAGAAGAAGGCTCGCACAACCACCGTGGAGCTGCCAGGGGTGCCCAGTGATGGTGAGGGGGGAAAGAAATCTAAAACACATGAGATACAAAGTCATGTTTAGGGTTATATGTAAACATTTTTGGACACTGGTCAGAGTCTTTACTTGATTTAAAATTTTAAACAGCCACTCCTCCCCCTTTTTTTGATCATATTTTTTTGATTATTTCATGCAAACTTTACCATTCCTCTTCGATTAACCTCTCAAACATTTGATTGTCTTTTTATAAATTAATTTGTTCAAAGCAGACCTTTGACTGTCTTTATCCCGTCTCTCTTCAGAGGTGCACCCTCTACTGGGTGTCAAGGGCGATGGAAAGTCCAAGAAGAAGACAGCAGGCCGGCCCAAAGGCTCCAAAGGTAAAGACAAAGACTTCCCCTTCAGGCCCAAGCCCTACAGGGGCGAACGGCCCGCCTTCCCCATGGAGGCCCTGGGCAGCTCTGGCCCAGGAGGAGGAGGAGGAGGAGTAGGAGGAGGGATGAAGGGGAGAGCAGAGGGGGGCCTGGCCACAGGTAAGCATGCCTCAGCCACCTGCCCTGCTGCTGCTGAGTCTGGGAGCTCTGCTAGTCCTGCAGCCCCGCTAGTCTGACTGACACCTCACCAACCCAGCCCGTCTCACAGTCCTGTTTACACCTGGTATTGACCTCATGATTGATCTGATAACAAGTGGACAGGTGTGAATGCATTCAGGGCGCGTCAAGATCTGATCACTCATCTCGTCTCAGAAACAATGAGGGTAGTAGTTAATACTTCTTAACTATGTCCGAGTACATTCTTAATATTCCTCACATTGTCAGAAAAAAAACATTTTATACATAACAGAGGGATGTGCATGAAAAAAATTGGAAAATTGTCCCTCATATTGTCAGTGAAAGTGTATGTTTTATTTTGAAATACAGATCAAGTGTAGGGGGGGATGAGGATGCATAAATGTGTGAGACATTTCATAACTATAATAAAGTAGCATAGTGGAGATACAGAGGAGCTGAGGTGATACAACCTGGTGTATTTCTCTATTTCTAACTGTTAATAGAGACTCCAGTCTGCAGTGAAGTTCAGACACTCAGAGATAAAAAAAAAAAAAAAAAACTGTATGTGAGGCCTTAATATCAAACTCAGTTTTGGGCGCTCTCTATCTCTCGCTCTGCTCACAGATTTGTTTAGATAAGTTCTACAGACTAATGAAGATGATTAAAGCTCTGTTTTTTTTCATGTAGAGCTCTAAAGGCTTTAGTTTTATGCACTTGAATGTCAGATGTGAACAGGCTGATCTCGAGCTGCCCTTATATATCAGATCCTCCAGAACACATGTTAATACCAGGTGTAAACATGGACAAAGACACCCCTTCCCCTGTACTGCTTCGACCCAACACCCACCACCACACCCCCTCTCAACCCCACCCAACAACGCCCAACAACACAGCTCACTGACAGAAACCCGCCTGCTGTAAAGCCACAGTCTAGAGGACAAAACACAGAATCTAAACCCTGTGTCCACCGAGAACTTTGGGTCGATTCTAAAATTAAAATATTGCATAACATCGAACAGTTTGTCCAGTTAACTAAGGAATAGCTTTGTATTGAGAGCACTGAATATAGGAGTTCTAGGTGTAAAATCTAGAGCTAGCACTATGGTTATTTTGGAATGGATGAAATTCTCATTAAATTCTTGTTTTGATGGCCTATCAATTAGGTCCTGCCCAATGTACGGAGCATATAGTCCTCCAAGCGGGCGGCCCGGGTTCATGTCCGTCATGTGGCTCCTATCCCGCATGTCATTCCCCAGTCTCTCGCTCTCACCACTGTTTCCTACTCTGTCCACTGTCCTATCGAACTACAGGCAAAAAGCCCCAAAATACAAAAAAATAATCTTATTATTTTCTCAGAAAAAAAACCTTCATCAACCCATTGTTTGGGGCTTGTGTGGCTCTTTCTGTTTGTGTACTGAGGTCTATGCTAATGTCCTTTAAGAGGCGCCTCAGAATTAACATGCCTGCTCTGACGTAGTTGAATTTCAACCATTGCGTTTTGTAATACAGTGATGTAACTCGGCTAGACTTTCAGCTGCATGTAGTTCTCTCGGCTTCTTTTCAGGCTGGAAAAAGCTGCTTACTCTTAATCTGTCTTGCTAAATATTGAGTATGCATCATGTGGACAAAGTAGAGCTAAAGAATCTCTGCAGTGTGATGATCAGAGATGCAGGCTGTGAAGTCAGAGTAAACCTGTGTTCAGCATGTGTTAAAACTACTTTAAAAGTCCAAAACAATGAAACAAGATGCGGAGATAGCTGGTTATGATGTCACAGATTGTTAAATCAGACAAAAGTGAGAGATGAACAAACTCATTATAACTCCCATTATAGTCAATAAAATCTTCTAACCTTCAATTTAAAATGAAAACATAAGAAAAGTGTTTTAAACCCACATATCCCTCAGACTGTGGCTTTATGTGACCTCTGCTAACCTCTGCCTCACTTGATTAATTGGCCGTCATTTGAAACTTCGGTGAAGTTGGCTTGTAGTTGGCAGATGGGTGTTGAAAGTGGCTGAACGGTGGGGTGGTGCGGCTTGTTTCCCTGCAGGCTAGCTGGCTAGTCTACGTCTACTTCCTGCTTGGCCTCTGACCCTCCTGCTCCCACTCCCACCCTCGCTCCTTTTGGGCTTTTCGTGTGACATGAAAGTGTGTCTGTAGTGGCGCTGCTCAGGTCCTGTCTTTCTCTGTTTCTGTTTTGGTCTTGACAGATTTGTGTGCAAAATGATGCATATTTTTGTTTTGTAATCAGCATTAACGTCTCCATATTTTGTCTGCTTTGAATTTTAGACTACAATTCTGTAACAGCAAAATGAATCATATGATTATACAGTATACATTACTTCACACTACCTCCAAAAGTGTTTACTAATTAGCTGCTGATATTTATTTAACATTTGCCTATTATTGACTCTGGGGCTGTGTTTGGGAGAGAGAACAGGATGCATGTTGACAGTGTCTGTGTTTGTCTGCAGGGAGTTTGGTCTCACAGTCGTACAAACAGCACGACATCGGAGGGATGGACTGATCGCTGCGGTGTACAGTCGTGAAGAAGCACCAGCAGGCTCAAACAAAGAGACACAAAGCCTGATGTCATGTACAGACTGTGTGAGTGGGCGGTCTGTTTGATGTACAGACTGTTTTTCCTCCTCAAGCCAGAGCACAGCGTCACAAGAAAACCTCCTCGGCCCGGATCACTGAGAGGAGCGGACAAAGAGAGCGTGAAGCGGCCGGGTTGTCCCTGTAGAGATCACATGTCCTCTGTCTCTGTAGAATTCAATTTGTATAGATACACCTGTGTCCTGATAGTGTGTGTGTGTGTGTGTGTGTGTGTGTGTGTGTGTGTGTGTGTGTGTGTGTTGTCTTTCTCGTTGTTTTTATACATATTAAAACATTTTGATTTATAAATAACTAGCTTCTGTGTAGCTCTGAACTCATTTGAAGATCCTACATTTATTATGAAAGCTGGAAAAAACTAAGTTTACTGTCATGGCAGTAAAATAAACAACATATTATATTTTTAAAACTGCCCGTTTGAGGAGTACCCAGATAATGACAGAGGCCTGAAGAAACCACGTTTCATTAATTCAACTGTAAATGTAAATATGGGCTGTGGTTACATGTCCCTCATTTTGGCTTTGAGGCTAGTTTGCACGCCTCATGTACAGTGGCTGTAGTCCTTGAAGTGGGCAGCCCGGGTTCAAATCTGACCAGTGGCTCCTTCCCTGCATGTCATTGCCCCACGCTATCTCTCCCTGATTACCTACTCTATCAAATAAAGGCTACAATTCCTAAAAAAAAAAAAAAATCTTTAAAGTTGCATACTTAGACAGTTCAACATATTTTTCACAAAACTTGGAGATGAGCAGCACAATACGTTATCGTCTGTCCGTTGTCAATTTAGGTTGCTATGGCGACCACAGGCCATCCCCTAAATTCAGCATTAAATGTGTTTATTTAAGTCTTTATTTTATTTAACATTTAACATTATTTAATAACTCATTCTTACACAGACGGTTGCTCAAAAGTCCCTCAGGTGTTTACTGAAGAATTAAACTAAAGTTTAAGTAGCTACAAAGTTCCTACACTGTTTACTGTTGGTGTTAGAGACTCGCAGCTATTTTCCAAACTGTTTACACAAAGCTGTTCTTTTTCTCTGCAGCTGAGGGATTATCTCTGCCTGAATGAGACATTACTCATTCGTCACCTGATCTACTGTACGTTTCCACTTCTGGATCCCCTGGCGTCATTTGTCACGCTGTCAAAAATACTTGATTCCCATCACCCCTCCCCATCACCCGGTTCCACCTGTCTAAATACCTCCTCTGACCAATCACAGAGAAGATGGCGAGGCATCTGCCGGTACTGGTATTTAACTCGTTCATCGTCCTGTCAATCAAACAACTTTATCAAGCTAGAGACAGTTACCCAGGATTAAACAGAAAATGCAGACAAATTAAAAGATGTTTTGTGACGTGGTAAAGTGAGGAAATACTCATTTTATAGTACATAATACATTTCCAAATATTCAAGAGTATCATCTCAAGTTGGATTTGGTGGCGAGTTATTCCAATAGCCCACCAGTTTTTAAATAAGCATAAAAGTCAAAACAAGTTATAATATAACATCAATACACTAACATTTTCCCCCACCATTTATTAACCTTTCTTCCCTATTATAATATTTACTCGTCAACCTTTCAGTAATTTGATTTTTAAAGGGGACATATTATGAAACATCCACTTTCACAGTGTTTTTGAACATAAATTTGGGAAACCTGAGTGTCTACGGACCCACAAAATGTGAAATAAATCCATCCAGTCCTTTGTTTGTGGCCTGCATAAGTCTTACAACACAAAGACATCTTCTTGTGACATCACAGTAGGATTCTGGTAAAAAAAAAAAAAAAAAATACCCTCCCTTCCCCTGGAATCTCCACCCATGGACTCCACCCCCAGCCAGAATTTAATTCTTGTTATATGGCTATTTGTTAGTCTCATGATAATTTTTTACTTTTTTTGTTTTCAATTAGTAAATGTATACACATTATTATTGGTATTATCATTATTTTCATAATAGGCTAATTATTATAATATTATTTTACATTTTAAATACTTTTTCTTCAAAAATATATATATATACGAATTTCCTCTTGGTAAAACTTTCTGTAAAGAATAGCATAGATGTTTATTGCCATTTGCACAGGTACAGGTCAGTACAGGTACATTGGAATTCTTGTGCGTTTCTCCCCGAGTCAGCTTCTACAAAAAAGTTAAAATTATATATAAAATAGACTAGCATTGTAAGAAAAAAAAAAGAAAGAGTACAAAAAAGTAAAAATAAATAAATTGTATTAACAGTTAAGCAAATTAAAATAAACTGTACAGAAGTTATACACTGTATTAAAGCAAAGATATAATACAAAAAAATCAATATAAATAAGTTGTATTAACAGCTAAGCAAATTAAAATAAACTGTACAGAAGTTATACACTGTATTAAAGCAAAGATATAATACAAAAAAAATCAAAATAAATAAGTTGTATTAACAGTTAAGCAAATTAAAATAAACTGTACAGAAGTTATACACTGTATTAAAGCAAAGATATAATACAAAAAAATCAAAATAACAAGGGGAACACTGTACAATGAAATAAAAATATACATTTTCTTATTGCACTTGTTATCGCTTATTGCACCTGAGGTTATGACAGAATGTTACAAGAAGTGTGTTTAAGTTAGGATTTTCGTCTAATTCTTTAAGTTTTCGTGGAGTTATTTTAGCATATTCTTCGAAACAATGGTCAAAAACGAGCCCGTTAAGTTTCCACGTCACGGGGCTTTTATTTTGAAGCTGAACCGGATGTAGTATTTTGTCGGGTAACTTGTGGGGAAACAGGGGCCGGGGCTGTTAGTACTTCTGAAGAGCTGCTAGCAGTCAGTAGTAGCAGTCGGAGTTCTTGTATGTCACCGTGCTGTTCTGTCTGACTTTCTGAGAGCTCACTTTGTCACAGTCGGTGTAATGGAACTGGACAAAATGGACGAGAACGAGTGGAAGTATCACGGAGAGGGGAACAAGAGCCTGGTGGTGTCACACGTACAGGTGAGGATGCTAAGCTAATGCTAATCTAACTTAAAGCAAGCAGCAGAGTTAAACAGAAGAGCTTCAGGAGGACACTCACCGCCTGTTTCAAGATGTACGATTAAAACATGCTTCAGCTCAGAGTTGCCGTCTCCGGAAAGTTACAGTAATCGTTTTGAAAGACATTTTTAAGCCTTAAAAAAAGTGAAATGTCAACTCGTGAAGATTTAATTTATCACCTGAACTCTTCAGCCAGTGGTCGCTAGCTTTAGCTGAGCTTTGCAAGTCAGTGATTTAAGAGTGTTACAGAGGGTTGACATGTGCTTTCAAAACACCACACAATGAGTTACACATAGATTCATGTCCATTCAAAGTGACGGGCTGTCGGAGGGGTTTGTTTTTAAAGATGTTGGGTCCTTAACCCGGCTGTTTGTGAGCTAGCTTAGCTGTTAGCAAGCTGCTCTGTGCTTTTCATCCATCTGCTTGTTGAAGTGACGCGGAACTGAAACTCCTCACCGCCTAACGGGACTGTCGGTTAACTCTGAGGCGGACAGGTCGGCTCTTCAGCTCGTTTTTCTTTCATGCAGGTTGTTCCCCGTGCTGACAGAGAAGCTGGACTGACCGTGGAAAAAAAAAAAGAAACAGAAAAAGCCTGAGTCTCTGGACCGGTCTGGTCATGTTGTTGTTGTTGTGCAATCTTTGACATGTCATGAGGGTTTGACAACATGGTCTTTAATGAAGCTCAGTGTCTGTCAGACTTCATTGTGCTTCTGGATTGTCTACAGTCTTATACAGAAGTGTTTTGTCAGGACTGGACATTTAGCTTCAGGTGGAGTGATGGTTGTTGTGATGATACAATAAAGAAAACCTGAGAAATAGACACAGTAACACTTTTTTTTTTAACTTTAAACAAAACCGGTTTTTGTGTCTGCTCAAGAACTTTTGTCCAAATTAAAGAGTCTCTAAATTGTGATTTATGCCACATCTTATAATTATTTGATGAGAAACTAAGTATTCAGCTCAAGACATATTTTAGTACTTCTAGACCTTCAATATGTACAATATTTCCTGAAATAACTTCAATTTGTGCCTTTGAATGACCCTTAATGCTTACACTTAATATATAATGTTGTTCTCTTATTGAATTTCACAATTATTTTTTACATAAACTAATTGCGCTTTCATTGTTTTAATGGTTCTTTTAGCTTTGTTATTCTCCTTTGGTTTGATTATGTACTCTTATGCCTGAGTTTTTTTTTTAAAGGTTTCTTCTCTCTGTAAAGAACTTTCGAGTTGCTTTGCTCATGAAATGTGCTATATGAATAAAGTTGCCTTGCTTTAAAGTATTGCGGTAATCCTGTGCCAAAAGAAGAGAGTATGCGATAGTGGTGCACAACACAGATCATTTGTTTGGAAAAATACATCGCAAAACAGATAATTACTTCTAAACAAAACAGATTGTTCCCTTTTTTGCTTTGCTAACATCTTAAATATCTCACATTTAAAACATGTTCACAAAAGCATTTATGTAAAAGTGAAATATTTATATTGATCTGTCCTGATTATTTATTTGTGAGCAACACGCCCCAAAAAGTTCTAATAGCACACGAGATGACGACCACATGTATGTATGAATCGTAGTTATTACCCAACCCTAACTCCATGGATCACAAAACTCAGTTCATATAAAACACACAGTAAACCTGCAACATTTTAATCTCTTGTCCTTTTTAAGGAGCTCAGTGTTTCAAAAACAGAACAAAATCATAAACCAGGAAAAATGTTGACAGCAGATTAGCCGAGTATTAGGAGGAGATAATTAAAAAAAAAGTTAAAGTCATTTAATTAGGAGACCGACTCAAGCTGACGTTAAGTTGCCCCAGAAATAGAAGGGGGCACAGGAATGTATTTTCAATGTCTCCTGTCCAAATCCTGGATGAATTAATCCCGTCCCATCCCGTTATCGTGTTTCGACCATGCAGCCGCTGAAGCAGACAGGAAACAATGAAAAAGATTAACAAGCACTTTGTCCAAAATCAAGAAAAACTGCTCGTGTATATATGGAAACTGACATATTAATATGATTCATATCCCACCTGCCCCTAATGCCTGTTTCATGCAGAAAGAAAACAAGTTTTTGCCATCACTCTAGAAGTCCTAATGTAGATTATTTCTGGCACAAACTCAGACAAATAGGGATAAAGTGATAAATCTGTCCCACCTGGCAGCATCTATCACAAATATAATTCAGGCATAATAAAAGTGAACTTGGTCAGAGCCCATCTGCTCCATGTTAAAGTGACTCTTATAGTAAGCAGGTAACTTCAGTGCATGTTGTCTTACCTTCCTGATTTTCTTCCCTGCTAAAGCTCCTGATATCTTCTCTGTCATCAAACTGTGATGTGTATGGAAACGCTGACGAATTCTTTATTGATGTATTGTCACAGTTAATATCTGGTGATTTATGTTGAAATGTGCTTGAGACAATCAGAGACTCTTGACCCAACTCGCACTTTGACGCAAATGCTTTGAGGCTAACAATGCTAGCTTGGGTTGAGAGCCTATAAATTATTTCCCTGTTCCACCCAAACTTTTCCAGAATGAACTCTCTGTTCCTGTTGCACTGTGGGAAATCTGTATCTGTACATTAATGCACCTCAGGAATCTCTTGGAGATGTTCCTGGTCCAAGTCTGTCCTGTGTTTCAATACAGCCCTAATGATCCTCCTAACTGAGCTTCTTTTCTGTGCCTGCAGCTTTCCAGAGTCCTACGTCTTCTCAAGTATCCGGCTGAGGACTCTGAAAACCCCCCACAGGTAAATATCAGTCTGTGTGTGTCTGGAGCTAAAGCACTGTGCATCATGTGGCAAGTTTAAGAACGCTTACATGTTTTAGTTAAAGTGGTAAAGTTGTTGATTACATTTTATTTCTTACAATGTGCACTTCTGTCCTCCCATTTTAAAAGATGTAATCTTCAACCACAGATTAAGTCGCCCCCAGATATTTTAGTCTCGATATCATCGTGATTGCTCTGCTCATTATTTGTTCATATTCTACACGTTGCAGTAATTTCAGTACGAGTAACATGGTTCAGTCTTCATCGGCTCCCACTCCAATATGAGCTGAAGACGCATGAAGAAGCAGTTAAAAGAGCTCAATAAACCCTCAACGCTAACTAGTGTTTGGGCTGCAAGCAAATAGAAATGATCACAGTGTCATAATCCTGTTAACATATAGAGTCCCCAACAGCGCCATGACTGAGCTTCATCGTTATGCCTTTGTACTTTTCCTTTGAATCCAATATTGTTGCGACAGTGTTGGATTTGACATTGTGTAACAGCGTGACATGTTAACAAACAGTTACATACGCACACACACACACACAAGCTCAGACATGCCCACACACAGCCCTCCTGTCGCTGACATTTACAGTGACATACTTTCACCCGTTACACATCTGTTGGTATGTCTAATGGCGGCTCAGAGATGAATGACTTTGTCTCACCATTATGCCTCTGTGACATTTAAAATTATAGTGAAGTGTGACAGGGGCATAAAGCTCCCTCTTTGAGCGTGCAATGTAAAAGGGACTATAAGAACCTTACACAGGCTCTGACTCAACACACAAGTAAAAGCTTTTTGCACTGTGATTATTGTGCAACATACAGCAAGATAATAATACAAAAAACTAACTGGAAAAACACTTAAAACAAACTGGTAAACGACAGGGATGAAGTCATACTCATCTTTTTAAATTGAGCTCCTCTACACATACATTCTCTGATGAGGTAATTCCTTGAGTGAAAGATCTGACTGAACTACCAAAGCTGACTGAAAGTGATCTTTAACACTAGAAAGACTAAGGCTGTTTTTTAATTTTGCAATGTAATAACTTACTTAAAATAAAACCTATGTAACTACAGGACCAGTTTGAGTTTTGAGTATTTCTATCTTGAAAGTCCATAGCGGTCATATTGACTGCATGCATTATAGCCAGTGTATCATTTCAGTATTCGCTACTTTTTCCCACTCTTGAAGGTAGAGGTGGGTGATATGGGAAAAATATCATATCACGATTTTTTTTTTGGCAAAATCACGATCACGATTTTATCACGATTTTTTTCATACTGATCTTTAGACAAATTTGTAAGTTGCTGACCAGTTCAACCAAACTTGTTTCCCTGTATAATGTTTTTAAATGCACAAAAACTGCGCTGACAAGTTTAATCTATTTGAAAAACATCTTTGTAGGAGGTCTGGAGGTCTCTCACCCAGAACATTTTTAGCAACAGAAATGTCTTTCCCTCGATTTGATCAATATTTATGCACAATGTGAAGGTTTCCTCACCACTTTGAAATGATGATTAGTTATGTGTTCTCTTTTTATGTTCATCAGGAACATTTACACGCAGTGATGCATTCATTTAAAAACATGTAGACTTTGAGTTCTTGTGTTTCTGTTCTATTTTAGCCCTGCAGAGTTCCTCCAGCTGTAGCTTCATACAGGCTCTGCAGCCTTTGTTGTTTTTTATGACATCATTTAGTTTGGTTTATATATAATCAAACATAATACAGAATGTGTTCATTCTGTGACACATGATCAAAGTAAGTTTTACTGACAGAAGAGTTTAATTCATAGAGGGGGCGGGACATTGTTGATTGACAGACCGACGGTCACCATGGTTACTCACTCTCCCCTGCCTGCTGCTTTGTAACATTGTTTAGCCTAATCCCTATAGGTTCAGTTATCACAACAGGTGAGCTTCGGGTGGAGAGGCTTGATAAGTAACTTTTAAAAACTGAGAGAGAGCAGAAAACACCGACAGCAACATTTTAAACACCGGGGTTATATCTCTCATCACTGACTGTCTGTTAATGTCTCTCTGTGTCGCTATCTGAGATGTAGGCTAATCTTAACTGTGCAAACTATGCAGACAAGTTAACTGTTGCTCACAGCGTGTCGGTTTGGAAAAATATCAGAATAGTTGCATATAACCGAGATGGAGTTGTTTGTGCGGATTTTACTTTTAAGTTTCGTTTCACCGCTGCCGAGCAAAAAAGAAGGGGGGAGACGCGTCTGTGTCGGAGCATAAACTGCAGCATGATAGAATAAACACATTAGTCCGGTTCTACATCTCTCTGCTTTGGCAGATCGTCAGCGAGTTGAAATCCTTCACGATCTAAGATCGTTATATCGCCCACCACTACTTGAAGGTGCGCATCGCTGTTGCCGTAGCAACTATTGTTTATAACGCTCGAGCCAAGGAGGAAAGAAAGCTTACCCGCCTAAAACCATATAGAAAGAATAAGAGACATACATTTGAATTAATCAACATTGAAAAGGCAGAATAGAGTAAATTAGGATCTGATTTAGAACAGAATAGAACGAAATGTCAGGAAGGAGGAGGATTGCTGCCACAGAGGCTCCAGAGCCTTGATGAGGCAGAGTCTGATGGAGGCAGGTTCGGATACGGAAGGTGATGTCTCCTGGTCTCTCGAAACTTCATCTGACACTGGCTCTGAGATTGAACCCGAGAATGATACAGAGATCATTCCCATTCGCAAAAAACGCCGGCTGCTGTTCCTGTGGTTGTCGATAAACTATTCAAACATGTTTGTGTCCTGAAGTTTATTGTACCTTTCACAACATTACAGATCCATTTATTCTTATATTTGATATTTATTATTGAAATGATATGCAAATAATTCGTAAACAGTCAAAATGACCGCTATGGCCTTTCTAGTAGTGATAGAATACCGGTCGTTCTAGTGTCCACTAAAGACACACAGTGACAAATCGTAACTGACACATTCCTTACTAAATCAAACATGACATTTTTCTCACATAGCAGCACAAAAACGTCCCATGCTGCACCTGAAGGCACACACACAGGTGTTCAGCTGGTTTTATAATACCGTAGTGTCTGCAGGGCTGTATGCTGTGAGGGTTTTCGGGGACTGTCTGTCATACTGATTAATAATGGTTGAGAGGAGAAATCAGACGCAGGATGAACTGTAGGTGATGTTAAATCTCTATCAGAACATTTATAGAAAAGTGTCGGCTGTTTAAAAGAAAATACTGAATACATGACTCTGCTAAATTATCAGCACACATCGTTCACACAGAAACCATACTAAATCAAAGAGGACCTTTAGTCTAACAGCAGTGTTTGTTCGACTGATTGATGACTGTCTTGGAGGACAGAACAGACCTGTTAGCAATGTACTGAACTCCATTTAGTCACAGCTCTGTTTACTTTCAGTGGAGCAGCAACTGATCTTACATCCTGGTAAGATTAAAGGCCTTCAGCCACACTCTCTGATCCATATGTAAACACAACATGCAAAGTGTTGCATAGCCCCAGCCCGAAATTCAAATGTACTGTAGCCAGCTGCTTTCCCTCAGTAGTTCAGTAGGAGTTGTGTGTTTGTTTATCAAACAGGTGTTTGCAGATACAGCAGAATCAAAACAGAATCAGCAAAACATCTGAGCACAAACTTTTACAGGAAATACGATTTGTTTGGTTGAACTGAAGGAGAAAAAAATTTAACAAACCGGTATTATTTATTTGAACAGAGAAAAGGATGTAGCATGTTTAAACAGCATCACACATCATTTAATACCTGAGCTAATTGGTTAGGCCTGTTCCTACGTATATGTCCTGAAAGCAAATGCACTAAAGGCAGGAGAAATAATACATACAGGAAGCAGTTAAAGCTCAGAAATGTAACAAAGGAATGACAACAAACACTTTGAGAAAGGACATTCAATACAATCAACTACATAATGCAAGAAGATCCACTTAGCTTCTTGCATATTACCATCATATTAGTAATAATAATAATAATTTATCCTTTATTAATCCCGTGAGGGGAAATTCAATTTTAGTAGTCCGATATACACACACGTGCACAAACAGATCCTATGGACATGCATTGATGGAGAGGTCTCAGAGTGAAGGGGCTGCCCACAGCGAGCGCTCCAGAGCAGTTTTGGGGTTCGGTGCCTTGCTCAAGGGCACCTTGGCAGTGCTCAGGAAGTGGACTGGCACCTCTCCAGCTACCAGGCCAACTTACGGACTTGGTCCGTGCCGGGACTTAAACCGGCGACCGTCCAATTTCCAACCCGAGACTCTACAAACTGAGCTACTGCTGCCCTGGCAGTATTACTGGCTAAACTGGGTTTCTTCAAGATAGTTTCCATGGTAACTGGTTGGCACCAACCAAATGCACACATGAAAGTTTTGGTCAGACTCATTACAGATCAACACATGAATCAACCATGCCAGTCAGCTTTGGAAACACAATGTTATCACTCTTACTACAGGATCCCAGTTAGGACAAAAAGATGTGGTAAAATCAATGGAGCTTAGAAACAATGTAGTTATGCAGGAAGAGGACATGCAAATGTTAACTTTCTCTCTTTGCATAAGGCCCTAACTCTCTTAACTTCACCTCTACGTCAATATTTGAAGTCTCAACATAACGATGTAACCTGCTTTACCTGTTCGTATAACTTTTCTTTATTTGTGTTCGTCCGGCAGACGGTGGAGCAGGCTTTCAGGCAGATTCAGAACATTGTTGACTTCAGCTCCAACGTGATGAGCAGCCTGCTGGGAGATAACTTCATACATAGCGGGGTAAGATGCTACAATGGAGGTTGCAACACACATTAGTTGTGCATGTATGACACAGAAACACCAGGAGCATGTCTGTCTTTGTCATTGTGTGGCGTTAAGGCGTGTCTCTTCATGAGGAAACACAACTGTCTCATTGTCTGTTGGGACATCAGATCTGAAAAGCACCAGTTTCATATCATTCATGTGAATAATATCCTGGCTGAATGACACGTGGTGAGAAACAAAGACTCATACTCACTGACATGGCTGAGGTGTTTTTGTGCGTTTCAATCACAGTCGAAATTATACACACACACTGCCGACATTGCACAACATATTTGTGCTTTGTCTTACGCTGGCGGCAGTGTTTTTTTTTTTAAAAGCTTCTGTACTTTTTAATCTATGAATCTCTAAAATAAAGAAGATTTTATGCTTTTACAACACATGGTATTGAAAAGTGTCAAAGGTTTTAAATGTTGACGACCTGAAGGTAAAGTTAATTAAAAACAAATCAGGGAAAGAAGTACTTTAAGGATACCTTTCCGATAGAACAGAACAGGACAGCTGTCATTAGAAGTAACACATGAACACCAAGATTCCTAAAGTGTTTGTTTCGGTGCCTGTCTGCCCCCACCCCCCCAAAGCTGTAAACCTAGGGGAAACACTGAATCCCCTTGCTTTCAAACACCTGGTGCTGTTTTTATTGTGGTTGTAACTCCCTTCAAAGCTGGTGATAAACCAGTTTTCCCAGCAGCAGAATTTCACAAAAACAAAGAGCTGCAGTGTCTGAAGTCTGGAGGCTTTTAGCACATGAACAGCACTCTCCTGATCAGATGGTGCCTAATTTTAGATAACTTTTTAATCTGAATTTTAATAACTGAAATCATTTCAACCTCCAGATCAAATCCCAGCCAGGTTTTGAAGATTGATGGCTGCTTGTAATCAAATGATTTTAACTCAGTTGTATTCTTCATTAATCACCAAATACTGCTTGCACCTGTTTCTTTAGCAGGACGTTTTTCCATTTGTGTGTGTGTGTGTTGAATTTGTATGATAGTTCAGCTCTATATTATCATCCCTGTAATAAAATGACAATGAGCAGGATGTCGGCAGAACTCAGTGTTTTACATACAGTAGATATCAGGTACAGGAAACAGGAGGAAGTATGTTCTGTTATTCAAACCGGACTAAATCACTGTTTTAATTTTCTAAACAGGAAGTAGTCAAATTGCCGCTGGAGTTTGTACGACAGCTGTCCATCAAGGTTCAACATCAGAGACCAGGTAAAACACTTTTTAATCATTTGACTTCTTAAATCTGTTAGAGGAAGACTTTGAGATTATGGGAAATAACATGTTAATTTTCTTAAAGACAGTTAAAGAAGAAGATCAATAACATTTGTATGTAGTGTTGTAGTACTCAAAATCTTGTCTTGGTCTTGAGACCGCTTTTTTTCTCAATCTCCTCTCGGAATTGAAAGCATTTTTACTCTGTCTTGTCTTGGTTTTTCCAGGTCATTCCTGTGGTTAGAAGGAAAATGCCTCTTTCAAAAACAAAAAATAACTCTAATTAATTTGTAGTTTGATTTTCATCCCCTGGTTACCGCCGCAACCTTCCCCGTGTGACAGTCTAAGAGTGACACGCCCCTGCACACACGTTGATGATTTTTATTATTTTATTTTTATTATATGATGATATTTACTAGGTTAAAAAATGTAATAGGGGTCTGGCAGGTAAAATCTGGTTAAAGTTAGGGTGCAAATGTTTGTGTTGACACATGCAGCTCACCCTGAAAATGTTTGTACGTTTTCAGGAGTAATACATTATAATCTGCACTTTAATCTGTTTCTCCTAGGTAATGTTCACATGAAAGCTGAAAGATTAAATACACCGTTGACTCTTTTGGAGCTCTTCTTGTTTTTGAACACTGATACCATTAAAATGTTGAGAATTGAGCCTGTTTGTACACGTTGAAACCAACTAGCAGTCTCAGGAGATTCAAGATATTTCAAAGTAAAAACAGCAGCAGACGATGGACTGTGACTTAATGATTATTTTCAGCGGCTGGGCTCTGAGTCCAAAGAAAAACAAACTGAACAAACGGTCATTCCGCTGAAATACTTAATGTTAGAGCTATGACAATAAGTTGATTAACTGATTAATTGGAACAAAAGAGAATTATATCCCGGCTCTATTATTGAAAAAGAAGTTTTAATTGAAAAGGGTTAGTGGCAGTGGCTAATCTGTCGCTGGCCAGCAGGTATCCAACAAAGACAGGCAGATTATGTCACGAGTGTGAGTACAAGCCAGGAAGAAATATTGAGTAGCCTTTGTGTGCAAAGGGGGCGGGGGACATTTGTCTTCTGGTTGTTTACACACGCAGACACACACACATACTGAAAATGTTGTGTTTGTGTGCATCAGCCTGGCGCTGCGATAAGGTGATGGACATCTACAGCGGCTGTGCTCTCTGTCTGCCCAACCTGACGTCTCCGATCCTCCACCAGCCCACACACACTCCTCCACTCTGCATCGAGATCAAGGTACGCAAACACGCACACACACACCCACAAGCATGGTCACAGATTTCTCACGGACAGGTGGTTCAAACGCGAGTCATTTTAAACAATTTTTCCTCTTCACCTAGTTAAAAACTTGCTCTGGTTCTGACATGATGTTCTCACTCCGGAGAAGCAGCCACAGTTTCAGAAATGTTTCCCTGTGAATCACGCTCCTCCAGACAAACTGAGCCAAACAACAAATCACATGAGTGTGACTGAGCGAGTGTGTGTTACTCAGCTGCTCTTTCTGTGCTTGTTGTGTTTTTAGCCTAAATGTGGCTTCTTGCCGTCCTCCAAACATGTCAGCAGAGACATCAAGACCAAAGTGTGTCGCTTCTGCATGCACCAACACTACAAGGTAAGTAAACCTACATCAACCACAGTATGACTTTACCATGTACAGAACATCAACTTTTAATTCCCACCTACGCTAACAACAACCGATATATCCCCACAACAACAATAATAACACCTACATAAGCACATCAACTACAGTACAACTACATCAAGTACAGTATACGTAAACAAACTACAGTACATTTACAGAAACTTTAAGCACACACAGACTGTAGACATACTCCAACTACAGCCCAACTTAATGAACAGAAGAAAGCAACATAGAAAAGTTCCAGCTTTACGTTGTCTGATGGCTACACTGAGATTTAAGCATTTAAACTGTAGCAGATCAAAAATAGTAAGATACTACAGTGAATGCAACGGTTTATGGTTTTAATAAAAACTATTATTGCACAGTGTTTACAAGTGTAATAGATAGGCAGTATTGCTCATGGTCCACCATAATGAAAAAAAGATTATTTAGTACAATAAAAAAATTAAAAACCGCTTCTGACATTTCTTTGTGTCTTTATTGTCTCTCTCTCCACTTGTGCAGGTGGCCAACGGAAAGTGGAAGAGACGCAGTCTGTACTGTCCTCTCGACCTGTTCTCAGGGTGAGAATTCTGCTACTGCAGTTATCTTTAATACTAATGCATCTACAAATGATTGATCTTATATTAACTGTTATAATGTATCTGTGTTGTAAGCAATAACACTTCTTAACAGTACTGTACACATAAGGTCGTCTCTGTAACAAACCCTGTTTGTGTCTGAAAGTCTGTCCCCTTATTTATGTCTGTTCTGGTCTGGAGCTGCAGCTGACATGAGAAGGAAGATATTTCAGAATAATGTACTCTTTTACAAAAACACTACAGCCTCTTAATGTTCCTTACATAACTTATTTTTCTGTCCCCCCCCCCCCTCCCCCTCATTGAGATGCTCTTATTAAAGCTGCTTCATTGTTCTACAGCTGAACATGATGTCCTCTGGTTTCTCTCATCCCGTTTAGGAACAGACAGAGGATGCACTTCACCATCAGACATCTGATAGAAGAACCTCAGAACAACTTTAAAATCTTTAAGGTGAGATAAAACCACTGCTTTCCATTCCAAGTGTAATAAAACTCAACAATCTCTATCATTGAAAAGATTGATAGTATCGAAAAAGTACTTCTTTACTTTATTTTTTGAGACAGGTCTGAGGGATTCATTTAGAAAGTGCCGAGCCCCCCCCTCGTTTCCCCTCACCCCTCAAGGTTCTTATCTTGACTCTTTCCCATACGCAGTTTATAAATGTTCCTTATTGAAGACCACTCTTCAGACTAAGGTCTTGAATATTGTTACTGAATCCGTCTTATTTTGGTGTCATGTATGTTCACATCAGCCAGTTTCTTGTTTTTCTTTTGATTCAGTGTTGATTGTGTTTCTTTCTGAAAAGAATTTGAATGTATCAAATGATGGACAAAAGTTCATTTTTAAGTTTTGCTGGAACTAAGATGAAGATTCACCCGCCCACCATGGTCAAATGGATTTGATATCCTGCAGAGTTTCAGATATGTGAGCACAAGCTCCTGCATGGTGTTGCTGTCGGGGAACTTCTGGAGGCAAAAATAATTGAATGTGTTAATACACAGCCTTCTGAAGTCTCAGATTAGCTCTAGACAAACTCCAGATTTTCTGTTCAGATCAAAGGGGATTTTGGATATTTTGAAATATCAGTAAGAAAAGATTTATTAAGAAGTGGAAATCAGAAACAAGGTTACTGTTTTCAAATCATTTTGTTCTGATCAGAGACAGTCTGGTTTATCCTCTTCTGTTTCTAAGATGATCTATCACCGTTCACCTGCGTCTCCTGACAAACAGCTATTTATAGTTAATTGGTAAAAATGGTACATATCAGTCACTAACAGTACAGGTTGTCACACTCAGCTCTGTACAAACCGTTCCATACAGAAAAATTTCAGCAGCTCAGCAGCCTGTTATTTATGACGGAGGCTTTGATGAGGGAGTTACACAACGTTAAAGTTTTATAAATGTGTGTGGATAATGATTTGTTTATACGTCATCAGACACCTTAACAAGGACAAATATAACTAATGAGGTGACTCATTTCTAACAAGTCTCTATTTGGTCATTTAAACATTTCTTAATGTGGCCTTGGAAAAACAATCAGTGATTTTTTGAAGATCCATGGATAGATAAGATCCAAAGCTTGAGACGAAACTGAGAGCACGTTGATGCAGACAGATCAGAGAAATAATCCGAGCTGAAAACATAAACTACTTGAACTCCAATTCAACACACTTCAATTTATGACGCTTAAAAAGGTGAAGAGGAGTATAAAGCAAGGCTTTAAAACGTTATCCTCAGTCATATCAAACTAAAAGCTGCTGCGACAGAGAAAGAGAGAGGATAAGGGTGCAGGAATGCCAACATTAAGAGAATAGGACTTTTATTTTTGTTGCAGTGATATTAATACTATCAAAGTTTAATAGTCTGGTGTTATGAGCGCCCTAATGGAGGGCTTTTATAGGCCTTTTTAGGAACACAGGAACTTTTTTCAAGATTTATTTTTGGGCTTTTTGTGCCTTTAAACGAGAGATGTGGATAGAGTCAGAAATCAGAGAGAGAGAGAGAGTGAGAGACAACATGTGGGAAAGGAGCCACAGGCTGGATTTGAACCTGGACCACCCGAACTGTTGGGACCCTCCTCCTTTTTTGATTGGTTCTGGACCACAGGGAGTATGAACTATTGTAGCTCCTAGAACCCCGTTTAGAGGAACATTTGTAGCACCTGCTTCAGAGTAGGTACAATGGTGGTGTGAATACAGACAGAAAAAGTTCCCCATGTTGTGTAGTTCTGAAGGGACTCTCTAGTGGATAGTTCCCAATAGTCTCCAGAACTGTTGGGTCCAAAAAAACGCAAGCGATTGACTGGGCTCAAAATGTGACTAAGTTTTAGAAATCCGAAAGTTGCTGCTGATGTGATATTTACATCCTCTGCTGGTTTCATCTCAAACTTTAAGCTGTGAGAAATATATATATTTTAATTACCGTAATCTTCTCGTGTGTCAAACAGAATGAAAGTCAGTAGTGCTGATTTAATATGAAACAAATGTTATATAATCGACCAGGTGATGCTGATATTAAACTTTGTGTGTGTGTGTGTGTGTGTGTTTCAGGGCGGTCAGTGTATTTACAGCAGTAAGGAGGGCATTGACGACTCGATGGACCTTAGCTCGTTGCTCCATCACCTCAGACCGTACTTCCTGTACGGAAACAACAGAATCAACTGTCACATGAGCAGCAAAGCCGTCTTCAACGACTTCATCCAGGTACGAGCTTCAAAACACAGGTGTTGAAGCGTCCGTCAGCTTTCACTGAGTGTGTTTGGAGTCTCATCAAAAATGTCTCTGTCTGTTTTAGGTTCTAGTGAATGCCCTGCTGAGCGGTGGAGGAGGTGATGGAGGAGTGGTGACGGACAGACGGGGAGAGGGGCGGAGCTTCTGTGAAGCAAGTCATTTTAGCAAGGAGAGGATTCGCCATGGTCAGAACCCGATTTATTTGACTGATTTCTGTGATTTGTGTTTTAAACTTCTAAGAATTAAAATACCTGATTCTGTCTTTTAGTATGCAAATATTGTTTTTGTTGTCATGGAAACAGTTTGTTTAACTGTGGAACGTTTGTTTAACCTTTCAATTAAATATTTTTGCAGACAAAGCATAAATTGAGTTAATTCACTAAATAACAGCTGATATCATCAAACATCTGCTACGAGTTGAAAAAGATTATTTTAGTTTTTAATTCTCTTAAATTTAACCTTTGGTCCTGCCTTGTTTTCTGTCTTCACCCGGAGACACAGGCGCACACACACACGCACACACACACACAAAATCCCTCAGTTAGATTTCAACACAGCACAGAACTCCTACGTCTGTCTGCTGTAACTGTAGTTCAGTCGGATCAGTCAGTAGTCTCGCTGTCTGTCCGTCCTTAAAGAGGTTTGTCATGTGCAGCAGCCTCCTTCAGACATTTTTGTGGTTGGGAAGAGAAATCTTTTTATCTTTTTTCAAGGACAAAAACAAAATTCTCATAACATCTGACTCTGATTATGTAAACGTGTGAAACTGGAAACAAAATCACCCAGAATTCTGACCTGAGTCAGTTTGATAAACTCCCCGGTCTCTTCCTGTTTGTGTCCAGGCTCTCAGGGTTTACCCAGCGACAGTGTTTTATTCAGGACCCTTCAGACTCAGATGTTGGACACGTTGGACATTGAAGGACTTCACCCTCTGTACCGCAGAGTGGAGCAGCACCTGCAGGAGTTCCCCAAGGAGAGGTAATTCACAGCTGTGTTAATCTTAATCTCATTTATCGATCACTTCTTATGGAAACTGTCTGGTCTCTGATATAACCTCCCGCTTGTGTATCCATCAGAACTCGACTTCAGATTGATGGGCCGTACAACGAGGCGTTCCTGGAGAAGCTGCAGAAATGTCCGAACGAGGACGACGGCTCTGTGGAGTACGCTGCTGCCAAGGTCAGTCTACTCAACTTTTGCTGCTTAGTCACATCAGCAGCTGGACACTTACATCATGTTCTCTGTGTGATGCGTCCGTTTTTCTGTGGGAACTGTTCTCCCAACGTCAGCTGATGTCTGCTGGAAGAGGACAACATGAGTCACCTAGCTGAAAGATATCTGCTTCAATAAAAATCAAACAATCAATAAGTGTCAGGAGAGAGGATGAGGATGAATCCCAGAGAGGTGTGCTGTAACAAGAATTGGGAGCAGTTAAGGAGTGATAGTGGAGGTCAAGGAATTAAAGCGAGGGAAAATAAAGATCTACCAAGAAGAATAGAGGCAGTGACATATGATGGGATCACAAAGCCTCCAGTTGAAAGATGGAAGTGTGGTGTCATTATTTGGTTTTGTAATAAGTTTAAACACAGCATGTACACGTATGAGGGGACATTACTGTCTCTGCTCAGGTGTTAACATCCTCTGAAAAACAGCACATTTAACTGTTGTGTTTTGACTTCAGGTCCATCAGTACCGCGTCTCCATGACGGCCAAGGACTGCTCCATCATGGTTGCCCTGGTGCCCAGCGGAGAGGAAGAGGAAGATGATGAAGGGTAAGAGTTTAGCGCTTAGAGATTCCACTGAAGTTACAGAGTATTTAACTGAATGTTATCTGATGATAAATGCACTTTCTGCTTGCTATATAGAAATGTCTTCTTAATACCCACGTCTCCTCTCCTCCTCCTGCAGTCAGACACATCTCAGGGACTTCATCTCCTCTAGAACTCCTGCTTTCTCTTACTCCGTCTCCATCTTGGATTTGGACCCGAAGCCTTTCGAGAGCATCCCCCGCCAGCTGCGCCTGGACCAGAAGATCGTCTCCTACTACCTGAAGTCTGGAGGTTCATTACCAAGAGTGTCTCCATCGCCGCTCCCCGGCATCTTCAACGCCGCGGAGAGGGAGGACTGCATGCTGCTGTTCCATCCTGTGTGAACGAGCCGAGGACTGAGACGCCATGCTGAAGCCTCAAACGGAGAGGAGAGACGCCATGACGATGCAGAGGTCTAGAATCCCCTTATAATAGAGCTGTTCATCCAAAACTTTACCACAGCACTTTCTCTTCACTCCGCTCATGCTGACAGTCTTCAGCACAGGCTGATCAGCAAAATAAACATTTCCAGGAAGTCCTTACATAATCATCAGATTTCAAGCGATTTCCGGATTTTTCTGTTACTAATTCTTGAGTTTTTTTTGTCCTCCTGTCGGGAGGTGAATCCCAACATCATGACTGCTCTATTCTGATTAATATTTATTAGAAAACTCACTTTGCTCTGCCCTCTGGTGGCACGTTTGGGATTTGCCTCCTGATTGGTGTTTAATGGTCGTACTGACTGAGGCACACAGCGACAGGTTGTTGTGCTGTGATGTACAAATGATGTCATTTCCTGAATGTAGGTGGGGCGGGTAATGCCAGAAAGGAGCTGATGCCAAGACTTTTGTCCAGGTTGAACTATGCCGTCTGTAGCATCACTATGGAAACAGAAACATTAGTGACCATGGCTGCAGAAACAGAGTAGGGGAGTGCCAACATGGCAGCTCTGTGGCACAACTTCGTGGATCCAGGGCCTGGTTGTTTCAAATGTTTTTTTTTTTTTAAATCGGAGTAAAGATATCTAATAGGATCAAATCTTGAAAAAAAGGTTGTTCAAAAGAAAAAGGCTAAAAAATCAGGCAGGATCACATAATCTAATCAGGTCTTCAACCTGATAAAAACTCCAGACTAGAGCGCCAGATTTAGACCAAATTGTAATAATGTTAATGTTGAGTAGGTTGAACAACAACCTTGAACAAGGTTTTTACAGTGATGTTGATACTTCAAACATTTTAACCATGTTTTGATTTGCTAAATCACTACTCTGATATCGTAGATTAGACAAAGGATGTGAAAAATAAAGGATTGTGTCCTCATCCAAACAGCTGTTAACATCAAACAAAATATTAAATTAAAAAGAGCTGTGAGGATTGTTCAGCCTGTGGATTTTTGCGCCCCCTTCTGGACAAAGTATGAAGTATGCAGTCCCATTTGGTGCACTGATAAATCCAGATGTGGTCACTTCTTAAAGTCTGTAACTGAAAGATGTTGATCAAATTCAGTGTTTCTTCTAAAAACCCTGAACAAATTAAGATGAATTACCTGATCCTGAAGTAGATTTACAAATCTAGATTAAACCTTTTGAACAACCGGGCCCTGGATGTTTCAGTTCTCTTAGAGGTTTTCAGGCCGACTCATCCCACTGAACAGCGCGTAAATGTTTGTGTCACCAGATTAAATGTTGAGTCGGTTTGTTTTGTAAACCTCTATGAAGCAGGAGAACCTCGACCTGTGACACGAAAATGAACAGCCAAGTTTTTTTTTTTCTTTTCTCCAGTTTAGCCATCAGCATAAAAAGTAAACGTGTTGTCTTTATCAGGCAATGTGTGACTACGATAAACGATCAAATATCAGTTTATTTTTTGAAGTCAGGGAGGAGAGCTAAAGGTCGTTAAAGGGTCAGTTCACCTGATGACATCATGTTTCTGCCTCTATTTAAAACAATAACACTTTAATGCCCTGATTATTAAAATATTGTATTTTATACGTCTAACAGAAACATCCCTCTTCAGGAATCATAGATAATACAGAAATAATACTTTTATATATATTAGATCATATTATTATACTGTGGGTAAACTGACCCTTCAAAACTCTGGCAGCTCTTAAGGGTGTTTCAATCTTGCTGCCTCTTTTTTTTTTTTTCCTGGACATGAAATCAGCCTTTGTGTTTAAAGAGAGCACACAAATCAGTGCAAGAGTTCTTGATGTCAAAGCAACAGTGAGACTGTTTTGTTGGATAAAAGTGACAACTCTAGGGTTTGTCTAACAGTCTAACCAGGTGACTCGTAGCTTTGTGAAAGAACGGTCACATTACACTTTGTGCTCTAAATTAATTCAGCTTTTGACTCCGCGGCCTGCAAACATTGTTTTGGCAATGTGTGCTCGCGGTTAACAAATTCACTAAACAGAAGACTAATGTGGTCGTACCACGGCAGAGCAGGAAGCAGAAAGCAAAGGTTGTCTGACTGGAGCGAGGGCTGCTGGGTAACAGTGAGCAAACCTCCTCAGGAAGGCTGCGCTTTGTGCTGCTGGTCTGCGGCTTCTTTGTGCCAAAAGTGGCTTGTTGTGTGTAGGTGGTGGTGGTGATGGTGGTGGTGGTGTGTTTGTCCATGTGCCTAAATGTTCTGGTAGGACGGATGGTGTTTTTGTTTGTGTTGAAAAACTTTGTTACAGGCTGCGTTCACAGCAGAGATTGAAGGTATCAAAAAATATTCAGATGCTGTGGACGCGGCCGTGAACTCTGTACTTCAAACTCCAGAAGACCTGAAGCTCCACTCTGCTCGGTCGTCTGATGTTTGACAAAACAATTTGTTCGGGAGCGCTGGGAGGTTTTTTGAAGACGATGGGATTATCTGTAACCATCAGCAGATAGAGTTGACTAGACAACTCACATGTTTGTGTTTGAATGATCTCAGGTCTGCGATTTTATCTCCCGGGCCCAGTTGTTCAGAAGTCATCTCATCAGATTAAAGCCATCGGAGTGGATAAAATCTTGACGACAGGAAGGCAAAAAAAAAAAAAGGATCAGGTAACCCAGTTGTGGTTTTTATCCCACATCTAAAACCTCTAGTTTGAGAAGGATTGGGATAACTGATGTTTAAAATCTGTATGATCTTGATCCCAGCAGAGGGCCGCATTCAGGCGGGAGTACAGGAACAAATTCTCGTTAAACATTTCAATAGGTCAAACGCAACAACATTTTACGACGTTGTTACTTTAGACATTTTTTATCGTATGTTGCTGCTGAATTTCTAACATGGCAAAGTAGATGAAGTAAAAATGGAGGATAAGCTTTACAATATTTCAACAAATGGCCTTTCTATTTAAAGAAACAGCGCTTTCTTTTTGTGTTGGATTTGGCGCCCCCTGTGGACAAAATATGTAGTGTGGAGTCCCTTTAAAAAGCACTGGTAGTCTGGATGTGGTCATCTTTAAAAGTCTGTACCTGGATCAGGTTAATCCTATCGAGTTTCTCAGATTATCTAATCCTGGAGAGTGAAAACCTCAGATTTCCAAATCCTGATCGATCTAATCCAGATAAAAACCTTTTGAACAACGGGCCGTGATAATCTCACTGTCCTCATAAACCAGCAGCGCTCACAGATAAACTGGTAACACTTGATTTTAGTTCCTGTTTGCAGCGTCCACTTTCCAGCCTCCACCACCTCCATCAGCCAATGAAATGTCTGGGGAAAAAAAACACACTACGAGACTTAAACCTGCGACGACTGAAAACCCTTTTCACATCGCTCTAATCTCATGTTGGACGATCATCCACGTCTGCTGCGTTATTTATCAGCAGCGAGTCAACATGAGCTCAGAGGTGACGTGGTCTGTGTTTCTGTATGAACACAAACACTAAAACTAATCACATTTCAATTCTTCTGTGATGGAGAAACGAGTTAAAGGGCTGGAGAGTGGACGGCTGTGGACTGAACCAACCACTGATCGCTCTTACTGTTGAACATAAAGACGCAAAAGGGGCATTGCCAGGGAGCAGAGGCTCATGGGAGAGTGAGATAGTCGAATACTTGACTATGACTTAATGTTATAAACAGCTGACACCTCATTTATCATAGCATCAACAATTCTCATATTTAAAATGAATTTATTAATCTTTTAGGGTGACTTTGTTCAATTTCAGCCTCAGTTTTTATGTTTGATATTTTATCAAACATTTCATCTCCAGCTTCTACTGTCCTCATTCTATGTTTCAGCTGTAGCGTGTATTTCTTTTTTTTCAGTTTGTACTGGTTTAACTATCAGATTAACTCTCTGCAGGTGCCGGGTTTGAAAGTCTTTAAAGACGGCCTGTGCACTAAACTAAGAGTTGAATCAGACTGTACCTGTGTCAGTGTGTCATGGCAACTTGATCTAAAAGATGAATGCCTGGTGATCTTTTAAAACCCAGGTGTTCTGCTGCAGGTCTTTTTATTGTCCGTCTGGATGAAATATCTTCTGCCTCATGTATGATTTAGAAAACATTTTCCCCAAGTAGCAACCTAATCTCCCAATCCAACAAAGACAAGAGTCACATGTTGCCAAACTTTAAATTTACATAATGGGAGGCCCGAGAAGTGCTCAGTCATGGGAAGTGATTGAACCAGCAGCACTGGTAATGCTGACAACTCCTCTGAATCAGAGTTGGAAATACAGTTGGTGGTTTGAGTAAAGATTCATATTTTCATCCAGATGAACACAGATCCTTACAAAGGAGTATTAGGGCCACATTAAGGGGAAGAAAAAAATCAGAGATTTCGAGATTAAAGTCATTTTAAGTTATATGAGAAGAGCAGCCGCCGCCTGTACATAAAAGAGGACCATAGAGCATCTTTTGAAGTCCTACTTTAGTGAAGGTTTCTCAAATAAGGAAATACTTCTTTTGGAACACTCATGTTGAAAAAATGCTGCAAGAAACTAGAAATTTTCAGAAGACAAAACCGCGCTGACCTGGAGGAAGTTGTCTCCATAATGACGGGGAAATGGCTTTGACCGTTCCACGTTTCTGCACAGGTGGATGGCTGCTCTTCTGATACAACCTTTCAGATTCATCATTTCAACGAAAGCCTACTTTGAATCGCTTTACAAATTTATTATCATAAATGTAGAACTTTTATCTTGAAATTTTAAATAATTATTTTTCTCCAACATTGCCCTTATACTACATCGTAGATCCTAAAATATATACATGAAAGATTTGTAAAAAAAAAAAAAATCTTGCGCACTTGTGAAAGATTTTAGGGATTTAAAGCAGGAAACTGAAATACAAAATCACTCTTTAAGTTAAAAGTTGATCATGTTGAGACGACAGAAGTACTGTTTTGTGATCTTAAGAATCAGACTTGGTCCTGACCTCTCTGAACCGACTGACTGATTGACTGAAGCTCCGGCAGACGAGCTGAAGTCTGACTGGTCGGTTGCCTCTGCCTCCGCCTTGCTGCCTGAGCGTCACCCTGCAGAAACATCACAGCACTGTGATACATTCAGACTTCTGATGACTGCGTGTGTGTAAATATCTGAAAGAAGAAAATATTTGAAAATACAAAGGCGACACTGCTGTCTTGCATTTTGTATTTAAATTATTTATTTTTGTAGATTTTGACCAATGAGCTCCGCTGTTACAGACTTCACAGTCCGGCTCTTTATATTGAATAAACATTTCTAAGAGACTAAAAAACTGAAGTGTGTGTTTCCTGATTTGTGTGCTTGTTTTACATCAGCTCAATCTCCATATTAAAATATAAAAGAGTTGGTGATGAAGAATCATATCATCCAATCTAACTGAAAGTTTTACTTCGACGTGAATAATGACTCATGACTCCTGTGAAAGGCTGATGGCTCTGATCACAGACTCCACTGCAGCTTCTGGTCCCAGAATCCTCAGAAGACTCTGAAAGGCCTCCGCAGCACCTCCTAGAGACTGAAAGGGAAACAGCTGCAGTGCTGCCGAGAAAAGGAGAGAGGAATACAAATCTGAAATATCACATCTCAACTATTTTTTAGCATTTTTTAACCCCCTCTCTGGAAGGGCTTGGGTGGCCCAGGCTATCTCGCGCCATGTCCTATTGTTTACGGTGAGAAGGCAGACTCAGAGGGCAGAACAAACACCTAGCTGTGGGAGTGTCACCCACCTGGGGGAGGGGTTACTGCCCTTTGTGATGTCATGAAGGGAAAATCTCCAAACGGCCTGTTTGAGCACACATTTTCTGAAAAGTGGAGCAGGCAGAAGACGGAGAGGATGGACTTTTCTCATCATTGGGGGTTTGTAGACAGACTAGAGACACGCATGTTAGAGGAACATGGTGAAGAGTTATTTGAATATGTGACCTTTAAATCACTTTTAACCAACATATTGGTACCGGTTTGTAAAAATAAAAACAAAGTTAAATTCTCAGAGCCTGGCTCCTTTTATATTATTGTCTCCCTCTTCTAAAGCAAAGCCACATGATAGTGAACAGTCTGTCTGTGTGCGTGTGTGTGTGTCAGCATAGTAAAAGCATAGTTAGGGGTTTACTGTGGGAGTCAGACATCTCACCTTCTTCAGGGATCTTTGTCAGCAGGCCGACCTTCGGAGTAACTTCACCCTCACAAGAAACCTCGACTGACCAATGAACGAACAGGACGCAGCTACAAACAAAAAAAAAACACATTTAGAGGATAAAAGAGAAACCGAAGGGGCAAAGTCAGTCTGTAAGATCCAAGTGTATTTACCCAGGGAGCTCTGGGTGATTCAGGGCCATGACTTCTGACCTGCTGCCTCCAGGAAACGAGACGACAGACGGATACTTCTCCTACAGAGAGAGGACAGAGAGTTACTTTGTTGGTAAAGTCAGCATCCCAGTGTGGCTTTGGGACATTGAATCACCTGTCCCATCTGTGGTGTTCAACTCAACTAAATCATGTAGATAATTAACAAGCTTTACCTTTTCATATCGTTAAGGTAAGGGTGAAATAGGATCCTTAGGTTTAAAAAAACAAAACAAAGACAAACGACAAACAGGATACCCCATGCACAGCTCGTCTACGTTCTCAGGTTGAAGGAGTATGAGAAAATAAATCAATAATCCAAAACTTTGTGAAATGATGTACATTACTGCTGTTTTACAACATGTCTAACTTGGCCACTGGGGGGCGATACAACCTCTTAATAACCAAACCAGAGTCTTCATCATCAGACGACTTACACAAGTTTGTACATGAAGAAACCACAGAAGACTGTAATGAGTAGCTGAGGGGAAACAAGCGCTGTAAATATTTTTAGGATGAGGCCGTGTATTACAGCTGAAGTGTTGATAAATGAGAGAAAGCTGCTTTGGGATCCAGTGGAAAACTCTCCCTTCTTCTTGTTTCCCGCTGAGAGAAAGCAGCAAAAACGTGTGAGCTGTGTGACCCACGGCGATGTTTTAAAGGACGGAATCCATCTGTGTTCAGGGTCGTTAAGTTTAATGACTTTACAAATGAGAGGGTGCTGATTGTGAAGTGAAGTCTCATCTGGACGTTCCAATTGTAAACTGTTGATGGATACTACAAGTGAGATTGTTCCTTAGAACTTCATTTTCTGATGATGCGCGTAAACACCAAGGACCACTCGTCTATATCTCTAACCTTAACAGATGTGGAGTCCAATGAACTGGCTTTTAGTCTGAAATGTATCCTGAGTCAAACACACACACATACTGAGTCAAACACACACACATACTCGGGCTGTTGTCAATGTTTTTCAGTCATCAGGGGTGTGTCCAACAGGGGAGGAGTGTCTCTCCAGCTGATTCAACTGAGAGGTATTTGCAGTAGTGGGTGTGTGTAATCAACAAGTGTAAGTGAAGTAATCAAACTTCGACTTCCAACAACGACAAGTTTCCTGCTTCCACGCTTTTGTCTCTTTTGATTGGAATCAGTTTTAGAATGTTAAGGTGCATTACTCTCAAGAATTATTGGTATGGCTTGTCATTTTTTGTTCAGGTTTGTTTGTGTTGATGGTTTTTAGTTTCATGTTCAGTATTTAGTACTTCAGATGCCAAAATTAATTTCAGTATGACTCTTCCAGGAACTGTATGAACATGAAACCTGACAAAGGTACCTGGAAAAAGTCCAACTTTGGTTGTAAGAACAGATCTTAGTTGTAAATTCCACAACTATAATACAGACTATTTACAGACAATGTTACTGAAAATACTGTGTTATTTAATGTTAGGATGCCAAACAACATCTGGAAAATGATGAAAATAAAACTGGTGATGAAAATAAACCTTTTGGCTAACTTAGGTACAGTTCCTTTTGAATGTTGATCAATGTATATCGTACCTTTATAAACAAATGAGAGTATGTGTATGTCTGTATATAACTAGAATGAATCATGATCAATAAAAATGATCACTGGAAATAAATGTTATGGTCTTCAGACATGAATGTATTAAAGCCAGGCATCAACACTTTGCGCAGGTTTTCTAAAGAACTGTCAATTAAAAATTCTCGAATGATAAAATGACCTCGCTTTGAACACAAAGTCTCAGAAAATAAATTGTGAAAGCCTGTTTTTACTTGAGGAGAAGAGGACGGGTTACAGTGGTTAATAAATCCAAGTCACTAAAAATGCAGACAACAGTGTTTCCCCTACCATTATATTAGGGGGCCGGCCCGCCCCCCCAATGGCACCCCCCGCCCCCCCTTGAAGGTCAAGTAAAAAAAAAACTTTTTTACATTTTTTTATTTTTGGGCTTTTTGTGCCTTTATTGTAGAGATATGATAGTGGATAGAGTCGGAAATCAGGGAAAGAAGTCATTTAAGGATACCTTTTCCGATAGAACAGGACAGCTGTCATTAAAAGTAATGCATGAACACCAAGATTCTTCCAAGTGTTTGTGTCGGCGTCCGTCTGCCCGCACCCCCACCCCCCAAAGCTGTAAACCTAGGGGAAACACTGGACAAGCTGAGACAGAATAAGGTGAAACATTCAATCTGTCAATTTGAAATGAACTTGTAGAGTCTTGCTCTGGTTCTGTTTCCTCTACTCAACATAAAGGTTAGGTGTGTCAGAGGAAATCCTCCCTGCATGTTTATTTGTTACACATTAGAGAAAACACAGCTCCATATGTAAAAACTCAAAGACATACTTTGTAATGTACTAAAACTGAAAAGCTTCAACTACATGTGCAACTGTTTTCATTCTGTTTCTAATCATCACAGTGGAAGTTTTCCAGCTCAACTGTTTACAACAGGTGCATTCTCATACAGTCTTGTGTTTACATGCACCTACACAGTTAATTAGAACAGCGTTATGAGATGAAAACATTGTGCACTGGTCCTTCAAAATAGTTACCTTACAGCACTGACTCATTGGCAGTATTTAGGTAATATGTCCCCCATTATTCATGTCAAAAGACGTGTGGATGTGTTTCCCCCAGCCAATGACAGGAGTGAGTGGATACAATTCATTCATCGGACACCATTGAAACCAGCGTATATTGAGGACGCAGACACAGTGAAGTGAAACATAACGCGCAGTGGTGTAGTGCAGGGTATGCACAGGAATACGGAGTATACCCACTTATTTTTTTGTCTCCATTGGGTACTCCCACTTCTAAATCCCCTGATTCCCACCATTAATTGATTAACAATATTCACTTGGGCGCTGCATTTCTTTTCCTAGGATGGTGAAGCGATAACTCTCCCTACTCTGTCTCTGATTGGCTAGTATGCACTAAATTTGGAAGTGTAGTCTAACATGTCACTGTTTAAAACGGAGGCCGTTCATAGTCTGCTGTACTGGACACTTTAAAAAACATTTGGGGATAAAATTAAGAGTATACAAACTTCTTTAGGAACCACTCCACCACTGACCACGCGGATAACAGTTATTCAAACAAGGGTGAACCTTGGGTAGGCATGCCCTCAACACTGGCGATTACCTTGAATTGGCCTTCTCCATTACAACTAAAGCAATATTCCTATTATTAGCCCTTTTGTATAACTGTTGTCTGTATGCCACTGTGTACAAGCTGCTCCACACCAATTTCCCCAAGAGGGATTAACAAAGTTGTCTAGATTGAAGGGAATATTCTCAGGTAGCTTGCAGTGTTGGCACAATCAGTAAACATCCACGCTAACCCTGCAGTGGGCGTGCACATTCTATTTCACCAGCACAGACAGGTAGACTGTTGGATTATCCTGACTTTAATTCAAATAATAAAGGAAGAATTTCAAAACTAGGATACATTTTTTGTAACATTTAAGGACAATAAATTACATGATACGTTTTATACTAAAAATGAATTGTAAAGTCAATGGATCCATTAGAAGCTGGTTGCTGTCATTAGCATTAAGTAAAATATATCTTCGGTTTATGAAAATACACAGATTTTTTATAGCTCTTTGTCATACTTACTCTTTTTCACCATTTATAATCAAACTGTATTGGTTATGTGCATTTAGGACTTTTCCCTGTTCTAGGTTGCGGGGCTTTATGTGAACAGTTTTCCACATGAAGTCTTTCTAGACGACACTGGAGTGGGATGTTTGGTCTTAGGGGACCTCTGACCTCTGTCTGTCTCAAATGGAAACTTCCCCTCCTCCTCCTCCTCCTCACCTACCTCTGAGACTTTCCTCTTCGTCTCATCGTGGAACTTAATCATCCTTCATGTTTCAAACTCCTCTTAGCAAACCATTTGCTGTGTTTGTGCTTTTCACTGAGCAATATGTGAATATTTTCCCTTTTGTCGGCTTACTTTGACTGTCATTCAAAGATATCCTGAAGCACATTGGCTGTGACCTCGCTCAGGCAGCGAGACAGATGTCAGACCTGTCTCTCTCTCTCTCTTTCTTTTTAGTACCTTCTCCCTCTCTCTCTGTGTGTCTGTCCAAGTAGCATTACAAATCCTGGCTTTCTTCAGAACGCTTAGCTTGCTCTGCACTGTACAAAACTGCTCCTCGCTCTCAAAACACCAGGAACTAGACACACACATACACATAGGGTCAACACTTAGACACACACACACACCTCTCCTGGAGCTCCTGCAGAACCAGAAAGGAGGAGAAAAAAGAGGATTGAAGAATTTGGCCTCAAGTCCTTCAAACGCCTTCAAACTGCTGGTAAAGTAGAGTCAACGTCTGTCTGTCTGTCTGTCTGTCTGTCTGTCCGTTTTCAGCTCCTCCCCCTCTCCGTTTCTCTGTCCGCCTGTTTCTCTCTCTTTGTGTCTGTCTGTCCGTAATTTAAGATTTTGTAAACAGTTTTTTAAAGTATCCATTGACAATCTTCTTCACAGGAATCTTAAAAACTAATAAGATTGGTTTACTGACATGGAGTACAAGCATGAACCAGACCCAACAGACCCAAAGGAACCAGATTCTTTAACTTTTCATATTCATGTGTCTGTTTTTTGTCACTTCTGATTGATTTTGACACTGTTCACAAATCTCCCCGACAGCTCACACATGATTTTCAGATGTGTTGAAGGAAATAAAAAATAAGCTCAGAGGACATTTGGAAAGTTCTTTAAGTAAATCAGAAGGAACATTATTCAGGTTTATACCCTTTTTGGTCATTTTAAAGTAATTATCAAAACAGTGATTAGTGTCCTTATTTCAGCAACTCCAAAGAAAAAGAAACACACCTGTCATTCCGGTGAAGACAAACCATTAAAACTGTTAGCAAAGACTGGTTGGATCATTTTAAGAGAGATTTCCATGGACACGCCTGCAGTTACAGCATATCACCATAGGTGTCACCAAAGAGAAGATAATCGAGATGTTCAAGACTGCTACTTAAAAACTTTAAAAACAGTTTGCTTCATAGCTGCAATGGAGCAGGCTGAACTATACAAATCGACACACTTGAAATCTTATTTTGGGGAAGCACTTTAAAACTTAAAAAATACGGTATTGGCTGAACATACGCTGCCAATAGTTGTCTGCAACCATGAAGAGACTAAGAACCTTAAGTGAGTTTGCTGAGTTTTTTTTCCAACTGAACACAATCTGTAGGGTCACTTTTTTTTTTTTACATTGAAAATTCATTTATATTGTGAAATAGGGTTGTTAAAATAGATTTAGTTTTAGTTTTACAGCAAAAAAGATGAAGTGAACCAGAATCAAAAAGTATTGAATTTGTCAATGTGTGTGTCTTCAGACAACTCAAACAACATCAGCTAGAATGACTACAGTGACTACAAATCTTTGGAGTCGAATATCAGTCACGTCCAGTTATTTAGTTTAATACTGAGGGAAACAAACAGACACAAAAGCAGAAAGAAACCTCCAGCCTAAACACAGCCGACTTTTATTTAAGTACAGATAAACACAGCCTTCAGGTTATTTTTATCCTCTGCTGTTGCTGCTGGAAGTCTCTCCATCTGAGCCTGCTCATCCAGAAACTGAAGTGCTGAATATTTTCCATTTCTCTCCCCTCCCTCCTGTTTTCTTTCCTCTGTCTCACACACATGGATCCCTCTCTCTCTTTTTTGTCTCCCAGACATCAATGAGTTCTGGTTTCTTATTGGCCACTGCTGGGTTGAAGTGGGAGGATCCTACAGCTGGCTGACTGTGTTTTCAGACCTCCAGTCTGTGAAGCAGCAGACTTAAGTTCTGTTTTAATCCAAATGTTCTTTCTCTTTTTAACTATTGTACAGCGTCTTTGAGTTTTTGAAAAGTGCTTATAAATAAAATGTATTATTATTATTATTATTATTATTTTTATGGTCTGATGAAAGCTGGTGATAAAGGCGCAACAGCAGGCTACTGCATTTAGAAGTTATGTCGCGCTAAAACTTTTAGGTGATCAACACAACACGTTCACCTCTGGGTGACCTAAAAATGAAACATCTGTAATTAAAATCAGTTATTATTAATTTTAATTTACTGTTTTTACAATAACCAGAGGTAAAATAAGTCTATCATCAGGCTCAACGCCAGAGTCCGCAACCTACATTTAGTCTGGATGTGAGGAGACGGCCTGGGCCATTTTTTATTTGCACGAGCTGCTCTTTGTGGCTCACTCCATAGGAAGCTTTGTTATTATCAGCCAAACTTTTGTTTTACATAAGTCAAGACAGGAGAAACTGGTAAGAAGTGTGGACAGAACTGAAGACCGTCATGATGTCCCGTAGCTTTGATGAAATTCTGGCAACTTGTGAGCAAATAAAACTAAAGAAACATCGCTCCTTCGATCTCTCTTGAGAACCTGCATTCTGTGTCACCTCTCTCAGGTTTGCTGATGTGATGTGTGTATTGTGTATTACCAGCGTAATGCAGGAGCAGCACGTGCGCTCGGACACTCGTCTTTTTTATGATACTCCCTGCTGAGAAAATAGTACCCCGTTTAATTAATTTTCCTATCATGATATCAACCTTTACGTTGCTAATTTTTCAATACATTTCCTCCTTCCTCCCAAAACGTCTCGCGGGCCAGATGAAACCTGCTGTCGGGCCAGATGTTTGACATCCCTGCTTTAAAGGGACATAAAATCATTATGAGGGCTGCTGCTGCTCTGGAAAACTTTATGGGAGCTGTAGTTATTGAAACAAATCATTAATCCCTGTTGTAGACTTACGCACATTTGTGATTTGATCATGTCTAGAAGAAAAAAAAAAAATAAATTCACAAACTTTAAACACTACGGTTTTGTCTGAAATAACTGCATTCATCTTTTTATTACAACTATATTAACCCTCATCAACCCTGATGATCCAGTGACTTAAATAAATTACATCGTGTAGATGTGAAATATAATGAATGCATTAACAAGGCATTAGCCTGGGACAAAATGTCGGCCACATCACGTCTACAGAAAATATTCAGTCAGCCTCTTACTTTTCAATTGCTTTTTAAGTTTAAGCCTTTTATTTGAATGTATTCTTCCTCAATTTTCACTTACAAATACTTTTTTTGAAACACAACTTCAAGTTAAAAAGTAATAGTGGCATGTTAGAAAACAGATGTTTACCATAAGCATGCAATTTAAGTTGTTTTTGTGTCTAGTTGATTTGGATAAAAACGTCTGCTAAGTGAATTGTAGAATTGTAGAACCTACAAGCTCTGATTTGGTCTAAACCAGCTCTCAACAATTAGTAACAGAGAGTTATCTAGTCAGAAGTGAATAAAAAAATCTACTTTATTTCTTTATATGAAAATTCAGGCTTGTTCAGTACAGGAACCATTCCAGCATATAAGACTTAAATACGCCCACGTTGTGAATTCCCATCATGCACTGCGGCACAGCTACAGCACATTTATTACTGTTATTGAGGCTGATGCAGAAAAACTCTACCCCATTCAGCGAGGGAATCAGACAGAAAACAAACTATCAGGTGTGTGAAGGCGTGTGCTTGTTTCAGATCCCTGCTTTAATAATGACAGGACTGCTCTGTATAGACTAGTCATTACACACACACACACACACACACACACACAAACACACACACACACATAAAGGCAACCAGCCATTAAGACCCCAACAAAGGGCTATATGAGGGCTAGTAGGAAAGCTGACAGCTCCTTTTGTCTGGGAGCCTGCTGCAGGTAAAAACATTTTTCTCCATTCCAACTATGGTTTTATGGAGAAAAAAAAACAACAGAGCTGTGTCTTTGGCTGCTGGTTCCTCCAAATACTCAGGATTTAAGTTCTTACATTTCAAAGAGGTTAGAGCAAGAAAACCAATAGCTTCTTTTTATGGTTTTCATGGCTATATTTTGGGTTGACTGTAAAGAGATGGCAGGGAAGGAGGAAGGAGAGCAATGGAACAACAGAATATAGTTCACACTAGGACTCAAACCCTGGATATGGATGATGGTCAGCATCATAGATCCAAGGGCTAAGGAGGGCCAAGGATTTCTGAGCATTTTTACCCAGCCTTGGCTATTTGGAGAATTGGCTGTTATGTTTTTCTTTGTTGGTAATCTTATTAACCTTCTTGATACTTCCTGAGTAAGCACTGAAGGTAGCGGCATGGTATCTCAGAATGTTTTATTATTTATTTAAAAAAAAGGCATCAATAATAAGTATTTCTTTCATACAAGGGCCTGACACTATCAAAAGATCTATCAATAACCAGCCCAATGGAAAGTAAAGGTAACTTTTGGGCAATCTAGCATGAATCTAGTGCGTTGTGCTCTACAGGGATGAGGTGGTGGCTTGTGGTGGCCAGTCTGTGGCTGCTACTGGGGCTGACCATTGCTGATGCTCAGACTGGACACTGGAACCAAGACAGTGGGACCCGCATGCAGAAGAGAAAGAGGGACGGACAAGGTAAGACTTTTTAATTCTAAGGGAAAGACTGACATCTTGGTAATTCTCTTGCTAGCAGTTGTGCAGTTAGATTAGAATATAGTTACAAATTTAATTTTGTTGAATGTAGTAGATGGGTCCAGGACAGAAGAGAAAATGCTAGATTTACCCAATCAGAATGGAAAAACACCAACCAATAGTTGTAAAGATGTCTGATTGATAAACAGTATTGTGTCGTATTTGGTGGTGTAAAAGTAGAAATGTAAAAAGGAAACAGTGTCACAAAAAAAGCTAATATTGGCTATTTGTTAAAGAACAGTTACAGTGCAAAGAGCCTGCATGCAGCATCTCAAAAGTCCTGAACTAATAGTGGGTTGCCAGGTGTGAACTTTGCACTTGCATCTTTTGTTATCTTGTCATCAAATTAGTATAGTGTGGTTGTTTTTTTATGTTAAAACCTCTAAATCTCTAATCAATTACATGTGGAGTCCTGCATGGTAGCGTCTTGGGTCCATTCTCTTTCTTTCATACATCAGTACTTTGAATCAGTTTTTGCTAAAATTGTCTCTTTTAATGCCACTTTATCAGCCATTCATGGTTTAAAAAAACAAAATATGTTTTAGTCAGAAAGCAAGAAAGGATTTTAATAAGATTCAGAGTAGGACAGAGGACAAAAAAATTTGTATTCATACTGCTGAAACAGGATTTAAACCGATATCAAACACAGGTCATATCAGACAGAAATATATCTGTTAACTGATCTTCAGAATATAATTTAAATCAAGTGGCTTTACATAATGCTAGTTTCTGCCTTTTATGTGTTCCTATAAAGATGTCAATTGATAGTAAAGGATGCAAACTAACATATTTCAGGTCGTCGGCAGGCAAGAGGGGGACGCCTCAGACCTATGAAGATTAGACTGATACCTGGTCCCAGCATCCCAGTGGAGCCTAAAGAAAACCATGGAAACACTCTGTTCCTGAATTCCTACAAAAATGTACAAGAACAGCACTCAACCTACAACCTTATCCCAGGTCAGTAAGACTATAAACACAATACCCTTTATCCAGGTAAGTGAGAGCCGTGACTCAGCAAAGTGTGAGTCGTAAGTCAGCTTTTAACAAGGTTACTGAGACGAGTAACACATCCTAGGGACGGGACGGTAACTTTTTATTTACTTACAAACCACACATTGGCTCTTGAGCTTGTATTCATGTTTTGACATTTTCTGTAGTTACCTCAGCCTCTCCTAGACACTTAAAAGGGTATGTGGCGGTTTTCTACTGACAAATGTTCCTCTACATATTGTTTTTTAGGGCTATAAAAACAGATAATCTTCACATTTCTAGTCCAAGAGTCATTGAATACCTTGCTTTTTATGACTCAGCCAAAACCCCTCAAAATCAATTCACATTTATTCCACAAGAGACATGTCTTTCCTTTTGATGTAGAAACCATCAAATATATTGAAATAATGACAAATGGTTTTAACTCCATATTGTGGATACCATTTGTGGCAGATTATTTTCTGATGGTTTAAATGATAAATCAAAAAATGTTTATGCTTCTCTACCAAAAAACACACTTTGAAATGCTGCACATTAAACAAGCAACCAAAATTGAAGTGGACAAAATAACATTGTATATAGAGAATAAAAGACAACAACCACTTCAAAGTGGCAGAGAATGGCCAGAGAAAGATCTTTGTGTGCAAGCAATATGACATGTTACTGGCTTTGCTGTGGCAGCCACAATAATCTGCCATGTTATGATTTAGGAGAAAAATCATGAAGGTTCGAACTCTAAACTTCAAAGTAGTTTTAAAGATGTCACAAAAAATGTGACCAATTTCCCAAACAATCAAACCACTCCATCTGACTCAGTGTACATTTAAGTGTAAGCCAAACATGGAAACAGGCTTAAACTTTTAAGTGGTACATTAAAACAGTTTCCCAGTCAATAAAAATGCCATTTAATCTTTAACTGAGTTGAAACATTTTTTTAAAATCAAACAGGATGTAGAAGTGAGGTCTGTGAACAGCACAGTACAGCTCTGAGGCTTCGTCTTCCTCTCGTAATGAAGCTGCTTCTTATTACAGCTCAGTTTTTTTAATGACAAATCATCAAATTCCACCATGAACAGAAGGAAAAATCATCTTTGGGAAAAGAGCTCGTTAGAAAATAAGTCCAGAAAATCCCACAAAGAGATGAGGAAAGACTCCACAGAAGAACCTCAAGGCCACGTGGAGCCCTTCAACTTGCAACAATGAAGTCAGCATTATGTAATTAGAAAGGATGGTAATGTTGGTGGCAGTCTCTTGTTCTGTGCTTTAGACAATCATTTTTTTCATGTAGCTGAAACTACTTGGTTCTCTTTTTTTAATTCTTGTTTGGAATATAACAGCATGACTCTTTGTTCAGACCAGCAGGGGAAAAATGTAATGTTACAAAAACCAAACAGATCAGTTGCAGTTTATCTAAACAGAAAGTTACAGTTGTTGGACTAACATGACTGTTGGTTAAGATTTTTTTTGTTCTGTGATGTACACGTGGCTCCCCTTGCAGATTCCATTTTGACCTCTTTGAATCAGCTGTTGTCACATACCCCCCATTTTCGCTTAAAATTTTACAATTGTAAGAATATCATAAATGCATGTCAATTATACACTGACTTAAGGCCAAAAAGCATTTATTTTACACCCCTGTATCAATGACCATCTCATTTAAGAAGACCATCATGGCTCTCTACTTCATAACTGGATTTTTGAAACTGCACCATCAAAAAAATCTACTCATCTTTGTAAATCATGCAGGGTACTATAATGTAAAAAAAATACATCTTAGCTTGAGAACAATAGTTAAAAAAAATTAACTAAACTCAATGTCAGCCTCCAGCATTTTCCAGATTTAATTCCAATATGTCAGTCTTTTGAAACTCCCCAACAATGTGGTCTCCCACCAAATTAACATTAATGGAAATACCTATTTTTAATTATCAAACAGCCTTGGCTGCATTTAACTTTAGTACCTCAGCTTTCCCTTTAAAATCATTGCTGTTATCCCAAATCTACATTTAGGTATTTATCAGATACAAACAAGATAAAAACAAATAAAAGCCTGACATGAACATTGATGTTACAGATTTATAGTATCACCTATCGACGTGATTTTTTAAACCATTTTTACTTATGTCAATATTTCTTGTTATGTTGACGTGTGTTTATCAACTAAAGAATGTCAACATTACTTGTTAACACCTTGCCTCGACATAGCAGGGTTTTTCCTACAATCATAAGACTTTCTCTGCATATAAGCTTAATGTACCAAACAAGTTTGCACACACTTCTGCCCAAACAATGGGAACTAAATCGACTTGACCTCAAAGCTCTTGGAAAATATAATCATCCCAACCAGACTGTAAAGTGAACACAAACAACACAGTTTGAGATTTGGTGGGGTCGTACCAACAATGGCTTTATGTGGATGTCTTTGTCCTACATACAGACACTGTACAGACAATACAGTATGAACAGTATGAGACCCGACAACATACTGAATGGTAACTTGACTGTACTTGTGTAGCTTCTCTAGTCTTCTGATCACTCAAAGTGCTTCAAACTATGAGGGCAGGGGATGCTAAAGTGCCCATCAGTATCAAATAATCCCATCCACATTCATTTATAAAGGATATTAAGAAGTAATTTAAGTACTAGAATCAAATGTCTTTAAAGTGGAATTAGTGTTGTTAATGAAAATCATATCAAGGACACTATATCATTCATGAAAAGTAGTGAGCCTGAAAGGCCTTAAATGTGGCCTTAAGGGGCTCACAGATGGAATAATCTATTTTTTTTCCAACATATATTTGCCGTTTTTTATGCCTTTATTCTAGAGACAGGACAGTGGATAGAGACAGAAATCAGGGAAAGATAGTGGGGAGTGATATGCAGGATAGAAGTCACAGGTCAGAATTGAACCTGGGCCACCCGCTTCGAGGGCTAAGCCTCTGTACATGGGGGGTGGGAATTAACCACTAGGACACAGGCCCCCTAAGACACTCTTTTGAATGTCCTACTTAAAGTCCAAAAAACAAATATTTTCTGTTTGCAATGTGACAAAACAGATAGGATTAATAAATCCTCACATTAGTGAAGCTAACTATTTCTGTTCTTCTTAAAAAACCATGAACTGATCTTCAAAATTGTTGTCAATTTATTGCTTGTTGATCAATTAATAAATTAGTAGTTTCACTGCTATTAAAAAACACATTTAAGTCTGAGCTGAAAACAGTATGATGGGGCTATAGCCGAGTCTGATGGCGACTGTATTATTCAAATAAAAACCCACAATTTACAAGACAATAAAGATATTGTTTGACAGTAAGACAATAGTTTAAAGAGAAAACAAAAGCTCTAAAGTATGAGTGCTCCTGCATAGATGACAGGGTGACAGTCTTTCTCCTCACAGTAAAAAGAAAAGACGGAGGAGAGACCATATTTAAGAGGAATAACCTGAGCCTTTTAACTACCTGTGATTCTATGGGCATAACAAAGAGCATACCATTAGAAAGGATAGATGACAGACAGGAAAGACCTCAAATAGACACAAAGAGCCTCTTCCTGCTATATCATAGTGGTTTACAGTGTTTTCTTCTGACTCACTGCCAGTCACAGCCTCATCCTGTCCCATTTCTAATTTTTCAAGGTGGAGTAAATGTCGAGGGAGGAGTGGAACACTACAAATCACTGTTTTGTGTGTTTTTGATAGTAAAGTACAGGCTTTGAAGCTAACAACATACACGCCAATTACTGCACAAGGACTGTTGCTGCAGCTGGGGAGAATAGCAAAGCATGTCAGCGTCTTAGTCTAAAGGTGTGACCCTCAGGATGCTGGTTGGAATTTGCCTTGTAGTAGACCTCTGAATCACTGCCCCTTCATCCGGTTTGTTTTGTCAGCTGATGTGCTCATTGACAGCTGTTTCCTCAGTTGGAAAACCAACAAAGTCAATCAAATAATAAAGTAAGGGTTTCCTTCTCCTTCAAAATAGCCACACCAAAAAACAGTATATGAAGGTGACTTGTCTCAGTTGTGCAGGTTGCTGATGTTAAGCAAACTTCCTCGGGTTGAGTCGATGCCTTACAGTTTGTAGAAATTTGGCAGAAGGATAACTAAGAGCGCACTCACACTAGGCACTATGTACTGTGCCCAATCACGTTTGACCTCCAAAGTCCATTTCATTTACGACAGTACACTTCCTTGGCCCTGGTATGATTGGAAGAGGTGGTCTTTAGCATGGTTTGGGTGATCACACACGAGCACAAGCATAGGAACGCAACATGGACATGATGTATAATTGGTCCCTCTGTCTCCGGCAGCACTATACATGTATGGTGATGATGTATGTACAAGAGGTAACCGTGTTCAGGCTTGGTTGGGCCTGAACAAGATGCATGTATGGGTTTCTTAATCTTAAAACTAACATCGCAGTCTGAAGCGCCTTGGGAGAAAAATTGTTTGCACAAAATACCTCACACCATGATGTTTATGTCCAACTTTCATGTAAAAGAAGCAACTTGTTTGGTGGGCAATTGGTGTTTGCTAACAAGTTGTATCACAAGACTTATTGCAGTCCTTGTTTGTTTGTTAACATATTCTCAAATTATTAAAGTCACAAGGCAGAAAAAATTGCCGTCTCATCATGTATTCTTATGGTAAAATGTAAAATTCTTGCTGACCTGAAGCTTAACTTTGACCAATAGACTCAAGTAGAAGACACATCAATTGAAACATCTAACACAAATGACTCTAATTAGTAACTCTTGTCATGTAAGATCTGTTAATAAAGAAATTGAACAACAGTAAACTACTGATCTGAATTTAATGTGTATGTGTTGTTTCAGGTAAGCAGGGCCACTGTGTGTACCAGGGTCTCACCATGTTCGACCAAGCCGTCTGGTCTCCTCAGCCCTGTGTGACTTGTCAGTGTACCAGAGGACAAGTGGTTTGTGACAAGATCACCTGTCCCAAAACACACTGCCATTTCCCCTTCACTCCTGCTGGGGAGTGCTGTCCCGTCTGCATGGAGCCAGGTAGAAACACAACATGTGGCAAAGCCATGATGCAACATCCAGAGGCAATATAGAGGAGCAATGATTCTGACTTTCGGGCCAAAATTTTACACTTCAAACCATAAAAGCTTCTGATTTACACAACTTATATTTAAGAACAATTTAAACATCATTAATTCTGAAAACACCAATTACTGTGATAAAGGATATGGAAGCAGTTCCATTTTTCTTTTTAGGACTTTTAAGCTTTAACTGTAGAGACAGGATAGTGTCTGAAATTAGGGAGCGAGCGTGGGGAACGACAAGCAGCAAACGAGCCACAGGTCGGATTCAAACCTGGGCTGCCCACTTTTAGGACTTCAGCCTATATACATGGGGCGCGCAAACAAACCAGTAGGCCACCAGCGCCCCATGGAAGCAGGTCTATCTTCAACTTTCCAACAGAATAGGCAGGATGTGGTGAAAGACTGGGTTTTACTTTTGCCTTACCGAAACGTTTTGGGGGTAAAAATAATGGACTAATTTAAGTAATTACACAACCCATTGTACCGCATTTTTTATTGCTACAAAATTCAGTTTTACTATTCAGCGTACAATTATATCATTATGAGTGTGTTCACATGAAGTTTCTTCCAGTATACTTTAAACTCATTAAAACAAAGAATGATATGAAAAAGCTTCACTAGTTTCCTGGGGTAAACCGAACTAATTATCCTCTGAGGCCTCTGTATGTTGCTTCCTGTCTTAATCATGGCTTTAAAATGTGCTCAGAACATTTTGGGTCAGATAAACCGACATGTTGTGAAAACGTTCATGTGTCTTTGTGTTGGGAGATATCATAGGTTGTTTTCAACATGTTCATGATTGGTTTAAACTTAATTTAAAGTCAATCATACCAAAATACAGACTAAACAGATTATGGGCCAGATTTACTAAAGGTCTGCGTGTCTTAAAACGTGTGCAAACTTGACACCACCCGCAAAAAATCTGATCTACTAACGGCGCACAGTGAGGATTGCGTCTTTCATGTGAGCAAAACACCACGCATTGTCCATTTAGTACGTTTGCCTCAATGAATATGCAATATGGGGCATTTCTGCCCTAGCGTGCAAAATACTGGTGGTAGAAAATGCAAAGAAGTTAAGTTAGTACACGCATTGCGAGTTACTAAGCATGGCAAAAACTGCGGTGATCGTGACGGTGTCTGAATTTAACACCTTTGAAAAGAACGTGCTAACCCAGGAGCACAGCGTTACGCACAAAAGGCTGATGTTATTGTAGTGAGGAGGAGACATAAGCACAATCAAAGAAGGCATAAAGATCGCGTTTTCCCCCACACATGGTAATATGTTTGGAATGAAAGCATGAAACACCATGATTAAACTAATATAGGCTATATTGTTGCCTATTTATAGCCAAACAAAACTGAACATTCACAGCCTCTGCATTCTAAAGAATTACAGCATTGAAATTTATGTCGTTCTATTTCCCTCTTTTTGCCAGCATTTCATTTTAAACTGGGGCTTTCCTCTTTCTCGGGTTGCGTGTCTCTCCCCCAGCTCGTCCCCTCCGGTGCACTCTTCTCCTTAATGCACTCGTCTCCTCCCTCTAAAGCCCGCTACTGCTACGCTGTAGGACGCTTGAATTGGGGGATCTCACCACTGCTTGTACCCCCGTCTTTGATACTTCTTGCCAGGGCATTTAAGTCTCATCAGACACAGTGCTGGCCAGCTATCTGGTGCGCAACAATGGCCCGAATGTCGCGCCTGTGCGCCCGTGCCACAGAGGACACAGCTCACACCTCCTGCGCAATGTATGACAATTCATTCAAAAGGTGAAGGGAAGAAAAGAGAGGCCCTGTTTAATGCCGAGGTTTTCTTAAAAGCAAATTTCTTTTGGGTAATACTCAGATTTATCTGCTATAACTCAAAAATATTTTGCGTTTTTTTGCCTCTCCCACTTATACCTATTTTGCGCTTGCAGTCATCCTGCTTTCCGTCCAAACTCTCCGTGACGTAACCCAGTAGAACATGCAAAAACCTAACTTAAATAGTACCGCCTCCACAAGGTTTGCACCTGGTGTCATTCACGCAAATTTTCTTAGTAGATCACCCGCAAAACGCCCACCAACCGAATGTGCAATTTATTGGAACGAACACGCAATTTAGTACTTTAATTGGGAGCTTAGTAAATCTGGCCCTATATGTTTTGCTGACATGAGGGAAAGAGGCGGCAGGTTGGACTTGAACCCAGTCCACCCGCCTGGAGGACTACAGTTTCCATACATGGGGCGTGACAAACTATTGAGTTTCAAAACAAATTTTTTGTGGGGATGTCACTACAGATATTGCTTTGCTCTATAACCTGCAAGAATTACAAAACAAATGGTTGGATATTTAGTATCCCAAAAAGGAAACCCCCTGTGAGTCTGGAGTCTACAATAGTTATAAGGCTCTTATGTTCTGGTCAGACTCTCAGACTTTAAGTAGAAAGTAGAAAATAACAGTTTGAGTTAACTTTACATCATCTGCACAACATTGTGTAGTAGCGGAGCAATGAGAATATTTGTCCAGGCTCTGTGATTCATGCTTTGCTGATCATTTCCATCTGAGTCTAATGTTACAGTTTGGGACTTGGTGACAGCTAATAGAAGTGGCAGATTGATGTGTTTGGATGGAATAATGCATTATCCTTCCACATAAAAACTTCAAAACAGGTGTGAAAAGTTTCCCTTGAAGATCCTGTGGCGTAAACGCTAACTTTTTGTAGTTGCATTTATTAACACCGCCACTGGCAACTGCTTCTCCCTAGAGTCCCATTTATCATGTTAGTTTATTTTGGCTAAAGCTAATATACCTCATATACATTTTAAGGTGAGGCAAATTGAGAGGGTTACATGTACACTTACCCCCCAATGTTCTGGTTTTAAACGGGATGTGTTATGTCTATAGTGAAAGTGTGAATGTATAACCATTCATTGCATTCAGCGAACTACAGTAACATCTGTACTTACAGGGGATATACGTTTTTAAATTCTCGACTGTGGGTGCATAATTTGTTGAAAACATGAACTTGGATGGGGGGAGGGGGCACTGTAGTGTTTGAATTGCTCACATTCATATATTGCACAGTAAATATGTATAACATCTAGTATAAGAATAGAAAACAACACATACTGTTACAAAAGGGAGCCAAGGTTGGTCTAATTTATTTAAAATGTAATAAGATTGTTTGAATGCACTATGCTACTGTTTGGTGTTAGAATAACTTCAGCTTGAAAAGGTAAAAAAAAATCGTTCAGCCAACACCGTTTCAACAGAAATATTGTGAGGAAGAATCATGTTTAAATTTACTGAATGTAAAAAAAAGGGGGTAGAAAATGTATGCTTGTAAATATTTTACATCACAAAATTATGTTAATCACACTTAGTAGCAGATGGTACCAACGCTGGGGAACATGAAACAACCAATTTAAATTCCTATTGAAAAACGCTTCAATAGTATCTGTCCCAGACTGGTCTACAGCAGCAGAGCTCTGTAGCTACAACAAGCTGGTCTTTTAATTGTCGGTCTGAGAAATATGGGTGTATGTCTTTCTACAACACTAACACAAAGTCGTCTCTGTCCATCTCCTGTCTGTCTGTCGACTATCATCCTGATCCTTTGTCCTCAAAAACTTCCGTCTCTATCCTGTATCCTTCATTTCTAGCTTGCTTTATTATTCCACTTGTTCCATCTCCTTTTGTGCTCCCTCTCCTGTCTTTGCTTCACTCCTTTTCTATTCTTTTTCTCTCTCGATTCTGTCACCTTTTTTCTTTACTGTCCACCACCGCCTTCCTTCTGATTGGCTGCCCCGCACCACCCTACACCCAACCCAGAACCTGACCTCAGCCTTGACATTTCTGGTGACTCCCCAGTTCCCAACGACACAGATGAGGACGTGACCCTGCTGACCCAGACGGAGATCCAGCGAATTCTATGGCGTGAGGAAGAGGAGCACAGAGAGGAAGAGGAGCGCTTGAGAAAGAAGGACGAGGCTAGGAAAAAGAAGAGGAAGCAGAGGAAGGAGCAGGAGGAGATACAGAGAAAGATAGTGGAGGAGAGGAGAAGGGAAGAAGAGGAGGCTCTGAAGCTGCAGTTAAAGAAAGAGGAGGAAGAGTGGAGGAAGCAGGAGGAGAGAAGGAGAGAGGAGGAGGAGAGGAGGATAGAAGAGGAGGAGGACAGAAGGAAGAGGGAGAAAGCAGAGAGGGAAGCAAGGGAGAAAGAAAGGGAATTAGAAGAGGAAAGGAGGAAGCAGGAGGAGATACTGAGGGAGGAACTGCTCGCACTGATGGAGGCGGAAGAGAAGCATCGGGAGGAAGAAGATGAGCAGAAGGGGTGGGGGAAGCAGGAGGAGGAAAGGTGGAGATGGGAGGAAGACACCGAGAGAGAAGCAAGAGAGACTCAAAGGGAGCTAGAAAAAGAAAGGAGAAAGCAGGAGGAGAGATTAAGGGAGAAACTACTGGAACTGGTGGAGGAGGAAGAGGAGAAGTACCAGGAGACACTGGAGGAGGAGGAAGAGGTCTGGCTGAGGGGAGATGTGTTTCAGATGCCCCCAAAAGAACCTGAAGAACCCGAAGAACCTGAGCGCCTCCCTACTCCGATCCCAAAACCTCCTACTTCAATAGATGAGCTGGAGGAGCTGGAGGAGCTGGAGGAGATTGAAACAGAGGTGGAGGAGGCAGTGGAGGTAGAGGAGGAAGATGAGGAGAGGGAGGTTTTGGTGGTGGACAGAGGAAGCCTCCCTCCAGGCTGTGAATTCTCTGATGTCACTGTGACATGTGATAATGCCAAACTCCTCTACTTCCCTCCTCTGGCCATACCCGAGCTCAAATCTCTCAGTCTGGAAGGTAAGTCAACACCACAACAGTGAGAGCAGAAGGCAGTGCCAGTCAAAGACTCTGCATTGAAGCCATTTTGAAAAGTTTAGCATTTTTCTTTAACCTGAAATAATAAAAAAAAACATTTGGTTTTCATAACAATGATTTTCTAACTGCAGTAAAAGATGAATCCAGTCAACAAATCAATTTGTATTTATATAGCACCAAATCCCAACAAAAAACGCTTTACAAAATGAACAGGACAACACCGTTATCTTTGTTAAGTTAATAGTCGTTATAAGAGAGACCCAACAATATTTTTTGGAAACAGTGGCAAGGGAGAACTTACTTGTTGGGGACTAGCAGCACATTTATTCACATTTGAGGTTCCAGTGAGTTCTTCCAGCTGCAGAGTGGTGCAACATGGAGATGAATTGCACTTTGATAATAGAGGAACGTGTCTCCCAGTGCAACTGTCGGACTCACTGATGTGTTTTTAATCGTTTTTGGACAAGAACTGAGGAAATAGCTATAATCAGGCTTTGGCTATACACACAATATTTGTTAGATTGATTATTATTGGTTAGGGTTTGCATCAGGGTTGCAAAACTTTTATCTGTCAACATTATGTTTAGACTTCCCTACACCTTGCAAATAATAAGAAATATATTATTCTCATTCCACAGTTACTCTCGCCTCAGTGCAGAACTGATTTGACAGTATGACAGTTTTTAATGAATTTGCTCATTTTTCTAAAACGGAAAAAAAGGATGGGTTTTTATGTTGTTGTTCGACAAATGCCTTTGGAGGGACTATAGCTCACACTTGTTCATACTTCAGAGAAGGTACTCTCCTCACACTAGAGGACCCTTAAGGGAATTAATATAGAGAACAAATGACACAAATAAATAAAAACAAATTGAGAAAAAACCCATCCAGAAACACACTGATACCACATAGCCTGCCACATTTTCAGTTTTTTTCTTCACTGACTGAAAGTTTTCCGACTTGCAGGCAACAGCATCAGCAGCATTCCAGCAGGAGCCTTCAACGGCATCCCCAACCTGGAATGGATCAACCTGAAGAAGAACAAGCTCACCTCTGCTGGCATTGATGCTAAAGCCTTTAAAGTAAGACAAACTGACACACTAAACTTGTATGGCATTGGAAGACTGAAGAAAATATTGTGATGTGTTTCATGTGTCTCAAAGACATACAAGAAAAGTTATAAGTATGTTTTTAAACACAGCTTTTTAATGTGTCCTGATAATAGATGATTATGGTTCAGAAAAAAACCATAAAAGTGTTATTTGTGTAATTCACATTTGTTGCATGAAAAGTCACTGACAGATATTAGTACCAGTGTGTTTGTTTGTTCTAGGGTTTGAAGAATTTAAGGCGTCTCTACTTGGATGGGAACCATCTAGAAGCTGTGCCAATTGACCTTCCTTCCACCTTGCAGGAGCTGAAGATTAATGAGAACAGACTGAAAATCATCAATGATCATAGCTTCAGAGGTACCACCACAGTATCTTTTAATGCACCAACATACTTAATTTTTCTGGAAAATCCAAAATAATTCAGAGTAGTTTTTGAGTCTCCAGGTGGTGCTCTGTGGCTGAGTTTAGTTCATACACCAGAATGGAGAGCCAATACCAAGACAACACTATGACATTCCATTCTATAGTTTGTCCCGCTGGGGTAGCCTACTGTTAATAACCTTAAATTGACTAAAGGATGAAAAGGCAATTGGCATTTAATCTGTTATAGTCAACATATCATAACCTAGATCTATGACTTCTCATACATTCTTTACGTTTAGATATTGATATCAGGTTGAAGGTTTTGCTGTCTTTTTATAAAGCTGCTATAATTAAGTTCCAGGATCAAGCGCAATTTGGATCTTATTTGATGGTGACCTTCCATGCAAAATCATTGGAATTAAAGGTGCTCCTATATGTAGGAGACCTGTGATAGATGGTTCCCAAACCCTCCATGGATGCACTTCTTAGTTTATCAGAATTCCTTGCACTTCTTATGCTATGGAGAACTTTTAGGTGAAGTAAACTTACACTACATGTCGTCTCTCCCCCAACCTTGTGAACTCCAGCTAAGACTTCTTATCATGTGTAAAGGGTTTGAAGTTATTATGCCCTATTATGTTATTCAACCATCTTGGAATACCTCATTTAATGAATGAAATGAGCATCTCTTGTTGTGTTCTGCAGAAAAACTGTAAATATTTATTGTTTTGTACCGATACAGATCAAGTTTCCCGTAGAAACACAGGCATGTTTATCTGTTCCTTTTCTGAGCAGGTCTGAGCACTTTGGTGATTCTGGAGTTAGAAGGAAATCTGCTGAGTGAGGGGAATGTAGCCCCTCTGGCTTTTGCTCCCCTCATCCAGCTCTCATACCTCAGAATGGGCAGAAACCACTTCCGGACCATACCACAGGGCCTTCCCATGTCATTACTGGTATGAAGTAACATCTGTTTACATTACTACTTTATCTCTTTGGCTTAATCTTTTCCTTCCCAGCACAGGGCTACCTTAAATTGCATGACATTGATCTCAACAATATCCTAATAAATAAGTAAATAAATGAACCACAGCAACAACATACAACTCACCCTGTTTAATGTGATTGTGCCCTCAGTAAATAGTCTTTATACCTCAGTCAAGATTGGTGGTTCAAAGGATCTAAAGGTGTAGGGCACTTGTGGCCACTGTCTGTATCAAATCTAACAGTCATTAAGCCACACTATCAAAGGCCTTCAGAGCAGCTGACTGCAGTCAGTTAATCAGTAACTTGGGATTGCTGATGCAGCAGTATTTTCATCCTGGCTCCAATGTTTAAGACTCCCTGGTAGAGTAAACTCTGCTTATACCTGTGGGAAACTGGTCCACCGACCTATAATTATGGCATCTGGTTAACCACAAACAGTGCACCAACCACATGCTGCTGCTGAAAAATCCACCTTAAAACCAACCTTGTGTTTTGATCCTGGAACTTTTCTACAAACTCTTGGCAAGTCCAAAGCCCATACCTTTTCTTAAAATAAGTCCCCAAGATTATAATGTACTGTTAACATGTATTCTTACTAATATACTCAGGGAATCCACAATTTCTGACTTCACACTTTCAGCTTTGTAAGGCCAAGTGGAAGATTATGCTTGTTATAAACAAGATTTTTGTTTTGGGTTGGATTTTGCACTTATAACCACAAATAGTCCGAACAAACCACAGGCCTGTCTGCCAAGATCTCTGAACCAAAGGCACTCAGCTAACATAACTGTTTAATTACATACAAACCCAATCTTTTTTCAATAAAAACTAAAAATGCACTATTTATGGGAATCCCACCGTGACTTAGACAATAACCTGCCAACAACTTTTCACCAATTAAACATTCTTCATTCTGACCTTCATGATGTATTTTATTTTGCATTCTTTTTGTTATTCAGGAGCTGTACTTGGAAAATAACTTGATTGAGGAAATCTCAGAGACAGTTTTCAATCAGACTCACAGTCTGAATGTGATATCTCTCAGACACAACAGGCTGGATGAGAGCAGGATCGCCCCAATGGCCTGGATTAACCACAGGTCAGAAGGACAACTTATAGTATCAAATATGATCCTCAAGACTCACGAGAAATTAATAGAAATGTATTTCCATCAACATTTTGGCTGTCAACAATATACATTTCATTCCTTTACCAATCTTTCATGTGCCTTTTCAAGCTGACCATTATAATAAGTTTAATTAGCACCTATATAACTATATAACAAAATAACATTTTCTTGGATTGTATTGACAGAATTGTAGTGCACTGTAACAAATTTTTCTGAACTTTGTCTGAACTCTGCTGTCATCAAGGTCAATCAATCTCTTACAGTATCTTCATTTCCACTTTCTTAATGCTTCTACTTCTCTGCAGAAATCTGGAGTCAATCGACCTTTCGCATAATGACCTCTACCTGGTTCCTTCCTACCTTCCGATGTCTCTGGTTCACTTAGTGCTTGTGGGAAACAAAATAGAAAGGGTACCTGGTAAGTCGAAAGTATGGATGGAGTGCTGGGCTGACAAATATGATATCTCTTAGATAGGAGGAGCATGATACCAGAAGGACTTGCTAAAAAAATTTAAAGCGGCCCTGAACATTTTTAATGGTCTACTATGGTTTTCAAGGAACATTAATGGACTGTAAATTTATTATTTAGTGCAGTGGTTCTCAACTTGTATCGCCTCAGGACCCACCAGCTCCTCTTTGAGAAATCCAGACCACAGTGTACCTTAGTTGTCTATTGGCCTTGGTTTCTGATACACAGAAAATCAATACCAATATCAGCTCTGCCATCTCTGTCAGTCCAAGAAGTTCTTACTTCAATCACAGACTATTGACATATTGATGAATGACAATGACTATGGTCTCTTACCTGCTCTTTTGCAAAGCACCTCGCGATAACACTTGCTATGAATTCGCGCTATACAAATAATGACTGATTGATTTATTGATGAATATTCACCAGTGCTAATAATCTATACAAATGTAGGGACATGAACTTCAAAAGTTACAATGTTTGTGGCCAATGCCTCCACAGGTTATGTCTTCGCTCATATGGACCCTGGCATAGAGTACCTCTACCTCTCTTATAATAAATTGGATGGGGAGGGAATCGAACCAGAGTCATTCTTCGGCTCATACAACTCAATGGTGGAACTGTGTCTGGATCACAATCAGCTGGTCAGCGTGCCGTCTGGCATCAACGAGATGACCAATTTACACTTTCTAAGACTCAACAACAACAATATAAGGTATGGTTTCAACATCCACATGATTCCATATTTAAGGGTTCAAGGTTTTTTCCTATGATTGTTAAAATGATAACTTATAACATTTTTAAGTGTATTAAGTTTGGTAAAGAATAAACAATAATTTCTTACTGATGTGGAAATTACATGGATTGGATTATGCAGTTATTAACCAGAACAAAAAAAGCATAATTTAAACTTAACTCAATAAGTTTAATACTGATACAAGTTTGAATAGGTTTGAGTGTTTAGAAAGGAGTTCATCTATCTTAGGGTTAAAAAAGTCATATTGTGTCCAGTGAGAGAATCCCCAAATTTTGGCAGCAACAACAAATAAAGTAAAAACAGATCATTTAAGACAGAGAGTAAGGAAAGAATAAAAGCACATTTTAATTGAATCCTTTAAGACAAACAACAAAGGGTCCCACAACAGACAAGAGACCGACCAGACTACTGACTCATTCATCAGCACACTAGACAAAAACAACTGAAAGTTAACTGGACGGGGAGTTGTCTTGACGACAAGGAACAAAACAAGTTGCTTCATATTTCCACCTGAGAGTCACCCTGAATCACCTCATTACTCACTCACAGGTCCATGTACTGTACAGCACTCACAGTCCAGGTATTTGCACAGTTTATATAACAGGGACTTTGCAGTATGTTTTTTCATGGCCAAGATGGCTGACCCTTCATTTGGGAAATTCTTACAAACCCTGGGGCAAATCCTGCAGAGTACTAGACATATAAGGTGGATTAAAACAACAACAATCAAATTTAGTAAATAAATTAGTGAATGAAGTAAGTTTACATGCCAATTTGATTTTCAAAATAATTAATGGATGTCTAAAGTATTTTGTCATGCAAAAAAAAGATTACATTCTTTTAGTTTTTCAATTGTTAAAATTTGAAGCTGTTAGCCTTGTGTAACAGTACAGTGAATATAATAATAAACGTTTTAATCAGCCAGAGGTTCATAATGCATAGACTTACACGGGTGTTTACGATGGAGATGGACCTTTTTTCAGGACATGTTGACTGAGCAAATGATCAATTGATTATTAGAGTAAATAACTTGGGTATATACATTCAAGTTTATCTAACTACTTCCTTTTGTTGTTACTTCCAGGAGTATCCCTGAAGAAGGCATCTGTGACCCGAATCTCAGTGGAGAGTCGACTCTGGTTGCCGTGAGGCTAGAGAACAACTACATTGACCCCAAGAAGATCTCTCCATCAGCCTTTTCCTGTGTACGCTCCTCCTCCAGTGTGGTCTTAAAACCCCAGAAAACACAGTGACCTGAGTTCACATAAATCAAAAATTGCTTAAAGACACTTGTTGAAACCGTCAGAAACACAGAGGATGAGATTGGTTTTTAATATGACAACCGAAGACAAAATGTAAGATAAGTCCTCCCGTTTCTCACTCTCATTCTGTATGTTACTGACATCACACCCAAATGAAAGCTTAGAAAAATGCTGTTCAGAAATACAGGTTGAACATGGGAAGAAGGAAAAATGTAACTGTCAAAAGTTACGTCTGATGTAATTTACCATGTGGGAATCTTCTGCCTTGTCATATCTTTGGACTGAACTATTAGGGCTTGAAATTTGTTTTGCAGTGTTGTTCCGCCCACCTTGAACTTGTATCAAGGAAACAGAACACCTTCAGACATCAAAAGCAAACTCATTGCTGCTTTAGTGAAACATTAAACTCTCTAAAATGGAAAGATTTCATGCACCATACACTGTAAAATCAAAATACTAATAAGGGAATGGAAAGATTTCTGTCAAGTTGGACCACAAGCCCAACACATTATATTTAACAACTTTACCACCTTCATGTTCCATTTCTCAGCTCTGTCTCCTCCAATTCCTTCTTTCATAAATAGTGTGAGAGGTTAAATCCCATGTGTTACGCCATCCTCAGAACTCTTTTAGCTAAAGATGAAGAAGGTTAAAGAACTAAAATGAGGTGAGCGCTGTTGGAGAGCTACTCTCCAACCTTTGAGAGATTAAGAGACAGAAGATGGAATCGCTTAAGCCCAATTCCTCAATGGCTAACATGTTAGATGGGGATTCCGGTTGAGAAGGTTTATTTTCTTAAGAGTTTCATGTTGATGAGTTAATCAGTATGTGGACTATTTTGTCTGAGGGAATCAATACCTTAGAGCAGTGGTTCTCAACTGGTTGAGCCTCAGGACCCACCAACTACTACTCCATGAAAATCGCGACCCAAATTTCTGATATTTTTCAACCAATCATATTTAATTTAATATAAGAATTGTGCAGTCTGGACCTCAGACGGTACGAAGCCAAAGAGTGATAGCACAAAGAAACTGAAGGAAACAAACTTGTTAAAAAAGCGCTTCAACGCCTTTTTGACAGCATTTCTCTTCCAGGCACACCTCGACCCACTAAAAACAGCTCCGCGCCCCACTTTTGGGTCCCGACCCACCAGTTGAAAACCACTGCCTCAGACTTTCCTTTAAAAAAAAAAAAAAAGGCATAAAGAACTCCCCCCAAGCAACACAATGAGATATGAGTAATGACTTGCTCCATAGCTATTTTCCAACTTTACATTTACCTTCAACAGTTTTATTTTAAAGATGTCCTTCCTGTTTCACCAAACAAAACAGGCTTAAGTATACTCAAGGTCGACAAATATGCCTCATCTATCAACCTCTGTTTCCACTCACATCAGCTCTAAGTGTGATTAAAAGAAGACGTCTGCAGCTTGGGAGTGTGAATGCTTTGTGTTGGAGTGTTTTTTTTTAATAGAGTTGTGAGTTTTCATAAAAACTGACCTGTGCAGAAAACATGTTTTCTTTTCCAACATGTCTATTGAAATACAATTGCCATTTACTTTGCTCTTGGCTGGCCAATATGCATAAATTATATCACAATGTTTTTTACTGTCTTGCTTAACACTTTGTTACGATGCACAATTCAAATAAAATGTACCATATTCCAATTTTTGCCTTGTAATGTAGTCCAGAAACAGCCACTACTTTATATGAAATAAAGCACTTCATAATTATCTAATCACATTTTCATTTCATTACTACTACGAAATGTATGAAATGTACAAGCCTGGTAACCTGGGAACTGCCACCAATGAGCAAAACACCAGAACGATTTTAATTTATAAGAATAAGGTAAGTAGTAATTTTTCAAATGGAGTACTGTATAAAACCTGGATGTTTTCTAGGAACAGATTCATGTTGATACTGAATGCAAATACTCAACCTGTGAGGTGTACATAATGCCTACATATCCAAAAATAATAAAGATTGTATTACATTGGATCCCCTAAACTTCTTCACTGTCAGAAAAACATTGAGAAGAATATTAACTCATTTAAGTATTAGCAAATTAGCACGTCAGGCCGCAATGTGGAGGTAGAGCCATCATGTCTATTAAAGAGTGAGTCATGATAAAAAAATGTGCTGATCCTCGCATCACATGTTAATTACCCCCATGCAAAACATATTTGGGGGAAGCCGTAATTATAAGACCTACAAGCCAACTTTATCATAACATTTTCCCCTGTAAGCCTGAGGTTTTGGATCATTTTCTTAGTAGCAGGCAGATCAAAGGGACAAATGGCAGAGAAAAGCTAAACTGGTAAGAGGACAAAATCCTCAGCTACTTTAGCAAGATGAATTGGAAATATTAGATGTTTATAGGCAGACAAAAGTAAATCTAGAAGTAGAAAAAGCAATAAAATCAACAAACAGTAATGTCTGGTCAGTTTCAAGTTGCTAGAAGTCGTCAAGTCATCATACTTCAGATGGAAAAGTTTTTTCAATGACCCAAAGCTTGAAGATTAAAGGTTTTCCTGGAGAAAAGACAGAATTCAAGTTGTCTGCCAAGTTGAACAGCTGCTGTGTTCATCAGCCTCCCAAATCAAACACATGGAGGAACAATCTAATAGTCATTATTCATACGACCCTTTCAATGTTTCTCAGGATGAGAACATCCTGGTTCGCTGAAAATCTAATTTTGCCTTATGCCCTTAGCAGATATCTGATCGTGTACATATAATCACTCTACGGTTGAACCTTCCTAAAGCTCTGGAATTATTCAGTCTAGTGTTTTCATAGTTTAGTAACTTGTTTGGGTTGAGAGGTACACACAAGGTTTCTACGTGGTTTGAGGAGATAACGTATTAGTACTAAGTACTTGCCTTCTCTAAGCCGTCCCTTCAGGTTAACATTTAGAAACATGTAACTAGAACTGTCATATGAAACAGTACATGGAGTTTAAATTGGCATATTACATGTCCAGTTATAATTCACTGTATTAGCATACAGTCCACTAGCTGCAAACAAAACTTCTGAGTGACGTTTAAGTCAGTCAGAACTAAATTATGTGGTTTGCATGATTATTATTGCAGCTTACAATTAAGTCGTCTGAGGTTAGTGATTATTTTATCTTGAAATGCAACTTACCAACAAATTAGCAGTTTATCCCTTCATATATTCAATACTCTAGCGTTTGACAGCACTAATACAGTTTTAATTTGCACTGGTGTTGTACTTGTGAAAATGTTTTTTTAGTTGTGTTTTGGTTTTGTAATACCAACGTAAACACTATTCTTTGGATATTTAGTGTTAAAGTTGCAATATCTGAACACAGATTAATATATAGGGCTGCACAGTGGTGCAGTGGTTAGTGCTGTTGCCTCACAGCGAAAAGGTCCCTGGTTCGAATCCCTGTAGGACAGGAGCCTGTTGAGTTTGCATGTTATCCCTGTGCAAGTGTGGGTTCTCTCGGTGTACTCCAGCTTCCTCCCACAGTCCAAAGACATGCTCATTAGGTTAATTGGTGACACTAAATTTGCCAGTAGATGTCTCTATATATCAGCCCTGTGGGGTGGGGGAAGCGGTATAGATAATGGATAGATGGAGATTAATATATATTTATTAAAAAAATAAATTTTCATGTATTCATTTGTAGACACATTTTTTTTTTTACATTTTAGCGTTACATTTTCATACTGTAGGTTAAGGCTACTCACAATGACAGAATGAAGGTAACAAAAGACACTAGATTAATTATATAAAGGGACACAGGTTAAACTCACTTGTAGAACTCACTGCTATGACATAACATCCAGTCCAATAAGTTTATTCAGCTGATGTTTCCCTTTTACAAATAAATTGAGCCAATTTTAACATTATTGTTTTTGGAAGCAAGACATGCAATTGCATAATTGTTGCCTGACTCTTGGTGGTAACTTGTAAATTCAATTATTTTATCATGAGATGTAAAAAAAATCCTTCCCTATTAATATTGGAAACAGCCTCAAAAGCGTTCAATCAGATTAAGTCATGGGTAAGTCTGAGGCTGGTATACAGTGGTCTGTTGTGTAACCTGGCTGCATAATACTCCCAGCAGCAGGTAACACGCTAAAGTTCTGACCCTACCACTGTTTTATTAAAGTGTTTCCTGGCAATGAGATGCAACTGTGGCACTAAAGCAACATCGGTGCTGAGGCAACTCCTTGGCACAATTGCCAAGCAAGTAGCCCCAGTGACTCATTGCTTTTAAGGCCCAGCTGGAGGAAATTCTTGTCAACACAAGAACACAAGTTCCATAGCCGGCACAGACGTCTGATAGGTTGGAAAGTATGACATCCTGAAAGAGAAGAGACATCCTGACTGCCTCCCATCAGCACATCAGACCGACTCCCATCAGGAAACAATATCTAACGTTTAATTTGCAGTTTGACTACTGTAATTCAACAATTACGCCATAGATTTCTTCACAACCACAAACCAATTTTCCTCTTTAATGTATTAAATCCTTCTGAGGCAGACCAGTCAGCTGAGAAGTATCAGCTTTCCTTACACAAGATCCCCCTTAAGAGAAAATAAATGCCCAGCAGACATCCTGAATGAAACACAAGTTCAATATTTTTGGTTGCATGTGCTCTTTCAAACTAATAGGCAAACAAAGAACCAACAGACTACACAGATATCCAAACAAAGATAACACAATGGATAAACTGTTAAACTTTTGTTCTTATAGTGGAGGAAAAATAACTATAAACCTGAGGGTTTTTCTGTTTTCTTTGCACTGTGTTTTGATACTCAGGTTCACATCAGGGTATAATCAGATCCCTGAAATGTTTGGAAAAATGGGATCCTTTAATCTTAAAACTTGGCTCGTGAGAGGGCATTGTTTCAGAGGAGCTATGAAGCTGTGATCATGAGGCACTGGAAACTGAGCATGAGAAGCATTTTTACAGAAGAACCATAAATATGGACTTACTTACATATCAGATGATTGAAGCGTTCTCCAGACTTGGTTCTACAACACTATTGGAGCATGAGGTCGATGGATCATACTCATAACTCACCAACTCAGTTCAAAACACAGACAGGGTAGGGATTGTTAAATATACCTTTAAGGGGGTTGGAAGGATGTTTGACATTCAGGTAATAAACTGAGTGAAATTGTGTGCATATCTTAATAAATGGACAAGATAGTGTATGTGTAAACACACAGGTTTGCTGTGGTATGGAACAAAGTAAAGGACTAGCTTATTTTAGAGTACAGTATACTTGTATCTTACAGTAATTTTTCACAGCTAAAGAGTAAACTGAAGTCGGCGAATGTCATTAAATCTGATCATAATGTTTTACAAGACAAACTATTACTTGTTACAGTTGTATTGAAGATTTAGAAACTACTTGTGATAATTATGAATTTGCCTAAAATGCTGTGAACATTTAAAAAATGTCCTTTAAAGATTTAGTTGAACATGAAAGAGCTTAGAAGGCTTCTTGTGGATGAGATGATCATTTAACCAGATTGTTAATGGTTAGGAAAATAAGATTTCTCCATGGAGTAAATACATTGAAACCAGAACATAGACCAACTTCATTTTCGGTTCATGTCTCTGCCAAACCAGGGCATATTTGGATGGTCTTGCTGTGCCATAAGTTGTGCCTCAAAGTTCTTTTCCAGCTCAGCTCAGCAGAAAATACCAGCACTGAATGGAAAATGACATGGTGTAACTCGTGAACCCATAAGGAAGCAAGCTACTGTTAGCTTTTCCATTCTTGGGAGGCATTTCTCATTTTTGCCCCATGTGTAAAGCTTTGGACTTTCCTGTTGTGCCTTGTTAAGATGCACATAGATCAGATCGAGTAGATACTGCAAAGAATCACCTCTCTCTGCTTTTTAACTCATTTGTCTCAGCTTTCTGTTAAAAGGGGGAATCTGACAAAATACGAGATATCTACCACTTTCCAGTGACTCTGATGGTAACTTCTAAGTTTTAAGTTTCCAGTTTTGGTGAGATAGTTTGCAATTTTTTTGTTGGTTTTAATAATTCTCTTAAACATAAGTGTGAGAATTTTGAAATGAGACAGAAAAAGTCTTTATTTTCACTTCTCTGTTCCGGCAAACGTATTAGGTCATTCAGAAATTGCTCTGTTATGTAACGGTTCTTACGGCTTTATTCAAACATGACAATGATATACAGACTGATCAACATTGCAGAGTGATACTCAATTTAACCAGTGGTCAACAATGAAGAGTGGTCACTGATGAAATAAGGAAGAATTAAAAAACTTTCATTAACATCCTTAACTATCGATCATCCTGACCATGAGGGACACTTGCCTCCCTTTTCCTACTGACGTATTTTTTTTTAGAATTTTGCCACTTCTTATTAATTTCTAGAGCCAATTCTTTTTGATCAGTGATGGTATGTACACTGATGCTTGATAGTCATTGATCACGTAATCAATGACTTAAAAGTGTGTTGGCACGCTTTGTCAAAAATAAGACTAACTTTTAATATTGCCAGGACAGATATTTGGGAAAATAAACTGGCTTAGTACAATTTGAGAAATTGCATCAAAAAGTCTTGAAAGGTCTTCATCAATATTTTCACTTCATTTAGGCAGTGTTATAAAAATTGTCATGACGATTCAAATGAAGATCAACCCCAACCTCATGGCAAGACACACTGCATCTCAAACATTCTCCTCTTGCTGATAATTTTTACTGGTGTATATCTGACTGTACTTTAGGTCAACAACGATGCATTAAATATTTGTTTGGAAAGAAAGTTACTTTATGTTAGAGCCAGGTGGAGGTACTTCTCAAAAAGATGTTGTTACCCTAGCAATTCCTGGCAGCGCTGGCTCACCTCCATTATTAATGTTGATGTTTCACTAAAGAAATCTAACAGTTACAACAGCTGCAACAGTCGTATTATCTTTGTCAAGCCAATGCCAGCAAACCTTAGTGTTAGAACCATTCATGCTAATGAAAAACATTTAATATGGCAGCAACCGTTTGAAGCGAGGGGAGGTGACAGACCTACCAGTTTGTTCTATAAAAAGACTTGAGCATTCAGGAGTCTGAAGCTTACTATCCTGGCATCACATTAAAGCTCCTGGTGAAAAGCACATGACTAAAGCTCAATAACTTGTCACTGAGACATACAGATGGTGTGATGAGAGAGAGAGAGAGAGAGAGAGAGAGAGAGAGAGAGAGAGAGAGAGAAAAGAGCTCTTAACTGAAACTGAACCTCTCACCCTAACAGCAGAGGTTTTCCGTCGGGGGGGGGGGGGTGTTCAGGGGGCTGTTTTTTCCTGGAGAGAGAGGGTGATGCTGTTCTCCTTTCACTGGGAATGTATTGACTGAGGATCCAACTCTCAGCCTTCCAGCTGGACCCTGCTGTTGCACATCTCACTGCGTGGGGTTTAAACAAGGACACAAACACACCTGACGGCTGAGGTAGGACACACCCTGGATTTATTAACAAAACAGTTACCTCATCTTTTAAATTAGTTAGACAGTGTGGCTTGTTTTAACTTTAGAGAATACAACATTTCTCAGGTGTGTGACATAGTTTACAAGACTTCTGCTGGATGCATTAAATGGGGTGGATGTGTTTCAGGAGGGCCACAGGACCAAGTTGTAATTTTTGACAGGAAATCTTCCATTCAGCAGCTGATCTAGGTCTGTATTATAAGATAAGTGGATGTTTTATAAAATAGGATCTTTCTGACGCAATGTTTTCTTTTAAGTTAGAATTTTTGAGAACTGCAGGTAAACAGTCTGTGGTTTTGTTTTACATGAACAAGATAAATGGCAAATTCTGTAGGGAAGATGGTGTTTAGTGTTTCCGCTTGATATTGTGGTCTCTTGTAGTCATTACTCGTCTGGAGTCTTGGCTCGAGCTGATCTCATTTCACAAACATGCAAAGTAATTTTCCATAGTGTACAGACTTTCCAAAGTTGTAAATACAAACATGTGGGAAAATATTTAATTTATTTCAAATTTCTTCAGTTACTTCAAAATTCAGACTTTCTAGTACGGGTGCTGAAACCCTTCAAAGACTTGTTTAACACAACTTTATCAGTAAGTTTGATTTTTTTTAAAACAACTTAAAAAAGAAGAAGAATATTTTTAGCTCTTTGGATTTTCACTGTATGTGTGACGTAAGCAAGAGGATGTCTTGAGCTGTTTACGTAAGAAGGACCTTTTCCGCTATTTTCTGACATTGCATTAAGGTAACCATTAACCCAAGAACCGTGACAGTAATTGGCAAATTCTATCATGATCAACATATCACTATTATTTTTGCTTAAGTGGTATTGGCATACTGTATGTAAGTCCTTATAGACACTTGTTTGATTCAGTAACAGGACACAACAACAGAGGTATTACTGTATCTACATCCTACTGGAGAATACGTTAAGCAAACCCCCCAAAGTTGCCAAACGAAGATTATAAAAACAGCCTCCTTTAAGCTCAACGAGCACATGTGGCACAAAGACAGTCTGGGTGCAGAGGAAGGGTCTTTGCTAAGCGGTATTTGCTGTCGCAGCAGGATGCTCGACCACCATCACATAGTTGTGGGTGGACTGAATCCATCAAGATTACCAGAAGCACGCAACCAGACGATCTCAGCCTCACTCGGCTGGCTGTGTGAGTGTGTAATGAAGGAAGATATATAAATCATTGTATGAATCACCACAGATGCTGAATAGGTGAGAGCAGGAGAAACATTTATGTTGGCTGCAAGAACTCATTTCCAGTAGAGGTTTTCTGAGCTTCATGGAAAACTGTTAGAAAAAAGAGCAGTACTTACTGAAACTGATCACCCCAGGAACTCTGCATGCCCTTTCACTATGAATGTTTTAGCCAGACATTCCTCAATCAAGCTAATTTAATACTTTCCAGTATTTACTTATTTCTGCTGTTATATATTTTTCTCTGATAACCATCAGCATGACTACAATTCCAAGTTTGGTTCAATAAAGTCCATTGAACTATGAACTCATCCATCCATCTATCCCATCCTCTTTGTGTTTAGCTGGGAGAAAAACTGCTTTCATTTTTTTTTATTTGTTCGGCTGCTTTCATTTTACATAATGAAGCATCTGAAGAACCATTAATCTAGGCTTATTGAAATAGTTGTAAAGGAATAAAGGGGTCAAAATGTAGTTTAAGCTTTTGAAGATGTTCAAATTAGAGATTTCAATAACTGACTTTCAAAACTTCATACATGCGAAAAATTGATACTGTGGATTTGTGCGTTGTATATGCAAGTGACCTTAACTCCTTTTAGGTAAGAGGGGGCAAAGACCCAAGTTTGACTGGATCCTAATCATTATTTACAGTCCAAGCAGGTCTGATGTGTTGCTGGCTGCAAAATGATTAAAAAAGCATGTTCTTCATCAAATTGGTTGAAAATGATGAACAATGATGCTGTACATTTCAGTTGTTTTACTGTATTCATTTTAAAACCATCCTGAGCTCATAGGGTTCTGCATATCTATTCCATTATGGTGGAAAAAACAAAAACACTAATAAGCATTTCACTACCTGAACTGGAAATTATTTACTTAGTGCCATGACATTCCCTGTTTATACCTTTTTAAATCCTAACCTTTGTCTTTTTCTACAGATTTTCCTCATTGTTGTCATACTGACCAGTCTCCTAATAAAACCATGAGGGTCTTCCTCCTGCTTTGCCTACTGATGCTGGGCAATGCCAAACCCTACCAGCCAATCAACGTCATGGACTTCATGAAAAACTATGACATCATGATGGCAGACTCAAGTGATGATGACGATGATGATAACGATGACAACGATGATGACGATGATGATGATGATTATGATGATGATAACTGTCCAGCTGGGTGCCATTGCTCACCCAGAGCAGTGCAGTGCTCTGACCAGGGTTAGAACACACATAGCTTGAACACATCTGAATCCATAAGTCACTGTGAACACAAAGTGTTGAAAGACAGCTTGAGCTCAATTAATTTGAACAAAATCAAACGAAAGAGAATGCAGATAAATTTAATATTGGCGAGGCTGTATTTCAGACATAGGCACAAAGTCGTAGGTCGAGTGCCATTGATAATCACAGACATGAAATTGCTTCTATATAAGAATTTAACGTACGGCATACATTTGGAAAAAGTAAAAGCAACTACAGATAATAAATGTATCAATCTATTAATTCATTCAGCAATACTAGTGCTGTAACTTCACAATAGTCAGACTGTTGCTCAGCAACACAAACATGTTCCAACGCAGTTCTGATTTTTGTGTATGTTCGTGCTGTGATGTGTAAATTTATCTGAATATTTACATTCATCATTATCATGCACTGGGTGGGCTGCTGGGTGGTGCAGTGGTTAGTTGTGAGGAGTTTGCATATTTTTCCTTGTATGCATGGTTACCATTTCAGGGTGAACCACGTTTCTCTGTAAAATGACATCACTTCTAGCGCCTGATGATCCCAAATAGGATAAGTGGCATAGATACCGGATGGATGGATGCAACAGGTTAAATTATAGTCTATTGACATTTGCTTTGGTGGCATGTGTGCTTCAAAGTTACAGCTTGAGCTATAACAAAAAGAACAATTGCTGTAACTTTAATTAACTGTAATCACAAAACCTTAGATGAAGTGATACATTAAAAATGCCAGCTGTGCTCATTTCTAGTGCTTATGGAATACCTCTAATCAAATCAAACTTCAACTGTTTTGCAAAGCCATCAGTGGCTTATGTATGTTTGTGATTTATCAGCTTCCTATGTCAGTAGTTGAGACCTGAGATGGCAGACTTTAATTAAGAAAACCACATTAACGTCTTCACCAGTACATCTATTTGTTTATCAAAGCACAAAGCACATTTTCAGTTGTTTTGGTTCAACTCTGGTCTTCAATAGGACATTTGTGTTTCTGCAAACAGGTCAAATCTCTGTTCCAGAAAAGATCCCTGAAGACACTGTGATTCTTGACCTACAGAACAATGATATTACTGAGATCAAGGAAGATGACTTCAAAGGCCTCAAAAAGCTCCATGTAAGTTATACATTCAAGTGCTCTAAACTTCACAAAGTAATTAAAGCTTTAAACATAAATGTGAACAGACATCTGGCATGTCTGACGTTAAAGATGTAAAGATTGACATCATTCCATCAGCTATAAAACAAAGCACTTGAGCAAAAAACTTAATTCCAGTCACATCATTAGGGGCGCCAATCTCTGCTCTCCCAATTAAAATTAACCAAAAGGATAAACAGATGGTGTCAACACATCAGTGCAGCACAGTTAAGCTTTGTTAGAGCTAGACTCCAAATTTAAGCAATGAAACACCAAAAAATTATATCTTTGCTACAAACAACTCGACAAAAATTGGGTAATTGACGTTGTTATCAAGACTCACACAGAGTGTACACATATCGCATCTTAAATCAGAACATCAGCAGCAGGAGCAGCAGCTTCCTTTATCTATAAACACAGGATGCATGAAGTACATTCAGGCTTTAGAGATGTTATTTTTAAGCCTAAAAATATGATTTGGGGTGCGTTTACATGCAGACAGAGTTGGAGTAACATAGGCAATTACACAAACAGCTGGATTGATCAAAGTGCAAGTAGTGGATCTGTTTTGTCAGATGTGCATGAGAAAGGCAAATGAAAAACATTGCTGAAATGCTTCCTACAGTATGTGCTATGCTACACAATCATCTCTGGGAGATGTACCCAAGTTTATTTGAACTGCTGCGTAAAAATATGCACAAGCATTAGATGCAATGTAGCGTTCACATGTTTCAGTCACAACCAAAATGGCAGATTCACCAAAGAAAAAAGTAAAAAGGCCAAGAAACTATTGTTATAAAGTCACTGAGACACTAGGTTTATCTGTGTATCTGTAAATTTATTTATAAATGTAAAAGATGAGATTTAAATTTTAAGGTAAATCAGTTTGTATCAAATTCCAACAAATAACAGGAACATCACTTAAACCATCAACTCTGGTCATCAAGGGCATTTGAACTGCATGTTCACATAAACTATTTTGTTGTTCTACTGCACAATACTTTCAAAGGACTTCTGATCCAGTGTTCAAACAATGACTAACCTCTATACCCACATAAAGTCTATATTTGGTTTAGAACTTTAGAGGAGACACATTCAGATTCAAAATGCATGTATAACAACAAGATCTTCAAGCTTTAAAGAGACAAGAGAAAAGGAACAGCTCAATAATCATCCCACCTGCAGCCCTGGGAGGTTATGATCCCTCTGTATGAAACTCCCACAGAGTATTGGTCTTACAGCTGGTCTGTCTTTGATCTTGCTTAGGTTTTCCCAGCTGGGAATAAACCACATCAAGGACCAAAATAGCTGGATTATGTTTTACAGTTACAAAGAAAACCATGTAAACAATTTGCAATTCCAGTTCTGTGCTAAAGTGTTACAAAGAAAAGCCTTTGCATTCTTACACCTGTTGAATGTAATGAAGCATTTTGTGAACATATATTAACTTTTATTTGGATTCCAATCTGCCATAACAGGGACTGTTTTTGATCAACAATAAGATCTCTAAGATTCACCCGAAGGCCTTCAAAAACATGGACAATCTGAAACTGCTGTACCTCTCTTACAACCTACTGACTGAGATCCCTGAAAACCTGCCTCCCAACGTCGTCGAGCTTCGCTTTCATGAAAACAAGATCAACAGAATCCAGAAGGATGCATTCAAAGGTCTGAGGAAACTCCATGTGCTGGGTAAGACTTAGTTTAAGCTTCCTGTAACAGATTTGCAATAACCTACACCCAGACCATGTTTGGCATTGCTATTACAAAGTGTCACCTACAGGGAAAAAAGGAAGGTAAGAACCTTTTCAATGCTAATTTAACTTTTTCAAAGGTTTTCCAAGATAGTTCTTTGATTCATTGTATTTTAAGGTATGTCAAGAAAGACTACCAGATCTATTAGAACAACTGATAAAATGCCATCACAAAATACACCTATTGCAATAAACTTGAAATACAGTATGTTCTTTACTATCACCAAGAAAGATAAATTATCCAGGATAATTGTGCTTGTCCAAACAGAGCTGGGTGCCAACCCGCTTGCCAACAGTGGGATTGAGCTTGGAGCATTTAATGGTTTGTCGAGCCTGTACATTGGCATGGCAGAGGCCAAACTTACTGCTGTACCAAAAGGTAAATTATCAAGCAATATGCTTATTCAAACAAGTGAATGTTCACTCTTTTATGATAATGTTAGTATTTTATTTTATTTTTTAAGAAATGACCTAAGCACGTTTTGCCTATTAGTAATGTTTGGTGTGTTTTGTCTTAACCAGACCTCCCAACATCCATCACACAGCTGAGCCTGGACTACAACAAGATAGTAAAGGTGGAGATAGAAGACTTCCTCAGATACAAAAACCTGCAATGGTGATGAATAGCCTTCTTCATCCTAAAAAAAAATACATTTTACATAAGACTATTATCTAATTTAAGCTTTTCTTGATTCTATTTGGTATTTCTATAGATTTCATGTAATTTGATTGTTGTGAATGTTGTCCATTCAGCTGCCAAGTATCCTCAAACAAAAGTCTACATTTTGAAAGTTCACCTTTTATCCTTATCACAGGACAGTGGCTTTGTTTATGTCTAATCAAGAATTCTATATGTATGTGTTTTTTATTCCTTTACAGGCTCGGGCTTGGTTTTAACCAGATAAAATCTGTAGAAAATGGCAGCTTAGCCAGCATTCCAAGCATCCGTGAAATCCACTTGGACAACAATCGTCTGAGAAAGGTCCCACCAGGCCTCAGCTCCCTGCGCTACCTCCAGGTGAGATACATAATTTGCCCATTTGATCAGTAACAGTAGCTTAAAATGCCTGCCAATGCACTGACAAGAATGCTGTTTTTTTGTTGAAAGTAAATCAAGACAGGGCCTAAAGCTAATGAGCCCATTGTGAGAGCATGGCTCCTGAAAAGCCACATTCAGTTTGTGTTGTAAGTGTGTTTTTAATCAAGAACTAACAATAACTCTGGAACAACGTCTCCTTTTTAAATTTCAATATCCATAAGTCAGATATCTTTGGAGGTCATTTTTCTTCTTCTTAATAATTGCTTAACATAACCTGTAATGGTCATGCAGAGATTCAACTATAATTTCAACAGATACAGAGGGCAAAATAAGACCCAGTCCTCCTCCTTTTCTTTGCCATGTCCTCTCGTTAAATTTAGGACATCCTGAGGTAATCAAATTCTCCTAAAAACCCTCAAGTGGAAGAATTTTCAGGGGCGTCCCGAAATGATTGAACCAGCTCAGTGAATTCTCCTTAATCTAATTTCCTGTAATTGCAACAGCACTTTTTACTCCAAGATCCATCCAGATGCCTGGATGCCTGGTTTCACATGTCTGCACAAAGAACACTCAATTTGACAGTGTGTATCTATGCATCTACTTCTTTTCCTCAGTACCCTTCACTAGGCTACTCTTGTGGTGTATTTTTGTAGTTTTTTTTTTACATAATGTGCACTATCTACATTTTGGCAACACAAATCCAACCATCCACCTTATATTCCAAATTAATCTCAGGGAATACAAACACCACCAACTCTTTTCCTTTAATTTTGAATTGTGAAAGCTTAAGTAATTGTTAATGTTAAATGAAGTTTTCTGAAATCTACAAAGTGTAAACAATACAATGTCACAAAAAATAGGGACCATAAAGAGATTGTTCAACCGTTCTTCAAATATTTGAGCAAACTCACACATGTTACTTTCAATTAAGGAATATGGAGCTATTACATTTCCAACATTTCAATTTTAAATCAGACTTTTGGAGGTTGATTTTTTGAGTTCCCAAGGGATTAGCTGAACAACATTACAGCAAAACTCTTAATCATAGCTTGTTGACTGATGAGGCAGAGAAAACGCTAATAACAAATCTTCCTCTTTTTCTCTTTAGGTGATTTACCTCCATGGAAACAAAATCAGCAGTGTGGGACTCAACGACTTTTGTCCCATTAGTTTCAGTGTCAAGAAGAACCTATTTACAGGCATCAGTCTGTTTGCCAACCCAGTTAAATACTGGGACATTCAGCCAGCCACCTTCCGATGTGTGACTGGAAGGAGGGGGGTTCAGCTAGGAAACTTCAGAAAGTAGAAGTAGGAATTAGAAACAAAGCTTTTCTAAAAATTCCCAAGATTTGCCAATAGTTTTGAAAGTATAAGAAAGGGGCTGGATACAATTCTGAGTGCTTACGCAACATAAAACTGTCTTCCTTAAAAATAAGCTCTAAAATAAATTAGGAAACTGCCAGAAACTTTAGTATATATAGATTGATGGTACAATTTATAAAGAAATGTTTTCAGGCAACAGACAAAAAATAAACCAAATCAAATTAAAACTCTGATCTTGATTTTTAAGCAGACATTATTGCAGGGTGGAAAAAACAAACATAAAGGATATGCATTATGATTAAAATCAACACCAGACCCCTGCCAATCTTTGTGAGATACATTCCGTATGTGGATCAACTTTTGTTCCTCACTGTTTCCCAGTAGTAAAGCGCCACCCTGTGGTCGCTTTTGGAGCAAAACCACCCAATGACTTGCAATACTGTACCTTTAATGAGATACAATTCAAAAATACCTTTTCTTCACAACAGTTCTGAACAACAAAATGAACTATGGTTTTCATATTTAAACATATTTGTGAGATAAGGACCATACTAGACCCCAAAACAACTTGAACTTAAGTTAGCAGAGTTAATGAATTAATAATGCTGGCATTACTTAATGCAATAAATCACTGAAGTTTGTCTTGATGTGGGTATTTTATATTATCTCACTGCATGTCTGTATTGTCTTTATTTAGAAGCTGAGAGCTTCATGTTGGACTGGATGATACATTGGCCTTGATTTACACCCAAAGACTCACTTTGTTTTTAAGGAACTATAGCAACCAAGTTATTATTGAAATTGTTAGAAGGGAATGTAATTCCCAGCACGGAAAGTCAGAGAGTATATGTCTAACAAACATGTTTCCTGAAGATATCTCTCACTAAATGGTGCTATATTTATTAAGTGTGTCTTTAATAAAAACCTGGAACACCTTCCTATGTATGTCTTCACTTTTTGTCAAGATGAAAGTGGGTTTGAGCTGGCACGTTACATACTACATATTAGGTCAGATATTAAGCAACATAAACTTCACCATGTTTTTCAAACACTAATATATCTGTCCCTAGTCTGTCTACAAACCCCTCAATTATGAGAAAAGACCATCCTCTCCGTTTTTTGCCTGCTCCACTTTTTAGAAAATGTGTGCTCAAACAGGCCATTTGGAGATTTTCCTTTTATGACATAACAAAGGGCAGTAACCCCTCCCCCAGGTGGGTGACACTCCCACAGTCTGCCTTCTCACCATAAACAATAGGACATGGAGCAAGAAAGCCGAAGCTACACAAGCCTTTTTAAGGGGCGTGGTCAGACACAGCACATTTACATTTAAAGCTACAGACACAGAAACAGCCTGTTCTGAGCAGGTCTGAAATAGAGGGGTTTATAGGCATGATAAAAAACAGGATCAGAGTGGATTTTTGGCAAGAAACTTCACATATATGTTTTGGGGAGTTTTGAGATTTATTTAAACTGGTTGAAAAGTATAATTTGTGACCTTTAACATACGATTTGCCTTTTGAGCTATGACTTTCTTACATTTGTTTAACTTTAATTGCCATATCATCTTGCAGGAGAAAGTTATTAAACATACTGTATACAAAAAAAAATCAAAAAGCAAGGTATCCATGAGGAGACGATGACAGGAAAAAACAATGAAAGGTGCTTAAAAAAGGGTATAAATCTTCAATTGTTTACTCCTTAAATGTACATAAATGTCAAACCAAATTTGGACTGAATGTCCCAGAAGAACTGCAATTAAATGTTGGAATAATTAATTGTTGGAATAATTTGCCATTAGTTGTCTTTAAGCCTAAAAAAGGCCTGACAGTGCCGTCACATCTTAAAATGCCCTGTTTAAATTATACAAAAACACAGTAAGTCTTGACATTTAGAGAAGCTGCAACCAACAAATGCTTGTCATATTAAAATCCCAAAATGACTAATTATAACTCAGTTTTCAGAATTATTTTAGATACAATTCTTTTGATATAGTATTAGATAATAAAGAAACTTGTCAAACATTATTTATAATATTCTTTTCCTAAGGATTGCCTTTTTTAAAATGATTATAATGACATGTGACAGATCCTTCCAAACTCTTCCCTTTTCAAAATAAGAGAGTAAAAATAAGTGACACCATCCTCCTCGAAAAAACTGACAGTTCAGCTTTTCACCAGCAGATGTCACTGCAATTTAACAATTTGAGTTCCCCTGGTTTCATTTGAGGCCTTGATACAAAGAACATTACAACACCCAGGGAGTGATTGATTCAGATTTCAAGTCTATATCAAGTCTGTTTTTTGATTCCTTTACCATTGTTCTACTATTCTGCAGTTAACCAGCATGTACAGAGTATAACTGTTTCCTGACATTTAATTAGCTTTTCTATTCCCTTACAGCCTAAAAGAGAATTCAATAGAAGCCAGACTTAGCACACGATATGTCAAGCATAAGAGGTCTACTAAAAGTTACAAATTGTTACGATTCGTTGATTAAATATTTACAGTGACTTTTCATGCAGATTCCTGTTTGTTATAGCTGCAGAACTTCTAAATAGTTTTACAGAATTGGGGGTTTTCACTTACATGTAAAAAAAAAAAAAAAAAAAAAGAAGAAGATTCAGGCATGAAAAATGTGAGCTGGTTGGAGTTTTTTTAAATATCAAATCAAGTAGGGTAACCCTGATCAAGGGCACATGTTTTGTCAAATACAGTTTTTAATCTCCACCAGAACTCCTACTGGAAAAATAATCTTAATCAAAACTGGTGGAGATTCTTTGCAAAACCAATAGGTCCAGTTACTCTCTTTCAAATGCTTTCAACAATATCACCAACTTCCCCAGAAAATGTAATTTACTTAACTGTGTCTCAATCATATTATTTGCACCTGGATCAAGGCTATGTCCATATGGAGCTCTTTTCCTATCTGTGTCCAGCAGCACCGTCTTTTTTCAATTTGACAGCATGACTTTTTGATTTCACGCTCTGATTTTGTAATGCTTTTCCTAAAAACCCTGCCCTTTTGAAAAGCTGTAAAAAATCTGAACATGAAATCAATACGTCATGCTCTTATATTGAAATACCTAACTTTTGAATAAAGATGAGGAAAAAAGCTCCATGTGTTTTAAAAGGACTGCTACTGACTGACTGACTGTTGTCATAACAGGTTCCCGAGAGGCTTGTGTCGTAAACAATAAAAATAAAACAATCAACTTAACTCATGTTGACAACATTTGTGAGATCAGATACAAAAACAGAAAAACTTCAATTCACACTTAAAGTGAACATTTAGTCTTGCACAATGTCATGAGTATGTGTGGGCTGCTGCATTGATTCAGAATTAAATGTTTTTTTATTTGAATGGTGCTATTTTATACTCAAAGTAATCTTTATAGTTTGTTTGGAATATGTTGACAGCATCAGCTTTACTTTTATCCTGTTATTTGTAGGCTATACATACTTATCTTTAAAAGGGGTTCAGAGTGGCTGAAGCCGGTCATTTTAAAAAATATTTTGAGAAACAGCCATACATTCTCCTTTTCACAACTTAGATTATACCTACAGTGGCTTAGTTTATTAATGAATTGCGCATTGTTCTCTAACATTTTTAATGTTTGTTCACAAAGTACTCTAATCTCATCAATTTTCCCCTTCACTTCTCCATATGCACATGCACACCTGCACCTCCGTTTAATCTGCTTTGTCTATTACTTTTTGCCTGTTTTTGATGGTTTGACAGTAGTCTGTTCATCAGCAGCATGTTTCATGACGACGTCCTGTTAACCCCACAAATGTTCCATTCGATTTTCCATTCCCATAACAGCTGATCTGCGTGGAGGTTCGTTTTATGCGATCGCAGTGATCCAAAACTAAGAATGCAGAGAAACATGGACATAACTATAAAAACAACAGCACAAGAAGGTTTGATTTTAAAACGAGACCTCACAGCTCAATCCAGGGACGTACAACCAAATGTCTCTCTGTCAAACATAGCTTGCACACGTAAGCGAAAGGTGGAGAGCAAGGGGAGTCTGAAAATTAGTGTAGTGATCGTGACTGGGGGGGTATTAAACAGATAGAAAATGGGTAAGTTTTTGACAATTATTCCCTTTTTTATTATAGTTTCATTGTTTTGTATTGCATTGTTCATTTGCCGTTGAGATCTTTATCTGCTGGTCAACTCCAAGTCGTACCGGCAAAAAGCTGTTAAATATCTGCTAATGTATACCCTGGTCCAGAATTTATAAAAGCACAAAAATTGTGATGTGGTTTACAAACAAAGTAAAGAAGCGTTTCATGGAGATAAGTATGAAAAACTAGCAAGAATTGATCACCTTTATGAGCCAGCTGTGGCTAAAAAAGGAGAGCAAGCCTATGGCAGGAAAGAGGTGAACAAGTAAGTGACGGGGGTAGTAGGTCTTGTCTCTCCCTGAAGGGGTTCCTGACGCGTCATAACCACCAGCTCACTATACATTATCCCGCTTATTGCACCAAACATACAGTACATAAGAAACCAATAATTTGATGCTAAATATTGATTTGGAAATGAATTCATAATTTTAAGAATGTTTTTTTCTTACGCTAAACAAATAGTTGGAATCTACAGTGCATAGCAACAGTTTATTCTGTAGTCTTAATAAAATAAAATAAAATAGCTTTCATAACTTACATTATACTGAACTTTTCCACCGATGGCGAATTGAGACAAGGTGAAAATATCAGTTTTGTTATGTGTTAACTTCATGTGCCATCTTCAGTTTTGTCACTTTCTCTATTCGAGCGTACAGTTTTTACATCCTTTAGCCAATTTCCTCCATTTTGAACCTCTTCCTTCTCTTTTTCCCCAAAGTAAACAGATCAACGTCTTAACCGGACTTCTTTTTCCGTGGATTGATATGATTACAATAAGTCCTCCAGAATCTATGATAAAGCTGTGTCCCTAGCAACCATGTGCTTTTCTTAGCAACGGTTTGTTCTTAATTACAGTGATCTATCAAGGGATAGCTGACCACTGCTGTATGTAATTGGCCAATCAGATTCAAAAGATTTTCAACTTGAGCCCTTAGCCTTTCTGCTGCAAACACTCTCTCCTCATTGAAAACAATTGAAAAAAGACGCTGGCAAAGAAAAGAACGCTAGGTGGACTGGACACGAGGTCTAAGTCTTGTTTAAACAATTGGCCATTAGTTATGAAATTATATCTATTCTTACAAAAATGTCCAGTAAATTGATTCAGTTGCTTATTATAAAGTGTCTTTATGGGGGTTCAACGTATGTTTTGGGAGGTGCTGATTATTGATGCAGGAAAAAAAGAGTTGCCATTGCAAGACATACATTCAAGAATGTGATCAAACCATGTAAAAACGTGACAGTCTGTGAGTGTTTACTTTGCCTTCTCAGTCTCTTTGGGAGGCCCCTGTCAAACAGCAGTCAGCACTCAGCAGACTCCCAGAAACCCAACACCTGCCAGCGGAATTCATCTGATCCATCTGAAATTGATATCTACAGTCTCAGAAATTAAGACCGAGCTACAGTACAGAAAAACCATGCAGTTCTGTGGCTGGTTTGCTTCTCAACTGTTTTGTCTTTTAAATTGAAGACTTGTTGTTCTGTGGGTAGGGTGGAGGGGAGCTGCCTCTTTCTCCAGGAAACATATGGAACAGATCTGCTGGTTGGCCAGGCCTCATTCTGCCACGTCTCAAAGCCACACACACACACACACACACACACACACACACACACACACACACACACACACACACACACACACACACACACACACACACACACACACACACACACACACACACACACACACACACACACACACACACACACACACACACATTCACAGAAAATGGTTCTAACTTCAGGGCTTTTACCCCTCTTCATCCAATGTTTTTACCCTTCTCCTATCTTCTATTTCACTCCTG